TCCTTACTCTCAAAACATTTTGGTTCAATCACTAGTTTCCTCGTCTGTCACATCTTTAGATCCGCGTTGTTTTCAGACATAGAAAAAGATAGACCTTTTAAAAGTCATGATGTCTCACCAGTGACTCGCAGGGTGCTTTCTTACAAGAAGGTAAAAGATCAAATGTGGGCAAATGAAACGAACGCAGCAGGTTGTGATCTGATTTGTTCACAACATTTGACAAAAAAGTGAAGAAAAAAAAAAACAGTTTAAAGGGGCAGTATGTACAAATCTGGCCAAAAGTGGTACTGCACTCTCTCTGACTCAGGTTGCCAGATATGCAGGCAAATCCAACTGGGACCACAGTAGCGCAAGAGTTTTGTCGACAACAACACTTTTTTTCACAAAAGGCATCCCTGACAGAAATCCTCATTTTTTTCCTTGTTTTTTTTATCAATGATTTGAGAATCACAGACTTTTTTTTTAGTTCTGCATCCACACGTTGATTCACCGGTGAGATTAGCTTGACACGGTGAGTTCTGGCAACCCATCATGATCATGGACTTTCTGATTGGTAAAACGGTGACGATTTAGGGGTTGTAAAACACATTTTGAATCTACTGTTATCAGTTAAAGAAGTGTTCCAAAGAGCACGGTTTATTAATGCTTTTTAACATTTTAGGACACTTTAGAAGCAATCAATGCAAATGTAATGTTTTTTATCTCATGTAGACTTCAGGGATTTCTACGTCAGAATTAGACACTGTGGTTGACAATTGGTCCAGAGAGCACGTGTGCAAAGACCCATGCACGCACATAACACAGCCTGGTTCTATTACTGATACAACAAACATACAGTAATATGATTTGTGAGTTACTATTGAGTTTGAACGACTGGTGGAGCAGTACTAAAGCTTTTCATAATGTGATACGTACACCACTGTCATCCCCTTGTGCGCAAATGAAGTGCTCCAAAGCATGAACGATGGTCCGACTCCAGCAGCCCATGTTCAGCCTTCTCCATCCACAACAGCATCCTGAAATGAAGACAAATAACACGAACCAACATCACTTATCTCTTTGTTTTCTATCACCTCCTCTATTCTGTTCCCTCCGTGCTCATCTCGCCACTTAACCCTTGATTTACATAAGTCATTAAAGTTGTCAGATGTGAGGGGCCCATCCATTCTGTTAAGTGTTCATCCATCGTAGTAAGTTTAAAAAACGCTAGTCGTATTTTTTTGCATTTTCTCTCTGACTAATGATCGCCGACAGAGCATCCATCGCTGAGACGTCATTAATGCATTTGATGAGCCAAGCAGTCTCTTAATTTACCTGACTGCTCAAACATACACGCACGCTGTACATATTTTTCAAGCGCCAAAAAAAAAGAGGCTGCATTTCAACTTCAAGGACATCGGGAAAAGGCGGGACGTATTTTTTACTTTCCTAGACATCAATTACGGCAAATGTCTGTAAAGCGTGGATATGTGCCATCGCTGAAAACAAGCCGGGAGAAAACATGGACAAAGCAGAAAGCCGCAAAGGAACTAGACTTTTAAAAACATAAATTATCCGCTTTGAGTTAAAGTAGTGAACCCAGCTGGGAAGAAGAGGCAGATGTCAGCTTGCTATGCCTCCATTTGTTAAATCACTCCATGTTCTTGTCTTGTAGATAGGAAAGGGGGATGTGTTTGCTTAAATAAAACTTAAATCATAAAATGGGAACATTTTACTGAATATAAGGTCCCCATTGCAAAGCTTTCAAATGAGACTTTATAGATTAAGAAGTACCGGCCAGATAAGTTTGTTTTGGGAGATAATGGCCAAGTAGGAATACAATTATAGATTCTCATTACCATCCAGGCCTTTGTAACAAACACAAAGTTATTATGTCCAAGAAGTGCCACGTAAAAAACAGGAAGATAGAAAACTTTTCCGCCGTTCTTTCCTGGTTTTGTTTGAAATCAGTCTACGTTGTGCCAAAAACAGATCTCCTGGATATATTGTCACTAACCTAATTGCAGCTATAAGACAAGAGGAGAGGGAAGAGGGAGGATGGAGGAGCGAGCGAGCTAAAAGAGGCACATGCACACACGCTTCTCCTAATCACTACTTGTGCAAAAGTTCAAATGTTAAACAGGTCTTTCCAAACTCTTGGAGCGAAAGTGCAATCTATTCAAAAACTTGGCTGGCTGCACACTTCCATAATAACAGTCATTATCCAGCACACACATCTCTCTGCTTCATTTGAGCCCTTCTTAACAAGGGGTATCTATCACAGGGGTGCTGCTGCTGCTCCTCGGGTCAGGCTGACCTCCAGGCCGTGTGATTTATACTCCCACACTCCCCTCCATGTAAAGCCCTGTCTCTCAGCTTGGACAAAAGTGATGTGGACCATTTTAATTACAAAGTCCTAATTTGAGGCTCCATCATCGTGCCCTTGCATACAGGTCGGGACAGTAGAGGCAAATGGGAAGGGGGGTCACTCCATGTTCCCTAACGATTATTATAGTCCAGTCACTTTTGATGGAACTTGCCTATTTGTTAGAGCAAGCATGAAAGTTGCTGCAGAAGTCATTTGTCCGGCATCAACAAATTGAAAGCCTTGTCTTAAAATGCCGTGATACATCATTGCGTGTGGCTGTGCGGTGATAAGATTGGTGGCGTTGTTAGACTCATTATTTTGATTTGTCCTTCTCAGCTTGTCTTTGCCAGACAGCAGGGCAGCCGGTGACGAGGGCTATTACAGTTATCTGTGGACAAACGCAAGGGCAGTTACTTTCTACCTTGCACAGCGAACACCCCGAGCTAATTATTCACAAGAATGTATCCAGCAACATTGTACATTTTGTTTACTTGGCTTTAAAAAGACTTTTGAAGTGTGTGTCATTGCCGGAGCAGGAACTGTAAACATGTTTTTCTCACACACTGTCCATACAAGCAGCTAAATAAAAGGCTTGTTGTTAGGATTTAATTCTAAAGAGTTGCTCTGGAGCTCATTGTGAAAAGCTTCCAATTAGCAGAGACAGTTTTATTCTGCTGACCAAAGTCACCTTGAGTAATTGGGGTATCTACAAGTATAGGTTTACGTGTTTTGGCTCATTAATGGCTCATTAATGGCACACTATCTTAAATTATTCTTTCCCCATTAACCTGCGACAACCTGATATAAGGTGTATATTTTCAGACACTGACATTTCATAAGCAACAAGAGCAAAATCAAAGTCGTCACAAGGATTTTCTTTTCTTTTTATTTTCATTCCTGGTCACACATGGCACAGCAGTGTGTGTTCTCACCACTTTCTGGAAGATTACTTGGGTTTGCAGGTCCTAGAAAAGTTTGCTTTTACAGAACTGGCAGTCTCAAGGTTAAATGAAGGCACAAAGTAGCAAAAATGTGCAATATTACATGATCATGATGAAATGAAGTTTTCTTTAAAACACACTGCATTTAAATAATATACTAAATTAAGATGTGTGGGTGGGTGGGGGCAGAGAGGTTAGTGCTCCTGTGGCTGTCCATAAATCTGCAATGCAGCAGCAGATTGCAATTCTTAACTTTGGAGAAATGCTCATTTAGATTGTTGTGTATATCTTACATTTCAAAAAAGTCAAAAGAACTGCTACGGACCACAAGAACATCATGAAGTGGAATAATGGCACTTTTGGGTTTGGGTACCTTTCATAAATAACACGTTTTGTTTGTCCAAAAGAAAGAGTCTTGCGAAAGTAAAATGTTGTGAACAAATCAGACCACATTAGAAAACATGATATCGTTTGTATACTGTACATGTAAGAGAGAGAGAGATCCCTGTGAGTCGCCGTCCTGGTCTAACAAGGTTCATTTGGTCTCCTGATAGATTCTACAAGTGACACTGTTGACAGTTTTTGTGCATGTCTTGTCAGCTATTTTACGCACCACTTGTCACTATTTGACACTTTAGACTGAGAGCTGATTGGCTGATAGACTGTGATCCTCTCTTTTTTTACTTTTCTGTCTGAAACGGCTGATCTAAAGAGGTGATAAAAAAAATGCAAGTGATAGACCCAGATTGTTTATAACATACATGTAGTTCTAATGTTTGTGGTTTGTACCCCAGCTTTAAGCACTTTGAATAGCCTTGTGTATGAATTGTGTTATACAAATAAACTCGCCTTGCCTAAAGTCACTTGGTAGTTATTCAGGTATAATCTAGCACACCACAGTTGGATTGCCAAAATGTTTGAGTAATGTGAGTGATTATGATTTTAATGTGTCTCTCTTATTTCTGTAAAGCACTTTGAGTTGCCCTGTCTTACGAACTGTGCTATCCAAATAAACTTGCCAAGCATTTCCAATGAAAATCAACGCCGGTATATTATTTCCATCCATTTTACCCACATCTAAAATGCCCATATTAGCTTTAATTCATCAACAGGTTGTAAGGACAAACGCAACATGGGCTATTGTCCTGGGTAACACTTGGGTCCATGATGGCCGCTGTGATATAAGAGATTGAGATATGAATGAGAAAGGAGAAAGGGGCTTGAACTGGCAGTCCCAAAATAAAGCATTTCACCTGAACCATAATAACCACTTACAGACTCCGTGTAAGTCGATAAACAACTACAGATTAAAATGATGTTTTCCATTGCGCCCCTAAAAGTATTTCCTGCCTCTCCTTTCACTCCGCTCTGTATCGCTCCATCACTGCCGACGGTGGTGAATGTCTTTTTCGTAGAAAGGGCTTGTCCGCGCTAAAAGCTTTCTCACGTTGCCAGAACAATCCACTGCAGCCCTATTGCCCCTGCTCAAGGTCGATAGTGTTGTGCGACGCCATACACAAGGTGATGTAACGACCCCTGTATCCCCGGGTCGGGCTCCGGTCCGTTCTTTGAGGTGTCATGCAGTGAAACCCGCCTCTAGGCTTTGGCGTTATCGCTCACATTTCATCCACATGTTGTTGGTTTTTATTTTTTCACAGGATCTAAAAGGTTATAAGCTGAGCGTGGTGATTTTTTTTTTTTTTTTTGCGCTGTCAGGCCCAGATGTCTTGTAAGTAGCGCTTTTCTTCCCTCAGCAAAGCCAGCGTCTTCATGGCCTCCAGTTGGTCCACCCGGAGTTCATTTTTGATCATCTCCATCAGTGTGTCGTTCACGTCCTTGGCCATGTTCTTCGCATCCCTGGTGAGAAAAGTGAATTAATGAAAGGGCACCGTGTCACATATAATCATCGCAAACTTTGTAGCTTCATATCTTATAAATTATCATCCCACTGTGCCAGGGCAGACCAATTTTAGTTTAATCCAGGCCTTTAGATAGTGTTATACACTGCGTGGTTAGCCGATTTATGAATACAATTGTTGATAATTATTATTCAATTCATGTTCTAGTATATAATGGAAACTTGGAAATGTTATTGCTGAAGTTACAGGTCAAGTGATTGATAATTAACAGAATTTTGATGTGCTCTTATTGGCCATTAATTACGATAATTAGACCATTTGTCATTTCATGTTTTGCTGTCTGTGACTCCTCATAATACCACCAGAAGGAGGAGTTGAAAATTGCCGGCTGAAAACACAGCCATACATTTTTAATGTACTGTTTTAAATAGGCAGAAACCTGCTCTGAATGTGATGCCTTTGTGGCACAATGACATCATACTGTTTGCATATATAATTTATATATAATGTATATATATATGTAAATATACTGTATTCTTTTTTTGTATATGTCTATATTATGACAATCATGTCAAATTTCTGATTTGATAAACTTTCCATGGATGGACAGAGTATGGACTACAGTACATATCCTGATCCACTTTGCCATGACAGTACTGTAACCAGGACAGTGTGGGTGAATACATTGCACATATTATGTTCTCATGTTTTCTCACCCGCACACATAGATGTAGCCACTTTTCTCCAGTAGGATGCTAGTTATGGCCTTGCTGTCGAGGAGCAGTTTGTGTTGGACGTATTTGGGTCGTGCGGATGACTGGGCGGCCTCCTCCTTTTCCTCATTGTCTCTTGAGAAACACACTTTGAGGTGGTTTAGGGTACCGCTGGACACAAAACCCTCCAGCTCCTCTCTGCAAAGGAGAACAATTTAATTCATAATATTTTCTTACAGATTTTTGAAGAATGTTGCCTTTTGAGTCACAAGAGACGAGACTGTTTAGATGCTAAAACATATCATACTGTAAATACTTTACTCACAGGTTTGTATATATGTATATTATATATATATATGTGTGTTCATGTGGTGTGGTACTAGGCTATAATACATAACCCGGTTGTCAAAGGCCCTGCTAACACAACCCACCACAAATTCTTCCGTCGTGGCCCAACACTGTCAATCTTGATAAAGTTGAACAGCAATGGGCAAAGGTCTGAGCAAAACTGTGCCCAACAACCAATTTATCTTGTTTAACGAGAAAAAAGTAGAAAAAATATGGATTTCCGAAGCAAGGTCGGTTATAAGCATCTTTTTACAATCAATCCTCCCAGCCTTGCATTTGGGTCTGTAACCTTGCTCCCTATCAGTGGTTCGCCTGCCAACTACTCCGGCTGCGGTATTTTTACAGAGCCTGGGGTCCTATTGCAGAGGTAGAGAGAGGGCCTTTTCCGTGGCTCTGAGCTGCTTGTTTAAAGTTAAACAGTCGGAATAAGAAAAAAACACACTATAAGTGTGAACGTGTGCGAAGGTTTGTGCCTCTTGGGTCTAGACTCTGCAGCACCAAAATAATGCAAAAAACACTTTCTTGAATAGCAAGGTGAAAGTAGAAATTCTGTGTTTTTATTTCAGTTGTTCCTGAGGATGAGCCGTCCATTCCCACAATTTTTTAAATGCAGGACTTACTTTCACATTCATGAAATGCCTCAACATACACATCATTCATATCAGCCTTCCTCTCCCTTGAAGCTTCTTAAAGGCTGAATGTGACGCACAATTGAAGAGTGTTTCAGCAGAGACAGCCGCAGTTGCAGCCTCTCACAGGGATGCTAAGTGCTGCTGCTGATTGTAGCTCATGGTGTTTGTTTTTCGCTGATGGGAAATGGCTGGATGAGATAAGAGAGAACGTCCTGTCTTCACCCCGTGTAACATCAGTGTTCAACTGTGCTCTTCACATCACAGGGACAGACTCACGGCCATCTTGAAAACGCTTCAATTGTAGCACAAGTATCTGGTTCACTAAACGGATTCTTGCTGAACAAATGGTCAAATCGATACATATTCTCAAATTATTTTCGCAAGGTTTTATAGAAACACGAGAAGAGAAGATTTACCTTGAAGCAAATTGCATGCCCTGGTAGAATTCTAATCGGATTTGTACTTGTTGTACCTACCCCGTCTGAAATATTTATACCACAATGTATGCCCTCATTACACAGAGCTGGACATTCCGACCATTGTATAGTCATATATTTCTTCAGTATGTTCTAACAAGAAAGATAGAGTCAACTATCTTGTACACATGTGACGCAGGACGATATAGAATTTTAGGATTTATTCTCGATCCCTGCTGATTCTAATGCATTTAGACTTTTCAGCAGCAGGTATATTGTTCTGACTGCGTGAACCTCTTTAGACAGCACTTCACAGGAGGTACATAAAACAGATAGTAATCGGCTCGGTCAACACTGTGGGGGTGTGAAGCAGATGCACTTGTTCAACAGCCTTTGAGTCTCTATTTAACAAACGCGTACAGTGAAACAAAGGGGAACAAACAACACACTGTGATCGCCTCTGAAGCCATTACCAGTGCTAATTCATTCACATGTATTAAGTCTGGCAGAAAAGTTTGTAGGATTCTCATAGTCGGATTCAAGCAATTGGTGAGGAGAACCAGTGCTGGAGGAATTCTCATGGGGGAAGTATAGGTATGGCCACAAGAGGGCAGGGTGGAGGCTACTATATCCCTACTTGAGAAGATACATTGCGGGCGAGTGGTGTCATATGCAATCAATTTAATGCAGATAAGCCGATGAGCATTTTGATTCCTGAACACATTAATAGTAATTTATTTTAAAACACATCCCTGCTGCCTACAGTCAGACCTCGCATCATCTCAGTCTCTGGCGGGGGAGTGTTCAAGTGCAATTGTCTCTCCCTCATGAGCCAGGCCCATGTTAAACCGCCTCATCTATCCATCCCCGACTGATCTTTTGGCTCACAATATCACTTGTTGTCTCTAATTGGTTCATATCACACCAAAAGTGGAAGACCAGAATCCCCCTCACTCAGCAGAAACAACGAAAGGTTAGAAACAAACTGTCAATAGTTAATAAAGCTAGTACCGTCAGCGGCCTGCTACGTTGCTCCTGGTATGGCTTTCAATTACTATCACTGTTGTGAAGTTTGATATAATATAATACGTTACTTAGTTTAACAGAACCATCCAACTGTAGAAGTGAAGTTTCAATGGTCTTCATCGCCCTTTATTCGTCTGTTTACCATGACGGGTGTGTGTGTCTTCCTTTTTACGCTTAATAGCAACATCCCTCTATTAGATCTGTATACCATTGAGTCTGTTACAAAACCATTCACACAACCCACATGGCCATATTCTTCTGTGTTAGCAAAAGCATTTTCCTCATTTCTGACACAGAGACACGTGTCCTTGATTAAAATAGCATTGCTTTGCTTTTAAATTTATTCATCTAGATTTCTCTTGAGAACAACTTTTAGCACAGTGTAACACGCAGGAGTGCATACAATACATCGACATTGCATTCGCACAGAGAAATGTTCGTAATGCAGGGTCAAATATTTTCATGTACATAGTGTATGAAAGCCGAGGTGAACTGGGACAGAGGTAAAAGGTAATAGTTTATGCTGTTTGCATACATAATGCAACTTTATATGTGGAAAAGTTTATTGCATATTTGACCTTGTAGTGATCCAGTGACTGTAAGAATGGACATTATGGGGCTTTTACTTTTGACCAGGGTTGTGTCTACTGTGCTCCAAGATCAAAGGTTTTGTAGGTTTTCTGGTGCAGGAGTCCATCAGCAGAGAAATTCTTCCAAATAATTAATCCAATAACATCCTAGAAACCGCTAGGATGGACAGTAAAGACCATGCTGACCACTCATACAGCCACTGAATAACTACCAGGTCAAATATATTATTCACATACAGTAAAAGGTTGCATAATTCCCCTTAAAGTGAGTAGATGAAGTACCTGAACAGGAAATCTTTATCTTTATGGCGGCATCCAAAGTAGAGCCACGTTTCGCCAAATGCCATCGCCAGGTTCTCCTGTCTCTGCTTCTCCCTGAAAGTCAAACAATCAGATGTTAGCATTCGATCAATAACAACAGTCGCATGGAGCAGACAGAGGAGCGGAGAGCGAGTCCTTCCACGGACAAAGGTTAAAGACAAGTGGTGACAGCATTAAGCACTGTCTGCTCCGTCAGTACAGCCAGTGCCACAATTGTCCTAACGCACTGAAATGACAGAACAAGCCTCGGCAAGGGCACGGTGCGATTACATTACAGAAAGGAAAGAGCAGGACGCATACAAAGATCACACGAGAGAACATTACTAAACAAGACATTCACAAAAAATACAAAGAGATGTCAAGGTCATGATAAAATGTTTAGTTCAAAATGAATTGTTTAGAGCAAATGGCCACGCCTGAAATTGTCCACAGTGTGCTGTAATAGCTGCATGCAGACCGTCACTTCAAAACTTGAAATAGTCCCACTGGGCTTTTGTATTGTGTCCTCTGAGTGCTTGGTTTGATGGGTCAGTTGACTGAGATATTATTTGCACTCTCCCTGGTAAACGCTGTATGCAGTTTGGTCCCATCTCATTGCACTGCATTCAATACTTTATTTATTTTAATTCTGTTTAATTTACAGTTATATAGCACTTTTTTACTTGCAACTAAGAACCGAGTTCCTTGGCAGTCACATCCTTTATTAAAAGGTCCCATAATTCGCTCTTCTTCATTTTTACACTGTCCATCCAGATCAAATGTGCGAGAATAATTTGGGTGATATACCATACAACATTCAAAACCTGTGAAATGTATGCCATTTCTTGCATAAAGATGATGTCACCTCAATAAAAACTAGCTGATGTCTGCTCCTCTGCCGTTAAAGCTAACTGTTCAGCTTTCGCCAGTATGTAGTCATTACAGACATGAGAATAAACTTTTTCAACAATGGCTTTACGTAGAGAACTATGTTCTCGATCCAGAATTTCACTTTCATCCTCTCAAGAATGAAAGAGAAAGATCCTTCTCAAACTAAAGTTTGAGGGAATCAATGAAAAAACTACTCCGGGCATGTGAATGAATGCCAAATAGCACTGTAATGATGTTTAAAGCAGAGAAACGTCAAAAAGCGTTATATGAGACCTTTTAAAGGAGGCTCATTTGGATTAAAAAGTCTTATTTCTAAATGTCTGTCTTAGTTTTGGAACAGACCCATGCCATTGCACTTCAATCTGAGTGGAGGACTAGCCAACTGTTTGGGACTTTGCTCATCAAAAACCCAGACCATCAACAGATCCATTTGAGCTTTTTTCAAAGAACTTGTACGACTCATCACATTCTTTTTTTTATTATGGTGACCTATTTTCATTTGGGAAAGCCCAGGAGCTTCACTTCTGGGAAATGGTGGCCAACAGTCTGTCCCTTCTCTTGTAATGTCAAATTCCCTGCTGCAAGAGCAGGACTTGTTTTTGCTCAGACACTGCAATGCACTGAGAAAAGGTTCTCTGGTCCGGTTTCACGACCAATAGGTCATGAGACATTATTGAGAACTGTCCACAACGCACATCCATAATACGAAGGAAAGCACAATAAACCTCTGAAAAGGATGCTTGTATTAGATTTGATTAAATCTTCTAATCTGTAAATATAAAATAAAATTGAAGTCAAAGAAGTGCTCCGATGAAGATGTTTAGGTCAATTGCATTGACTTTGAACAAATAATTGTATTAAAAATACACAAAATACTTTAAAGATATTAAACAAACACAATAGATTTGTAACAACGGCTTTCAAACATGCTCTTTCTTCTAAGTGTGAGCGTCCCATCAGATCTGTGTGTGTGTGTGTGTGTTAAATGATCAAAATAATCAAAAAATGGGTAACAAACATGCTTCAAGAACATCTATAGTATGTGAACAATATTTTGACATGTTGGCATTGCACTTTAGAACTCAAGTCTTTATAAAGTGCAATGCAAGGACAAAGTTTGTTTCTAAAATATATTTTTTATAATACAATTACCATTTTCAACAAATGTATTTGATCAGAATTTCCATTTTTGTTGAACTTGACCAAAACAAGGATTCATCTTGGACGTTAAGAGGTCTTTTACACAGCTGGCCTGGCATATAAAATCATTCCATTTAACTGAATCAAATTAAAATGTTAAGCAGTTTTCTGACTGAGTACCGCCACCAGTTCTTTCACCACAGTTTTAAACTAACTGCTTTGGGGTAAATTGAAGAAAGTTGATGTTTATTGTGTGTGGGAGTCTTATCTCCCAAAGTGCTTAGACGCCAAAATAAAATACAGGCAGGAAAAAAGATTTCCCTTACGGCTTTGAAGTTCTGGCTGAGTTCCTAGATTTTTTTTACATGCACCAGTAGCAGCTCAGCAGAGGCCTGTATCTGCTGTATGCACCTGCCGAAAGGTGACAGCGATAACAACAGTTGACCCCCAACCTTTCATGATGCCATCAGTCAGGCTGGCCGAGTGGAGCCAGGTCCCTCTCTGTAACCCCAGATAAGTGAAGACAGAGCACTGCTGTTGACCGACGGACACCCAGGAGCCTCAGAGCCTCAGAGTCAGAGCCTGGGACCACCAACTCCAGCTGCGGACATCCTCCATGTGCCCCCATCTTCTGTTTGCCAGAAGATGCTGCTTTAGTTAAACTTTTGTTTTTTGAAAAGAAAGGAAAAAGGAAATTGGCAGTGAATGCACTTCGTTGGGACTAAAATAACAAAATCCTCTCAAATAAATAATTACACATCAACTACTAGCTATCTCCACATTGTTTAGGTTAGTGGCCAAGCAACCACTAGACTCACTGTACCTTATGAAGATTACCCATCACAGGAGAGATGGGGCATTGGTAGTTAGGTAAAAAAAAATCAGATTTAATACATGCAGGTTACAGTCAATAAAGTCAAAAATAAGATTTTGTATTAACTTTACAATGTGTACATATAAAAGGCCTACTAAATTAATTGGTCAATTAATTGACCAACGTACAAAATTAATTGACCAATTAATTTAGTACATAGAAGAAACCATTTTGGAGCATTGACCTTTTCATGCTCCACTTTTTATAATTAGCTAAAAGTCTGGCCCCTAATAAACCTCTAAGGGTCCATTTGCGTGAAATATACAGTCTCGCTAACAGAGCTGTCTGCGTGATTCTGTCCAAACGCTCAGATCCCGTCCATTAGCATCCTCAACGAGAGTCTTCTGATCTGCAAACAGCCTCAAGTAAACTCATTTTAGCGGGCCCTGCTCTCCTCTCGCCGCCTGCCCTAAAGGGATCAATACCAATATGAAAAACCTGGATTCCATTCTGAGTAGACCACAGTGATGCCTTTGCTTGAATACAAATCACAGCTCTCACTAGATCTGCCTGCAATGTGATCCCCAAGGAAAGCGGCATCTATAGAGTTCTCCTGTTGGGTTTGGAATGAAAGGTGGTTGCCCATCAGAACCGTTTAGATGATCAGTGGGCAGGGGGGGACTCCAGGGGAAGCTATGCTGCAGACGACTTGGTAAACACCACAATTATCTCATAACTTTCATCCGGTTTTCTTTGCAAGCTGAGCGCAAGTGTTTGAGTGGCTTTTCAGGCATACAAACAAGTGCAGCTTCACCAAATGCCGAAACACAACAACAGCTTGGGGCTTAATCATTGAAATTACTTTGCAAAAATGACTGCAGCATAACACATTGTACATGCTAAATTAAAATCATCTTCATTTACAGGACAACAAGACGCTGCTCCTAATTGTAATCGACTGTCTGGTTAGAGAGATAAGTGAGCGCTCAATGTTTACAAGCAACAAACTTGAATTGAACTTGCGACAGCAAATGTGGGCCAAGTGAGCCGCTGGGCATCTCAGTATTAATTTGAGAAAACTTATGTTTCAGTTTTGAAATGAAGGCATATTAAAAGATTATTTCTACAGTTTGACACAAATAAGTTCAAATGTAGCTGAAGCAGTTTTTAACCTGGAGGACTTTTCACTAAACAAGTTTCTGACCTTAGAATCTCTTCTACAGTTGCTAAAAACCTCTCCACTTGAGTAAAGCACTCTGAAAAGAGATATGGATTAAAAGTGGGGATGTAGAGAGGGTGCGATCGAACTGTCCCAGCGTTGTCCTGTTGCTTAGTAGACCTGGTTAAGCCTCAAAGGCAAATACAATACGGATGGCACACAGGTGATAGCATTTTCTGATCTCTACCCAATGTATAACACACTGGCAGTGTTTGAACATTTAATAATGGATAATAGAAGGACCATAATACTGTTTATGTTGGCTGTCCACACACAAAAGATGTATTATGAAAGTTCAAAAAATGTCTCTTACATATAGAATACAATTTTTAGGATGAATTTCTACAGGGTGGTCAAAAGTATTAGATTTTTTTTTTTTACAAAATACAAAACTTTGTGGTACCATTAAAAAATTACAATGCTGTACTATGGTTATTGATGTTATGAATTGCAGCTCTATGAAAAAATGTATTTCTTACAACATCATTGTGGTATCAAATTTCAGGTTAAGTATCAGAATCGGGTTTGTGATTTTAGTATTGTGACAACACTATTTTCTAAGTGCATATACATACTCTAAACTGTACTGAAGATGCAAGAAATCTATTATTGTATTCCAATACCAAACCCAGATGAGAGATATTGCCAGATGTACCAAATCAGTAATCTGCAAAAGGCAACAGGAGTCGTCCCTAAGCAAGCACTTGGGAGACAACAGTTTTGTGCTCTACACTCCCTCTGACATGCCTTCAACATTAAGATCTGCACCATCTGATATTTTGACACTGCGTCCATTGCTTCCGGGTCCCAGAGGCCTAAGTGGCTCGAAAGTCTCGCTTCACCATCCATCCTGCCTCCTCCGACACCAGTTACCCTCTCACTCACCTCTGCCACAATCACCACATGCCACAACAGCGCTCGTGTCCTGGGATTCACAGACAATTGGACTTGACTGGGGCACAACCTCATTCATACAGAGCCCCTCACGACTTGGACATGTGGAAGAAAAAAGAAATAAAACTGCTCAAGTTGAGGTGAGCGCAGGGCAACAATTGGGCATTAGTACGGCTGTCTCTGTCACGCTAAATCCTTCTGACAGCTCATCTTGATTTCTGCACTCAATTTATCCACGTCAAATCAAGCTGAAAGCCCCAGTTAACACTGGCAAATACAAAGAAACCATAGACTCACCATTGTCACCATATCATTATTAACTGTGTACTGGTTTCAATGTTTGTAATGCAATAATTATGTGGTTGTTATCTTGAGGAAATTACCTTTAAAACTATGTATAACATGCCATAGTGTAATGGCATGTTAAATGCATAATTTGCATTTAGAATAGAGCCATGATTATATTAATAATGTCATAGTAGAAAAAGCCTGCCACCATTGGTCTCAAGCAGTGTCTCCCAAAGTGGGGTCCGCGGCCCCCTGGTGGGCCGCGAGGGTACTGCAGGGGGGCCGCGGGAGGTCATAAAAAAAATAAAAAAAATAATATAATTATTTAATGTTAAATTTATAATGTTTTGTTTGTAATATTAAAATATTTGTGTTCATTATTTGACTTGAATAATCCACTGTAATCATTTTTGTGTTACAATGTTTGTAGCAGAGGCTATTTCCCCAAAATAAAATAACCAGAAGAGCCCATTCTTAATGTTGTCTTCTTGGTTATTATTTTGGGGGGCCACGCAGACCCGTCAGATTTTTAAGGGGGCCTCGGTGTTACTGAGTTTGGGAATGGCTGGTCTCAAGTATTACTGAACCAGAGGCAAACCAGTTGCACTAGTGCTAGAAGAGAGAATACATATTTAGAGGCAAAATACGACTGTTTATGTGCCAATAACTAAACAATAGTTTAAATGACCAATTATACTGACAGGCTATCATCAAATGTCAGGATTTTGAAGGACTTCAGATTTCCCCATCTGACCCTCTGGACTTCCCATATTGATATTGATAAAACACACATAGCTGTTCATTACATACAAGTCATAAACCTCTTGCATCAGAGAGAAAGTAATTTATTCCTGTTGAGACGAGCCAAGCATCTGAAATAATCCCTGGCGTGATCACATCCTGTGTCGCTAGATTTATTATGCTTTATGAGTTGTACATGACGTCGACTTTTATCGGCTTTGAGCAGGGGCCTGTTTAATTGTCTCGAAGGATTACTCAAAAGTACGCCAAGACCATGCGCAGTTGGCATTACTGGAATTTAGAGTATTCATTACACAGCAATGACGATGGGAATAAATAACAGGCCGTACCACTCTTTGACATGGTAATGATGAATTATATTATACCATCTCACAATGTCAATGAGATGGCATGGTATTGATTGTACAGTCCATGTTACATGATAAACAACTTGATTTAGATATAGTCTTTTTAGATTAAATGTAAAGCCGCTAGAATTACAATACGAATCTTTGCAATTAGCCAATATAAAAACATACAATTATAGTTGGTACTTGGCAAATCTCATCTCAAATTGGTCTCATAATTAAGTGTCTTCCGCTTTATCCATTGCTGGGCTGCAGGGGAAGCAGTCTAAACGCACGCACACACGCTCCAGCTCATGGGCGCCCCTTTAGAGAATGAGGGGGCTGAGAATGAGGGGGCTCTGCGAAGGAAACTCATTTTGACCGCTTGAATCCGCAATCTCATCCTTTCGGTCATTTCCCAAATCTCGTGGCCATACTTGAGGGTGGGAACGTAAACATTGTGAGAGTAGCCTTTTGGACTCTGCTTCTTTTTCAACACAACAGTTTGATATAGCAGCTGCAAACCCAGACTCCTCCACTTGAGTCTAATCACTGTATTACTAATATTACTAATATAGACTGCTGCTGTTTTCCAAAAAGTTTCACACTTTGTGCACAAGTGCTAATATACAATTTCAAATGGGTTTCTAATCATCATTAAGCATTGTGAGACAAATATTAGACACAATGTACCATTTGGTTTAGCTCCTTACATCTGACAAATCTGTTATGTCTGATGCCCCTGTCTGATCAGTGAGGTCAGGCCCAGGTTTTGTGTGTCCAGGACTCATCTAAAACTCCCAAATTGTGGAATAGTCTGCCTCTGTACATAAGAGTAGCTCCTTCAAATGAGTTTTACTGTTTTACATTTTACTTGTATGTGTGTGTATTTTTTATTATTATTATCATTATCATCATTATTACAGTATGAATAGGAAACTGCACCTCTGCTGCAGAAATCCGATGAAGGGTGCGACTCCAGTCCCTGGTCCAATCATCACAAAAGGCACATAGGGATCAGGCGGCAGGCGGAAGGAGCAGTTCGGTCGTAAACTCATGTGGACCTGTAGTCAAAGGCCATAACACAAATATGAATTAATGAGGCTAATTACAGCTATGCTTCAGGTCCACTGAGGGTCTCAATGGATTTATTGATCGACTACAGGGAAATTCTAATGAGAAAGTTTATGAGCGCACAATAAAATCTATAGTTTGTATTAGTTGAACTTCGCAGTATATGCAAAGCCAAATGGTCTAATAATATAGGAAGAAATTTAGTGTTGCGGGTCGAGCATGAATATTTATACATAATTAGAGTAAGAATAAGTGTCCTTTTACTGCTTTTGACCAAATGCAAATGACCACAAAAGAGATTTTATAAGCCTGTTTTATTCATGAAAAAACAAATACTTTTGGTATGTAGTCTCACGGCATAGAACACTTAGAAACAAGCAGTAAACTACATGACATCTGCGTAAGTTTTTTTTTTTTTTAAACCAGGCTATAAACTCAAACAAACTGTGTTTAAAAAGAAACTGCCATTCTCCATTGTACCAGGCAAGAAAACTTTACCCAAGCTATAATGGAACAACTCTTGAACTATGATATTTGTCAGGGGCAGTAACCTCAATTGGCATTTTAATAGAATGAGACAAGACAGAAAGGAAGGGACATTTAACCTTTTCAATTTGGAGTAGAAACTATTAAACCGCCTTTGACCACATGTACTTTCAAATTAGAGCACTTAAAATATATCAAGCAAGTCTGAAAAAGAGCCAACGTTTTCAGTTCATCATTTTCCAGTGAACTCATTACCTTTGGCAGAAGCTGGCCGTTGGAGGACTGCAGGGATGGGCTGATGAGGTCAAACAACCATCCAGTACACAAGCCGCGCCTCGCATCGGGCCGCCCAGAGCATGCTGGGAACTCCACCACGCTGAAGACCAAATGCACCTTTGCTGGGTGCATCAGACAGGAGCTACAGAGAGATGGAGCGTGGGGAGAAGCAGGAGGATGGAGACGCAGGGGAGGATGGAAACAACAGGCAGGGTAGGTGGCAAACAGAGGAAGAAATATAATGTAACAATGTCTAAGATCCAAGTGAATATATAACATTTAAGTGAGATCACTGAAAAATATAAAGATACAAAGGTAAATCAGACTGACCTGATGACAATCCCTCATATTTTTACAAAGACACAGTAAAAACAATACTGTAAAGGCAAAAACATTTCAGACAAAGCCTTGTATATGAAACTAATTTGAGGCCAGTACAGAATTCACTTGGGATTTAGTTAGACACCTGTGATGACCCACAAACCATACTGTTTCATACCTGTGTTATGGTGTTACAGTGCCTTGCGAAAGTATTCTTTCAACCTTTTGCCACATTTCAGGCTTCAAACATAAAGATATAAAATTCTAATTTTTTATCATGAATCAACAACAAGTGGGACACAATCGTCAAGTGGAACGAAATTTATTGGATAATTTAAACTTTTTTAACAAATAAAAAACTGAAAAGTGGGGCGTGCAATATTATTCGGCCCCTTTACTTTCAGTGCAGCAAACTCACTCCAGAAGTTCAGTGAGGATCTTTGAATGATCCAATGTTGTCCTAAATGACTGATGATGATAAATAGAATGCACCTGTGTGTAATCAAGTCTCCGTATAAATGCACCTGCTCTTTGATAGTCTCAGGGTTCTGTTTAAAGCGCAGAGAGAACCATGAAGACAAAGGAACACACCAGGCAGGTCCGAGATACTGTTGTGGAGAAGTTTAAAGCCGGATTTGGATACAAAAAGATTTCCCAAGCTTTAAACATCTCAAGGAGCACTGTGCAAGCAATTATATTGAAATGGAAGGAGTATCAGACCACTGCAAATCTACCAAGACCCGGCCGTCCCTCCAAACTTTCATCTCAAACAAGGAGAAGACTGATCAGAGATGCAGCCAAGAGGCCCATGATCACTCTGGATGAACTGCAGATAACTACAGCTGAGGTGGGAGAGTCTGTCCATAGGACAACAATCAGTTGTGCACTGCACAAATCTGGCCTTTATGGAAGAGTGGCAAGAAGAAAGCCATTTCTCAAAGATATCCATAAAAAGTCTGGTTTAAAGTTTGCCACAAGCCACCTGGGAGACACACCAAACATGTAGAAGAAGATGCTCTGGTCAGATGAAACCAAAATCCAACTTTTTGGCCACAATGCAAAACGATATGTTTGGCGTAAAAGCAACACAGCTCATCACCCTGAACACACCGTCCCCACCTCAGCTGTAGTTATCTGCAGTTCATCCAGAGCGATCATAGGCCTCTTATCTGCATCTCTGATCAGTCTTCTCCTTGTTTGAGATGAAAGTTTGGAGGGACGGCCGGGTCTTGGTAGATTTGCAGTGGTCTGATACTCCTTCCATTTCAATATAATTGCTTGCACAGTACTCCTTGAGATGTTTAAAGCTTGGGAAATCTTTTTGTATCCAAATCCGGCTTTAAACTTCTCCACAACAGTATCTCGGACCTGCCTGGGGTGTTCCTTGTCTTCATGGTTCTCTCTGCGCTTTAAACAGAACCCTGAGACTATCAAAGAGCAGTTGCATTTATACGGAGACTTGATTACACACAGGTGCATTCTATTTATCATCAGTCATTTAGGACAACATTGGATCATTCAAAGATCCTCACTGAACTTCTGGAGTGAGTTTTCTGCACTGAAAGTAAAGGGGCCGAATAATATTGCACGCCCCACTTTTCAGTTTTTTATTTGTTAAAAAAGTTTAAATTATCCAATAAATTTCGTTCCACTTCACGATTGTGTCCCACTTGTTGTTGATTCATGACAAAAAAATAAAATTTTATATCTTTATGTTTGAAGCCTGAAATGTGGTGAAATGTTGAAAGGTTCAAGTATACTTTCGAATACTTTCGCAAGGCACTGTATATAACCACTTAAAAAATTCTTGAGCAAAATTGTGAAATGTCTCACTTCAGTGGATTAAAATGTGACGAGTCACTCTAAGGTGTAATTTTGATCATTAGATTGTGCTGTTAGTGACTCAATTGAGACATGGAGAAAAGTCTGTGTAACCAAACTGTGAAAGGCAATTAAAAGTATACTGCAAACTTGTGACGAGTGATGATAAATGTGAGTAATGAGCTCTGCAGCATCACTGCATCTGTTTGTCAAATGCTGATATCATATAAAAGATTGAGAAGAAACAAGCCAGCTCTATATTCCAGAGCATGTGGCTGTAGCACGGAGCTCAGTCCCTCTCACTCCCATCCCTCACTCTCTGCGCTCCTGTGGGCCACTGGAGACCTCTATTGACCACAGCATCAATAATGCAGGCCTCTAATGTGTCCATGCTCCATCTGATAAACTACAGCCACCACAGTCTCTGCTGCCTCTCAGCCCAAACACACAGCACAGGAGCAGCAGACCAGAGTCTAATGACCCGCGATAGTTTTGACAACAGCACAATAACAAATCAATGACAAAACACAGATTGAATTAAGTTAAGACACAGTGCACGGTTGCGACGTCTGAGCCGCATCATGTATTTATTCAAATGTCACGTTTTAGTTCATCTGCTTCAATAACCAAAACAACTTCCTAAAATGTACTTTCTGTTCCTGGATTGTCTTCGAAAATAACACATGTTGTTTGTACCAACAAAAAGAAAAAGTCTTGTCAAATGTTGTGAATGTTGTTAATCTTATGAGAATACAGGTTATCTTACACATATTTGTAGGAAAGCGCCCTGTGAGTCACTATTTGACTCTGTAGGCTGAGCGCTGTTTGGCTGAGTCAGGGTAGATCGATCTTTTGCACTTTTCTTTCTGAAGAAGCTGATCTAAAAGGTGTGACAGAGGCCAAAATGTGAAATGTGATGGATTGGATTTTTTGTCTTTTGAAAGCTCGGAAACCCCAGCATAAAAGTTTCCATCTTGCATTTAACCAATCAAAAAGTGTTTTCATGTCTCAAAAAAATACATGGATTCAGTCCATACCAAACGGACCAAGTTGGACCATCTTTGATTTGGATGGAATGTTGGACAGTGATGGGGCCATGCTTTGCCTCATGTGAAAAATATAACTAACAAACGTTGGTCGCCACAGCTGAAATCTGGACCAGAAATAAAATGATTCCACTCTGGGATGCTCTTTGTGTTGAAATACGGACCTTGTAAAATGGATAAATATTTCACCATTTGGTCGATGCCTTTCCTTGGAGTCGGCACTTCCTCCTGTTGTTTTCACTATTGTTTTTATCCACATGGATTTTATTTATATATTCCTTGGTGAGTGAAGTTGAAGAAAAAGGAACCCAGTCAATAAATCCCACTGGAGTTTTGAGAGCTTATGAGATTTGGATTATACTAGAGTGGGTTTATTGAATTCACTTTTCAATAGGTAGGAACATAATCTAGAACCTTTAGTAACCTTTGGGCGAATGAAATTGTCAATTATTTTTGCAGCTGCCCTTATAGTGTTCATAAGTCTGTTATACTCTTCTTGCTGACGTAAAATGTGATTTTTAAAAAGGTCATGCCATATACGAACTTGAACTATATACCATAGTTCATAAATCCTTAATTTACAAGAGTATTTAAAAAAAACACTATTGGGATGATTTTTGTTTACTATTATTATTTTTTACATAGAGCTTTCTTTTGGTGTCATAAATACAAAAAGAAAAAGTGATAGAACCAAACTGTTTTGAGTGCTAAGAACTCAGAAAACAGAACTATTTTACATGGAAAGGGGGCATTATGCAACTTTTTTGTGGAAGAAAAAGTTTATATTTTTATGTAATTGACCTCACACAGCCAATGGCTGTGTGAGTGGGACGCCTTTACTGTCCATCAGTGGTCACTAGGCAGTTTTTACAAAACAATTGATCCATGTCGACACACCCCGAATCCCAAGAAAAGGCACCATTCGGCCCACTCTTAATGCTAGTGGGTCACTACAAGGTAAAATATTCGAAAACATAAAACTTAAAATTTTTCACAAAAAAGTTGCACCTTTAAGAAAATTAATGGATAGAAACTAATTCTATCAAATTATTGTGAGCAGAGGACTTAGACAAAAGACCTCATCATGGAAAACTAAACCCGATTTGTGCATTTACACTTTCAATTACACAGTATGCAGTATTGTACCTTGCTGCGGAGTACGGCCGGGGCTGCAGTTTAGGCAGGTGCTCTGAAATGAGATAAAATATACATACAAATCAGAGCTGTCAATCACCGCATGTCTCGCATGGATTGTGTTTCACAGATAGTGTGACAGAGATGAGACGGAATGAGTGAATGTCGTCTTGGTTTTTTGAGACACTCCACTACCTATAGGGTTCCTACATCCTCCTGGGTACAACATACATATACAGCCTTATTTCCAGGACACACTTACAAAATTACAAACTCAGGGTTATGGAGTCCCTTGTGTCCAGATGTGGAGCCAGTAGGAAACAGCTTGCTCATTCAGCCCATGAAGGTGCCCTCTTTGGGCTAATGGGAACGGTGTATTACATTGGTGAGGAGCCGTCAGTTCATCAGAAGAAGTTGTAAGAGTTGACTTTGCCATCCTTGCAGTAGGCACCATTTGAAAGTGTATGAATGCGCTCACAGTGAACTCCCCTGCCTGGTATCAAGGAGATGGATGAACAAGGGAGAGTAAAGTTGTACCATATGCGCTATCTGAGGCCTTACAACAACACATTTTTCTGCTAAATTGCTCAGTAAGACAAACAGCTGGACAGAATCTGCTCGCTCCTCTTCTTTTCTCATAGTATAAACAGCTGTGTTAAGGAGAAATCTGATAACAATTTATTGAGCCAAACAGATTTACCTGCACTTATAACAAATCTCCAATTATTACACGCAGCCCAAAGGCACAGATTTAAAACTATACGACTACTGAAGGCCGTGGGGCCTTGTTTGGCGGATTGTGGCGTTCAAACTTTGCGACAGCCATAAATACTTCAAAATAATACAAGGGGACAATAGAATGACCTGTCCTGTACAAAGTTAAAACATTCCTGGTTATTATAAAAATGGACTAACAGGCTGACATCATTCACAATGTTTGCTAAATGTGGAAGAAGCCAATTTGAACCTGAGCTAGCTGGAGACAATTTTCTTATATAAGCATTTTTTTTGCTAGGTTTGCGCCGAGAAAGGGGCAGGAGTGTTCCTAAGGCAAGCTTTGGCATCTGATTGGTAAATCCTTTTGGCTCATATCTGGATTTGCAAAGACAACATTGAATCATACTGTAAACACCAAGATCACAGAGAGCCCAAAATAGTGAGTGGGAGACAAACGGTTACGGAGCAAGAGGAGTTTATTGAGCCAGGGGGTTATAAAGTCTACGGTTTAAGCTCTAAGGTGCATTGTAAAACGTGTCTGGTGGTGTCATTTTTACCTGGATTATTCCAGTGTGCCACTGAACTCAATAGAGACAAGATTGTAACATTGCCATTGTCTCTGATTGTATTTCCCAGATAATATTGAGCAGCGTGAAAGTGTGAAAGTGTGTAATTTTGAATATTACCATATTTCAAAATTACTTTCTAAAATGTATTTGCCATTTTTTACACCATTCAATCCAATAGAAGAATGATATTTGAAGAAGAACACACACCTCATCTATTAGAGTGCGGGTATGTTAAGAGAAAAACTGCTCTCTGGCTGACTGCTGACTTTCTATCACGGTGTGACAGCATATGTCCAAAACACCAGACAATCAATCCATCATCTCACTCCACTGCACCTTGATGATAGCGCTGCTAGACACAAAGGATATATCCCGTTAGACCCGCACTAGTCACGGGGTTTCAGGATACACGATGCATTTCGAAAGAAGTTCTGGTTTTGAAAAATAGTCCCACAGTCCCATACTTTGTTTTCTGAAATGATCATTTTCAGGGTATCATCGATCAACACGACAATATAATCTATTCCATCTCAAAACTTTGTGTGCTGCAATTTATATCCAAAAGGTACTGTTTTAAAAGGAAAAGAGAAGCAACCCGGATCGACTTTTCTGAAATAATTTATTCTAGCTTTAAGAATCCAGGTTACAATTATGATATTCAGAAGAAGTCTCCTTAGGACATTTGTAACACATACAAATGCTAATGCCAGGCTACTTCTGAGAAATGTACCTGCAAGCTCATGACTTTTTATTAGGCATGTTCAAGTTCACAAGCATTTGATATAGCTTCATTTAATTAGGATGTGAATTTAAGTGGCCTCAGTGGCAAAGAAATACAGCTATTTTTCCAAAGAAATTATACAACCACTGGGGAAAGACACTCGGTTACAAAAGGTCCAAAATTCTAAAGTAAGTTTAGCTTGGTATGATTTCATTTGAGCCTGAAGAGAAAAACAAACTAAAAAGATGTGCTAAGACAGCGCATTATTCCCTCAAGTTATGACCCCAAAACTTTTCTTGTGGCACTACAGTTTATAACAAGAGCTGACTTTCTTCAACAGTGTTTTTCCCTATACATTATGCACTGGTCAAAGACATCTGGGCTTAATCAAGATCTCACCTCGTTATTAATAGTTACAAAGTATCAGCATAAACACAAACGACTGGCGTAATGAACCAAGTGCAAAATGCAGCGGAAAACTTTCAACACCCTGAGTCAGGACTGCCCCCTGCCCCAGTCTGCCCCACCACACTCCTGCCCTTGCAAAGTCAGTAGCTCACCAGTAAACAGACCCAGTGGTGCCATCCTCATAACAGCTGGTGCCCCAAAGGCCCTCCAACCCCATATTTTTCACTTGGGCACAATTGTCCGGATTGCCAATTTCTGCATCGGTTCAGCAGAGTAAAAAAAGGTGCTGTTGTTGGCAAATAGGCCAAAAATAACAGTGACACGAGGAAGAGCAGTAGTGTGACACAGCTGTTTTAGAGGACAACTCAACTCAGTACGAAAAGTGCGGCCAAGCTCGTTTCACTGTCTGCTAAGTTTTAGTCAACGCCTATTAAATTTATACTCAGCCAAAAGTATTAATGAGCTGACTAAAAGTTATTTGGCGGAGATTAAAGCAAGGAGGACTTTGAGAGACCAAAGCACAACTTCAAATTACTGTGAAGGTCTGTTTCTGTTATTTTGATCAATTATATATACACCTACGTATAAAATGCTGTTTTTAGTAACAAAGAAAACACATTAAAATTATGCATTCCATCTGACTGTAACTGCATTGAACCACACAGTTCATGAATGTTCCGATTCTGAAGCATTTTGTCCAGCATCTGATCATTCAGAAACTGGTAAGGCAACTCAATAATGTTTTACCCTTTCTTTTTTAGGGCTACAGTGACACCTACAGTACAAAACATATACCTCCTGGAATGTTCTTTTAAATTCACTTTTTAAGAAACCTTATTTACTATATGGCCTGAGGTCTTATTGTTTAACAATGTGAAACATTTAGGAGTTTATGTGTTGTTATTTCAACAGCTGCCATGTGCAAATTTCAGTCTCATATCAATCACTCATTCCCATTTGTTCTGTGCATGTACTGAGGAGACTCTTTAATTAAGCTATAGCATCTGGTATGGGAACAAGAAAAAAAAAAGTTTCCAAACTATTAGTGTATACTTTGAAACATTTAACTCAATTACTGTGTCAGAAGTCTGATTTATTAAAAGTAATCCCACTAGGGCTCAAGTTTATGTTTTAAGGGTGAAAACCAGTGTTGGGCACGTTACTTTGAGAAAGTAATTAGTTATAGTTACTAGTTACTTCTCCCAAAAAGTAACTGAGTTACTAACGGAGTTACTCCACTATAAAAGTAACTAGTTTCCAGTGAAAGTAACTATTGCGTTACTTTTTTGTTTTGTTCTGGAACATAATGTGCACTCGACGTGCACATTTTTACCTTTAACCTCAGTGAGTCTGAAATAGTGCAGATATTTCCATCTGGAAAAGGCTGTTTTGCTGCTAAAGTCCTGTTCACTCTTCATCTCTCTCTGTGCTGTAAGCACTAAACACCAACACCCGCCACTGTGAATGTGGAAACACCGGTGAAGCACTGACTTCAGCCCAATCAGATGAACATATATATCATAGAAATCAACTGGACCTAGAGAGCGGCTTATTCACAGTTTGTTTGGCTACAGCAAAATATGTTTCATGCCCACATTGTTTGTTCATACAAAACGCAAAACTATGAGTTATGGGTCTTACCTTATAAATGACCTGCACAGTCCACTTCGGTTCAGACCAGTTCCGTGTTTAAGTCCAGATAATAATTTGAGCGTAGATATGTAATCCTCCATTTGTAAATAAGTCCAATGAGTTTTAAAAAGAAAAACAAAACGCGTGTGTCCTCCATAAACCTTGGAATATACCTTGGAATAATAATTGACTCACACCTTTCATTCAAAGCTCACATTAAAAAAACATGCAATAAAATTAAATACAACCTCTGCAACTTCAAACACATCCGCCACCAAATGTCTACTCCAGCAGCCAAAATGTTTATGCACTCCATGATTCTGTCCCACATCACATACTGTCTCCCTACCTGGTCCCTAGCAAACACCACAGCCCTGAAACCCCTGCACTCACTCTACAAACGGACGGTAAAAACCCTGGACAAGAAACCATCACTCTCACCACTGTCCCATACTACACAAACACAAACTTCTCACTCTCGATAACATGGTCAAGTTCTCCAATCTCTGTCTGGTCTATAAAATCCTTCATGGTCTTTCATCCCCACCTCTCAGTCAGTTCATCAATACCAGAAACAGCACCCACACCAGGACCAGGGGGGCAGCGAGAGGGGACTGTATCACCCCCCCAGTAAAAGCACATTTGGTCAATCTTCATTCTCCGTCCGTGCCACCTCAGATTGGAACCTCCTACCCACAACTATCAGAAATGCACCCTCTTACCTCACGTACAAAACACAGTTAAAACACTGGCTCATTGATAATCACACCTGTCAGCACTGACTCCGCCTGCTCTCGCTGCCCCCTGCTGGCCGCATGCTCTGTGTGCGCCTGTATGTGTTCTATGTCTGTCTCCATGTGATTGTGTTTTGTTGTTTGTTGAACGACGTGACTGAAGGTTTTACTGTCTTGTCCTTGTAAATATTGTAAATATCTCACATTATTTTAACTGTGTAGCAAACATGTTTTTATCTTTTCAGGAGACATGGGACTACGGATGAAAAATAGCCGTTTGGCAAATTCTGGCATATTTACAGAAATGTTCATTAATATGCACTGTCCCAGTAATAAATAAATAAATAAATAAACCCCTCTGTTTTGCTAGCTGCAGCCGGGTGCATCCAATTTCTAAAATCAACCGTCTTACACTTCACCTCTCTTTCTTATCATTCCTACAGTCATTGAAAAATTACCCTAAGTGCATTTTAAATTATCTTAAAATGTGTTACATGTATGTTAGCCAAACCTGTTGCAGCCCTTAGCAGATAAACCAGGAAAAGAAAGGAGCTTATCGATGGAATTGTATGCAGCCGACTTTTGCGCTCACATGCGCTCCTCTGAGGCTGGCCTCGCGGTAATACAAGCCTCGGTTGAGCGCGACTAAGACCCATATTTGTTTCAAAAACACAATTTATGAGCCATCCTCTCAACTGTAGACATGTGGATTGTAAAGGAAATATGTTTTACATCAGCCAATAATTGCTGAGAGGTTTTCTCATCCTCCCTTCTCTCACGACAACACGCGCACGAGTCCTATCAAGAAGTAAAAAGAGAAGTTCACTGTGCGTCTTGAGTAACGCGCAGTAACGGGACGTCGGAAATGATAACGGTGTTATAGTTACAGTCAAAGTAATTAGTTAGATTACTCGTTACTGAAAAAAGTAACGCCGTTATTCCCATCACTGGTGAAAACCAATGTTTGTACAACCCTTTAGATTTCAGGATTAATCTACTATTGCTGTTGTGAGCACTATAGAGTGAGCGAGGGTTATAGAATTTGCAATAAAAGAAAGTCCATATATATAAGATAAACAAGACCCACCTATGAGGAGGCTGAGGGGAGGCTGGCAGGATGGAAAAGCAGAGAGAAGCTCCAGGGTGCTAAGGCTTGGGTCTCGAATAAATGTATTATAATCCGCAGCGCCTTGTTTACTGCACAGCTCCTGTAGTCTCCGCTTCTGTGCACCGTCCCCTGTATATTCCACCAGTGCCCGAACTAATGCCTTATGAATTATGCATTTAGGAGAGTTTTTCATGAAATCAAATTGAAGCCAGTTAGTTAAACAATAAATAATAATTACAAAAAGGTGTGCAGCATTGAAAAACAACAAACCTTTTTGGGAACGTTTCTTATTTCTAGACACCATGTTAGCAGGTAAAACAGTGAAATGTTATTAGGGACATGAGATGGCACCTGGGCACCTAAACAAAGAAAGATGTTTTAGTAGTTGAATCTGCAGGGATATTATGTGCACTGTGCTGCATTATATTTATCAGTATATTATCAGTATAAGTAAAGCCAACTTCAACAACTTATAATATGAACACCACTGTACCTCTCTTCTTTGTGTCCTTTAATAGCGAAATAGAAACATGGTGGTTTCTTTTCTCCCAAAGACCTAACAAATGCAGAATCTGCTCTACTTCATCTGCTCTGTTTGGGCAAAACACATCAAATGCATCTCCTGGATGATAGTCCACTGGATAACACTAGAAAACACAAGTATATAGTTACATTGCTTGAATGTGCAATATGAAGTGCCTGTGAAACAGGTTTAAAACAAAAATCATGTTTACAGAGATGTCCAATTCAAGAAGAAGTGCGGTCTTCACGGCATCTCCACTCGTCATGTTGACAGCTTTTACAATGGGTACTTCATAAAGAGCACCTTTGCTTGGAGGCCCTGTGTTCTAAAAAACAAAAACAAATATAATCAAAGTTAAAATAATATTAAAATGCAAGAATACAACTTCAATATCTAACCTCGTCTTCTGCATCTACATTCTGAAGAGCAACCTCCAAGAAGTGAGGAGGTAAAGCAGGAACATTGAGAGACGACTCACACAGCGGAGGTAAAGAGCTTGTTAACGACAATGTGATGTCCGCCCTGTTCTCAGATGACGCTGGCTTGGGCTCAGAATTGGCAGTTTGTTTAACATTTGCTGCATGTTTATTAGCCAATGTGATAATTGAAGCGCTTTCTGCATTGGGCAGTTGATTACTGAGACTCAGGCGGTTAAACTGGACATCTGGTAAGAAAGGAGGTTGCATGGCATTTTCTTTCAACAGATCATTATTGTCAGAAGCCATTTTGTTTAATGCTTTTTTGATTGCTGTCCACAGTCCTTCGAGCCAAGGGTCTACGACCAGCTCCAACCTGAGCAGAAAGATCACAATTAAAACTACTGAAAAAAAAAAAATGTATGTAGTTATGTTTTCAATTGCTCCCCTCACCCAACACCGTCATCTGCATATCCTGTTGCATAAAATTGTTGTGCTCCCAGTTCTTGCAGTCGACGCTCAATTGTCTTTCCACAGCTACAGAAATTTGCATAATTTGTGTCTCCTAAAGCTAAAACAAAAATGACAAATGATCTATTAAAACCACAGAACTTTAGGGAAAACCAAGATTTTTTTAACATAAATCTTGTCTTCAGATACAAATACATTTAAAGATATGTTGAATTATTGACCTAAAAGTGCATAAGTCAGATGTTGGTAATGGTCAGGAAGAAGAGTTTTCTTCTTTATGCTCTTAACAAATTTAAGAGCATTGTCCGGCGGCTCTCCATCTCCAGTAGTGGACACAATGAATACCACAGGATCAACCTCTTTCTCTAAATTGTACTGAAACAAATGTATTCATTGTCAACAAACCCATTATTACACAAATCATCAACATTACAGTACTTGCTGGACTATAAGCCGCTATTTTGTTAATAGTGGCCCCTGAGGTGGGGTAACAGATTTGCACAAAGCTAAGAATCAGAATTACTTTTATTGCGATTGCAAGAAACAAGAAGTCACAACTAGTATCTTGCATTGGTATATGGCGCTTTTTTTTTTTTTTAAATAGATATAAAAAGGCATCTTCATACAATTCCAATATGAAAATTCACACAGCTCTATCAGCTGTTTATCTCCAGAGCTGATAATGTAGCACACATTCCTGCTCCCCGGTGTGTTAATGTGAACAGCAGAGAGAGCCGGAACGAGCCGGGAAATACACAGGCCATTTTTTTATGTGATTAGGGCTATAGTCAAAACAGAGTTTATGGAGTTATTATAGTATTTTGACCCAGTCAAATTTCAGGAGGGATGGGATTGGATTTTTCCTTAAAAGCACTATACAAAACCGATGCATTATTATTTATTATTATTATTGAGTCAACCGTATTAAACCGTATTAAAACACCTGTCAAACATGTTGTGTTTAATAGTCCAGCAAGTACTTATGATGGAATAATATTCAACAATCTACCTTTTCATTTTCATTCAAGCAGCTGAGCTCAGCCACAAGTCCATTTTTGTCAGCCTCCTCAGATATCCCCTCTGCAATGGCCTGAGCCTGACCCTTTTGAGACCCATAAAGTAACACAAACCGAGGCTTTACTTCACATGGCATTCTGTAGGAATATAAAAATGATACTGGTGAAAGGTCAGCTGTCATTTATCAGTACATTTTTTATGGATCACAAATTGAACTGGAAACCACAGACCAAGACATTTACCTCAATTATAAACAAAATTAAATAATTCCTGACTACAATTTCCTGCATTTAATGTATTGTTCGCTTGTTTGGGATTGAACCAAACCTTACCTACCTAGTCAGACGTCTAATTGTAGATCTTCCCCAACTGTTGCCCTATTGTGAAACCTATTGACACAGCAGACAAATAATGAAGTTACCTAATAAGCAGATTAAGTAGCCACGAGAGGGCCCTCAACGGTGCCTTAAGTACACAAACCAATGTTGTTTCACACTTAGGCAAATGTCAGACAAAATTAAAATTATAAGAAGTCTTATGATCGGTTATCAGCACCCATAACGTATTATTTGTCACCCTAACAGTGGCAGCAAAGTGACAGTGAAAAATAATGCAGCCCCCCCAAAAAAGGCTTGGGCTGGCACTGGATGGAAGTCATGGAATACATGCTATATTGGAATAACCAGGAATATCAATGACACTTCAGTGTAAACCCGAACACAGTCCAGTAGTCGGGTTGGTCACACACATTCTGTCTAATGTCGTATTAAACACATACTGGCTGTACTATTAATGTACAAAACACACGTTTTATACGGCAGAAATAGCATCATGTCAAATCGTAATTAAATTCTAGATATATTGTAAAGTTATACCTTTATGTGCTGTTTTTCAGCTGCTGTGCTCTCGTGGAGTGTGTGCGTGTGTCTGTATGCTCATGGAAATGTCGCGAGAAGACCCACGAGAATGGGCGAATCCAAGTTTTATTAACATCTATTATTGCTTTTAACAATCAAAACAAACCCTAATATTATTGATGCTATCGACTATAATTCAGCATTAATTTATAGACATCATAAATACATACAGCATTCATCAAATAATAAATGTTGCAACGAAGAATATTTCTGTGAAAGCACTTGGTTCCGCCCTCCCCGCCCGTGGAGTCTTCCAGAAGCCGCAGGAAGATTCGTGTGGCTCGCAGCTCAGCCACACTCGAGAAAAACATCATTTTCCACATTATTTGGACAATTTGCGCTTAGATTGTCTAATCAACTAAGAGCCAAGATGTCCAGCCTTGGGACGCTTGCTTTTGATGAGTATGGAAGGCCCTTCCTCATTATTAAAGACCAGGACACGAAGACTCGGTTATCCGGCATCGATGCATTGAAGGTACAATGAGCTTAGCTTGTCGCACTGTCGCATGCTGCTGGTGCTAGCTATCGTTTGTCTAATCATAGCATTCTGTTGTCATCGACGTTGTCATTTACATAGACGACGGATTATTTTTTATCTAGATGCATTTGGTTATTGCAAATATTTTAGACAGACGTGTGGCTTTGTAAGCGCTTACCTGGTTATTAGCCTGTCATGCTAGCATAGCGGCCCATGTGCGTTTGCAGAATTCTGTGTGCAGCCTCTGGGTGATGCTGCCGACATGTTCCGCCCTTACCCTTTCAATTCCTGTTACGGCTTGATTATATATATATATATATACTAGTCATTAGTAGCTCTTACCACCTTTTTTGAATGCACTTTCAAGTTTCCAACACATTTCTTCAGAGGATAAATGCTGTATTTTCAATGTTTTTTTCCTTTTCCCCTGTAGTCACATATTATGGCAGCCAAGGCAGTAGCATCAACGCTTAAAACTTCTTTGGGACCCAATGGTAAGCGTGATCTTTTTTATTTATGAAAACCCCAAGGTCTTCATGTTTTTTATAGTATATAATTTGTTGTAGCAAAATGGTAGGCCGCATAATATTTTGATGCTCGGTTTAAGATTCCCAAATTATCTCTTAATGTTTTTCCATCCATCCACCCATCCATTTTCTTCCGCTTTATCCGTTGCCGGGTCGCGGGGGCAGCAGTCTAAGCAGAGACGCCCAGACTTCCCTATCCACACACACCTCCTCCAGCTCGTCCGGGGGGACCCCTAGGCGTTCCCAGGCAGCTGAGAGACATAGTCTCTCCAGCGTGTCCTGGGTCTTCCCCGGGGCCTCCTCCCGGTGGGACGTGCCCGGAACACCTCCCCAGGAAGGCGTCCAGGAGGCATCCTGAACAGATGCCCGAGCCACCTTAACTGGTTCCTCTCGACGTGGAGAAGCAGCGGCTCTACTCCGAGCTCCTCCCGTGTGGCCGAGCTCCTCACCCTATCTCTAAGGGAGCGCCCAGCCACTCTGCGGAGGAAGCTCATTTCGACCGCTTGTATCCGCGATCTCGTTCTTTCGGTCATTACCCACAGCTCATGGCCATAGGTGAGGGAGGGAACGAAGATTGACCGGTAAATTGAGAGCTTTGCCTTTCGGCTCAGCTCCCTCTTTACCACGACGGTCCAATACAGAGACCGCATCACTGCGCACGCTGCACCGATCCGCCTGTCAATCTCACGCTCCATCCTCCCCTCACTCGTGAACAAGACCCCGAGATACTTGAACTCCTCCACTTGAGGAAGGACCTCTCCACCCACCTGGAGAGGGCATGGCACCTTTTTCCGGCCGAGCACCATGGCCTCGGATTTGGAGGTGCTGATTCTCATCCCAGCCGCTTCACACTCGGCTGCAAACCGTCCCAGTGCATGTTGCAGGTCCTGGTTCGTTGGAGCCAGCAGGACGACATCATCCGCAAAAAGTAGAGATGAAATCCTGTGGTTCCCGAACCGGACCCCCTCCGGCCCCTGGCTGCGCCTAGAGATTCTGTCCATAAATACAGTGAACAGAACCGGTGACAAAGGGCAGCCTTGGCGGAGGCCAACATGCACCGGGAACAGGTCTGACTTACTGACGGCAATGCGAACACAGCTCTGGCTCCGGTCATACAGGGACCGAACAGCCCTCAGCAGAGGACCCCGGACCCCGTACTCCCGGAGGACCCCCCAAAGGACACCCCGGGGAACACGGTCGAACGCCTTCTCCAAATCCACAAAGCACATGTGGACAGGTTGGGCGAACTCCCATGAACCCTCGAGTATCCGATGGAGAGTATAGAGCTGGTCCAGTGTTCCGCGACCGGGACGAAAACCACACTGCTCCTCCTGAATCCGAGATTCGACCATCGGACGTAGCCTCCTCTCCAGTACCTTGGAGTAAACCTTACCAGGGAGGCTGAGGAGTGTGATCCCACGATAATTGGAACACACCCTCCATTCCCCCTTCTTGTAGAGAGGGACCACCACCCCGGTCTGCCACTCCATTGGCACCGCCCCCGATCGCCACGCGATGTTGCAGAGACGTGTCAGCCAAGACAGTCCTACAACATCCAGAGACTTTAGATAGTCAGGACGGATCTCATCCACTCCCGGCGCCTTGCCACCAAGGTGACCTCGGCCAGGGAGATGGAAGTATCCGCCCCAACATCCTCTGCCTCCTGGACGGGGGACGTGACGGGGGGATTGAGGAGAACCTCGAAGTATTCCTTCCACCGCCCGACAATATCCCCAGTCGAGGTCAGCAGCCCTCCACCCGCACCGTACACGGTGTTGGCAAAGAACTGCTTCCCCCTCCTGAGGCGCCGGACGGTTTGCCAGAACCTCTTCGAGGCCGACCGATAGTCATGCTCCATGGACTCTCCGAACTCCTCCCAGTCCCGGGTTTTTGCCTCTGCAACAGCCCGGGCCGCGGCACGTTTGGCCTGCCGGTACTGGACAGCTGCCTCAGGAGTCCCACGAACCATCATTGCTCGATAGGACTCCTTCTTCAGCCTGACGGCATCCCTTACTGCCGGTGTCCACCACCGGGTTCGGGGATTGCCGCCGGGACCAGCACCAGAGACCTTGCGACCACAGCTACGAGCCGCCGCATTGGCGATGGAGGAAGAGAACATGGTCCACTCGGACTCGATGTCCCCCTCCTCTGCCGGGACCTGGGAGAAGCTCTCCCGGAGGTGTGAGTTGAAAGTCCGTCTGACAGGGGGCTCACCAAGACGTTCCCAGCAAACCCTCACTACACGCTTGGGCCTGCCAGGTCTGACCGGCCTCCTGCCCTGCCAGCGGATCCAACTCACGACCAGGTGATGATCGGTTGACAGCTCCGCCCCTCTCTTCACCCGAGTGTCCGAGACACGCGGTCGAAGGTCAGATGATACGGATACAAAGTCGATCATCGACCTCCGGCCTAGGGTGTCCTGGTGCCACGTGCACTGATGGACACCCTTGTGCTCGAACATGGTGTTCGTGATGGACAGGCCGTGACTGGCACAGAAGTCCAACAACTGAACACCGCTCGGGTTCAGATCAGGGGGGCCGCTCTTCCTGATCACCCCTCTCCAAGTGTCACTGGCATTTCCCACATGGGCGTTGAAGTCCCCCAGGAGAATAACGGAGTCCCCGGGCGGTGCACTGTCCAGTACCCCTCCCAAGGACTCCAAGAAGGCCGGGTACTCTGCACTACCGTTAGGCCCGTAGGCCGTCACAACAGTGAGAGACTTGTCCCCCACCCGGAGGCGGAGGGACGCGACCCTCTCATTCACCGGGGAGAACTCCAACACGTGGCGGCTGAGATGGGGGGCAATGAGTATGGCCACCCCAGCTCGCCGCCTCTCCCCGCGGGAAACACCAGAAAAGTGGAGCGTCCAACCCCTCTCAAGGAGTTGGGTTCCAGAGCCCAAGCTGTGTGTGGAGGTGAGGCCGACTATCTCTAGTCGGTATCGCTCAACCTCCCCCACAAGCTCGGGCTCCTTCCCCCCCAGTGAGGTGACGTTCCACGTCCCAAGTAAATGTTGGGTAGATGTTATGGGTAGTAGATGTTGGGTGTGTGGACTGGGTCGTCGAGGTCTCCGCCTTCGACTGCTGCCCAGTCCTCTCTGCACCTCGCCACCACGGACCCCTCTGCAGGTGGTGAGCCCACAGGAGGGACTGCCCACGTCATCCCTTCGGGCTGAGCCCGGCTGAGCCCGGCCGGGCCCCGTGGGCTGAGCCCGGCCGGGCCCCGTGGGCTAAGGCCCGGCCACCAGGCGCTCGCTTGCGAGCCCCGACCCCAGGCCTGGCTCCAGGGTGGGGCCCCGGCTGCGCCATGCCGGGCGACGTCACGGTTTTTGTTGTCGTGCTGTCCATGGTTGGCTTCGGACTGCGCTTCGTCTGACTCGTCACTTGAGACCTGTCTGCCATGGGAGACCCTACCAGGGGCATGAAGCCCCAGACAGCATAGCTCCCAGGATCATCCGAGTGCTCAAACTCCCCCACCACGTTAAGGTGGCAGTCCAAGGGGGGACTGCCACCTTAATGTTTTTAGTGATGAAATTGTATATAGGTGGTGAGTCCTCGAATGTATTGCAAGTGGTAGTGTTTAGACAGTAAATTAACAGCATGTGTTTTTTGTATTGTCTTTATTTAGGTTTGGACAAGATGATGGTTGATAGAGATGGAGAGGTTACTGTCACAAACGATGGGGCCACTATTCTTAGCCTGATGGATGTGGATCACCAAATTGCCAAGCTAATGGTAGAACTCTCAAAGTCTCAAGATGATGAAATTGGTGATGGAACCACTGGAGTTGTTGGTATGGGCTGAATCATGTCTCAAATTAAAATAAATAGTAGTTGTATTTATTTTAATGCTATGTCTGATTTTAGTGCTGGCTGGAGCATTGCTGGAGCAGGCTGAGCAGCTGCTGGATCGTGGGATCCATCCCATCAGAATCTCTGATGGTTATGACCAGGCTGCATGCATTGCCATTGAGCAGCTTGACAAAATATCTGAGACTTTCCCTTATGACCCAAACAACACAGAACCACTCATTCAGACAGCTATGACAACCCTGGGATCTAAAGTGTGGGTATTAAACGCATTGCACTGACAATATTGGAAAATGACTGACAACCATTCTTCTTATTTCTTTAGTATTAACCGATGCCACAGACAGATGGCTGAAATTGCTGTAAATGCAATTTTAACTGTGGCCGACATGGAGAGAAAAGATGTGGATTTTGAGCTTATAAAGATGGAGGGAAAGGTTGGAGGAAAACTTGAAGACACACAACTCGTAAAGGGAGTCATTGTAGATAAAGAGTTCAGTCATCCCCAAATGCCAAAGGTGAAGTTTCTCCATGGTGTGCACTTACATGAATAACGGTTCTAAATGACGGTTCTAGTCTGATGTTTATTTTATTTATTGTTTCCTAGGAACTGAAAGATGTGAAAATTGCAATTCTTACCTGCCCATTTGAGCCACCAAAGCCGAAGACCAAGCATAAGTTGGACGTTACATCAGTTGAGGATTACAAAGCTCTCCAAAAATATGAAAAGGATAAGTTTGAGGAGATGATCCAACAGGTACAAGTTGGCATGAATGTGCTTCCGATAAGCCATTTTACTTTTTTGTTTTTATTAACTAACCTTTCATCCTTTAGGTCAAAAGTAACGGCGCTAATTTAGCCATTTGTCAGTGGGGCTTTGATGATGAGGCAAACCACCTTTTGCTGCAGAATGAGCTCCCTGCTGTGCGTTGGGTGGGAGGACCTGAGATTGAGGTAAATCTGCATTTCATTTTGACAAACTTATAGCATTGGAACAAGTGCTGTGATATGTAATATGGTGCACTTTCTCCCACAGTTAATTGCAATAGCCACAGGAGGTCGCATTGTGCCCAGGTTCTCTGAACTGACTCCAGAGAAGCTTGGCACAGCCGGATTGGTGAAGGAAATCTCTTTTGGCACCACAAAAGACAGAATGTTGGTTATTATGGAATGCAAAAACACCAGAGCTGTTACCATTTTCATCCGTGGAGGAAACAAAATGGTACGGTTCACACTATGTAGATTGAATGAATATAATATATATGTGTGTATATAGTTTCACCTTGTTATTAAAATTATAATTTCACAGATCATTGAGGAAGCCAAGCGAGCGCTCCATGACGCCCTTTGTGTAATTCGTAATTTGGTCAGAGATAACCGTGTGGTGTATGGTGGTGGTGCCTCTGAAATTGCCTGTGCATTGGCTGTTAATCAAGCTGCTGACAAGGTAACTAGAAAGAAATGATACATTCGGGGAACAAAAGCAAATATGTGTGTCTTCTGTAAGTGATGTTGCATGTTTGTTGATTCCATAATTTGTCTTCTCAGTGCCCGTCTTTGGAGCAGTATGCCATGAGAGCATTCGCTGATGCTCTTGAGGTTATCCCAATGGCTTTGGCAGAAAACAGTGGTCTGAACCCCATCCAAACCATGGCAGAGGTCAGGGCCAAACAAGTCAAAGACAACAACTCTTTCCTGGGCATTGATTGTCTTAACAAAAACACTTTCGGTAAATTTATAATCTTAAGTAATTTATTTTACTAGAATTTCTTTTCACTATATTTTTGCCCTTTTTTTGTTGCAGACATGAAACACCAGCATGTAATTGAAACTCTTATTGGCAAGAAGCAGCAGATCCTCCTGGCCACACAAGTTGTGAAGATGATTCTCAAAATTGATGACATACGAAGCCCTGGCGAAACCGAGGATTAATGCCTTTTAACATGATGCTCGGCTTTGTGTTGTAAACGTTTGTATGTAGGCACTTCTCGAGCACTGTTCAAGCCTCCGCTTAACTATTTATCATTTGATACAAAATATCATTCTCTGGTATGAAATCATTAAAAATGTGGACTGTTCAAACTTCCCTATTCTGTTGATTTAATTCTATTGTGCAATTAACATACCTGTAACAAGCACTCAACCTAAAGGAAATGTTACGGCTAAATGAAATGAAGACTAATGTAATCTGATGGGAAATAGGATGGAAGACCTGCAAAAAGGACTTGTGTGTGTGTTAGATGCACTGAATTGAAATAAATTGAACATAAGAATTTAAATTCTCACTGCACAGATAGTGTGTACACAAGCTCAAAAAAACACCAGCTTAAAACAACCTACATGAAAAGTGACACACTTAGGTAATCTTTATTTATATACTACCTTTTACAGACCAGAGTCACGACAGTTTACAGTTGTGGGCATTTGTCTCTCACTCTACAGGAGGCGCATGCCAGACCTATTGTACATGTTTTTAGTGATAGAGGAAACCTACACTGACACGGGAACTCCACTCAGAAATTATTAAGGCACTTATAAAGGCATTTATGCAGAAAAGTTAAAAATGAGCTACATATATTTATTGAGCCAGTTCAACATGTCTCTCCTGGCCTCCTGGATCTGGGCTGAGTCTTCTGGATTTATGTCTTCCCTCTTGCGATGAACAAAGCCATGGGTTTGACCGGGAAAGATTTTTACCCGATACTCCACTTGACAATTCTCTTTAAGATTATGTTCAAAGACTTGTACCTGAACAGTGGAAAGATTAGGCAGGTATGTGTATTTCACCCCAAAAATATCAGGATAAGTCAATACCTGATCAAGAGGAATATGGGTATCTTTCTCCCCAAAGATGAACAGGGTGGGGGATTTAAGGTCAAACTTGTCCTCCATCATTCGTATGATTCCTGAACATACATAGTGGAGTCAATAACGTTTCAGTATCTACTAAAATTGGTTTTCAGTCTCTTTATTTCCCTGGGAGGGCTTCATTAAAAAAGAGGTTGAGGACCACCTGTTCAGTTGTTTAATTGTTAATTAAAAATCCTTGAGTATATATTGATTTTTTTTTTTTTTTTTTACATTTTGACTTTCATAACAAATATCCTTCAATCAGATTAAATGGAAATGCATCAATAGTGTTGTATTATTGCTGAAAGGTGGCAGATTGGTTGAAAGCCTTTATTGTACCTAAATCTTTTAGAAATGTATATAATCTAATTGAATGTCCCCTGTAAATAGAAAGTTTATAATAATTACCATATATTGAGACTCCAGCCTTTATTTCCGGGTACTGCAGAGATATGTAATGTGTGGCAATGCCTCCCCAGCAAAATCCTACAACTCCAATATATTTTACCCCACACTGGTGTTTGAGGAACTTGATGGTGGCATCCACTTCTCTAAAGGCAAAATAGATCCATTATTTCTACAGAAAAAGATATCTCGCATTATTATTAATTTACTCATTAAAAGTATATACAATTACTTCTTTATGTTGGTGGCTTTTTTGTCTCCAAGCCACTCCTCAAATTTGGACCAATCATGCGATGGACTCCATGGCTCTTTTCCCACAAAAAAGTCCGGACACACAGCACTGCTTAGTGAAGATTTAATCATTAATAAGTCGTGCATAATAAATGTAAGTTCTAAGTCATTTTCTCACGTGTATCCATTGGATGCAATCATATCTGCAATGAATCTGGTGTTGGGAAGTTTCCATCCGTATATGTCTTGTATAACAATAATGGCCTTCTCAGACGCAGCCGTAGGCTTTACGACATAAGCATGAATGTGCTCAATCTGCACCTCCTGACCAAGACCTCCATACTCCATCCGATCACCAATGTTGCACGGACACGGATTGGACTCGTTGGCCATCTATAATGAAAATGACACATAGGCCAATGTATTGAAATACGTTATTTCAGGCTACATACCGAGGTGCAGGGAGTGACTTCGTCTAATCGATCAGGGTCAAAAAACAGCAGTTTCTCTACGTTTGACACGCAGCGTCTAAAAGTTATTGTTGAGGTAGTGACGAGACTTTTCTGAGGACATTTCAAAATAAAACTTATTCATAATAGAAAGGGTTGTGATTGCTTACTCTGAGAGGTTGGTCACATAAAGCGTGTTAATATCTATGCACTGCGAAGCATTTGAATTCACACACATCTTTCATTGATTTTTACCCAAAAGGCACCGCTGGGATTCGAACCCAGGATCTCCTGTTTACTAGACAGGCGCTTTAACCAACTAAGCCACGGCGCCGGGTGACCGCTCTCGCATTTTGATATCAAAATGATGGTGAGAATGGGAACCGTTCGGATTTGATTAGTTATGATTCTGGCATGTTACATTTCAGTGAATAAATTGTAAGCATTGTAATGACGATGTGTTCAGTTGTGTTACTATAAACACCCATTGTAGAAAGGTGATTATAAACAGTTGTATGACTTTGCAGCGTAATTGTTTTTTTCAAATACAATTATGCTTTATGTGATTTATCAGTGGCAGTAATGAAAAAGCTGAAATATTTCACTGCGAAGTTGAAATGTTGTGTCGTCACTGCGCATGCGTGGTCAGGTCGCTAGCTGGCTATTTGTTTCCACAGTGGACCTGTCATTTCAACTATGGCGAGGAGGATGTAATTTTTGTGCAATGTAACGATATAAACAATTAGACTGGAATACACGTACTTTACGGCACTAATCTAAGACACTTGTGGATGAATTAACATCGATCGTTTGCTCTGCGTGGAATCGTTTTTTATGATAGTCAATGCATTTTACACGGGGCATAGAAACTAGACGTCTTGCTAGCTTAATGCCGCTAGTAAAGCAATTTAACACCGTTGTTGTTCATGGATTTGTTGTATAGTCTACTGTCGTAAACAACTTCCCCTGGTCCAAATAGACGAGATGGATCCCGTCGACGAAGGTAAATATCGGTGGAACTTGGGACATTTTTGGAATTAGCTTAGCATTAGCTTCAAAACGCCTCACTCAAACTGCAGTCTGCGCTGAGCTGGCCTGCTGCTGCTAGAAATGTGTCATCTCGACTAGTGCAGATTTTAGGCCTGTCAATTTGTTTACGAGAGAAAACGTCCAATATTCGTTTGTTTTGCATAGCTCTGTAAAAAGGTTTAACTAAGGCATAATCTGGAAAGCGCTGGAAGTGGCTGTGATGTCATAAACCCAGTATTATTATATAGACGTTTCTCGGGCTTCTGTTTTCATTGTGCAAGTTCGTAGGTGTTCAATGGTAGACTATCCTTTTGTCCACCCTAGCAACTGTTAGGCCGCAATGTTTACAATGTTCCCTCATATAGTTTACACAAATTCGCATTTCGTCTTTTTGAGTAATGTTCTGCATAATACTGAAGCACGAGAAATGTGTTCCCAGTCTTCCAACTTTTCTGTACTACATGTACATAATGACCAATGCCATATATACGTTAGAAGTTTGCACATTAGTTTGGATATTTATTCCTAAAGCATCAGATCTATTATCGAACTGCCTTACTGTATATCGTACATTCGTGTTTTATTTACCATTTACCTTTTTAACAGCAGATATTTGCCGCGTGTGTCGCTCTGAAGGGAGCCCAGACAAGCCCCTGTACCATCCATGTGTCTGTACTGGCAGTATTAAGTTCATCCACCAAGAATGGTAAGAGCAATCCACATCAGGCATTTGCCGTAGTCTGATAAACATCTACATTTTATTTCTGTGGTTGTACCCAAGCATACATATGTTTTAACTGCTTGAAACCCTGAATACTTTACATTGGGTTAGATCGCCTCTCCGCAGATATGACCTGTAGCCTAACCAAGTGAAGTCACTTGCTTGTCTCCAATATACATCTGCAAGGCCATATTGTGAGGCATTCCAGGGGAATTGTAGAATGCACCTATTTAGATAGGAATAATAATTTTAAAGGTTCATTGGGGTCTAATGCCTGATTGCGTAGCAGAGACCAAATAGTTCAACCACTATTCATTAAATCAACCTTGCTTCAATGTAGTTAATTTTAAATTAGGGAGCAGTTATTAAAACTGGTGCAGGTTTTAATTTATGTTTCGTAAACACAGCATGTGTTTTGTTTAAAGGTTTGTAAGGTTTATCACAGCTGAGCCTTGAGCCCCTGAGTCCGTACTCCACTCAACGTCATACTGTAATCTAATTCTACAGAGCAGTGGTATACGCCAGGAAGATTATGTCATTAGTAATGGCACTAATGACCTTTGTTGTTTGCATATCACACGAGACAATGTTTTAAAATAAATAAAAAACTATTCTAAATAAGTCATCTTCTGGTTCCTGTAAAATATTATTATCATTCTTTAATTTCTGATTTTCAGTTTAGTCCAGTGGCTGAAGCATAGCAGAAAGGAGTACTGTGAATTATGCAAACACAGATTTGCATTCACTCCTAGTAAGTACTTCATATCTGATCATTCTTTAGACCTTTTTTGTAATTGAGAATGTACTTACTGTTTTCCTATTTTCCCTATAGTCTACTCTCCAGACATGCCCTCCCGTTTGCCCATCCAGGACATTTGTGCTGGTCTCCTCACCAGTGTGGGCACAGCCATCCGCTACTGGTTCCATTACACACTGGTGGCGTTCGCATGGCTCGGGGTCGTTCCGCTCACTGCATGTAAGTCAAATTTGACTTTTAAGACATTTTATGCAGAAATATCAGTTTTTTATATTTTGTTTGTTTGTTCTTTGCTGTAGGTCGCATCTACAAGTGTCTATTTACTGGCTCTGTGAGCTCACTTTTAACACTTCCTTTGGACATGCTCTCAACGTGAGTGCTTTTCAGAAATGCGATCAACATTGCATTAATTGATTAATTCTAAGTTTTGTTTTTTCTGTATTCAATTTTGTAGTGAAAACCTGCTTGCAGACTGCTTACAGGGCTGCTTTGTGGTCACTTGCACCTTGTGTGCATTTATCAGCCTGGTGTGGCTCAGAGAGCAGATAGTTCATGGTGGTGCACCTCAGTGGTTGGAGCAGCACCAACCTCCACCACCAAATGCAGCTGGACAAGCAAACGAGGTAATCAAACTGTTTTTTTATCCAGAATTTTAGGATTATTTGACACAAATACGTATATGCATAATGTCTAAATTGTAATTTGTATATTGTTTTATGCATGTTCATGTATCAAATGTGTTTAGCCCTTGTACATCACTAAAGTTTGTACTTCTATTCAGTATAGTCCGTTATTTGCAAAACTTTCTATTTACCATCTTGTGTATGGACTGGCTTCTCCAGGCACCAGCAGCAGCCGCAGCTGATGAGCCTCCCGCTCCACAGCCGGCCCCCGCTGAACCTCCAGCTCCCAATGAGGCTGAGCCGGAGCCCCCTGATGCACCCCCTGACCAGGGAGAAGACCCTGAGCTGGAGGAGGAGGGAGCAGCTGCAGAGGATCCAGATGCCAACAATGGAGCGCAGGGTAAACACATTTTTTCATGTTATTAGCAAATACCCACTTTGATTGAATAAGAGTTTGAAAAGAGTGACTGTGTAGAAACTGCAAGCATGCCGCAGTTTAGCTGGAATAGAAGAATAAACGTTTAAGTTTGTGAATGTCTTCATTGGTAATGGGAGTTGTCATGAGTAATGAAAAGTACATTATTTTTTAATTTTAGATGACATGAACTGGAATGCTTTGGAGTGGGACAGAGCAGCAGAGGAGCTAACCTGGGAAAGGGTACAAACACATCACCATTCAAGTTACTCCAGTTAAGCTAATGTTTTTTTATAATTCATTTCTTCTTCTGTATCTTCTACAGATGCTTGGTCTTGATGGATCTTTGGTATTTTTGGTGAGTTTTGTTTTCTCTGATTTTCTTTTTGATAAATAGAATGAGTTTTAATACAGTATATGATATCCCCAGGAGCACGTGTTTTGGGTCGTTTCGCTCAACACACTTTTCATCTTAGTATTTGGTGAGCACATCATTGTTTTTGAATTTACCACTGTGAGAGTAAATATAAAACTGTTCTACTTTTTTCAGCATTCTGTCCCTACCACATCGGACACTTTTCAGTTGTTGGTCTTGGTTTTGAAGAATATGTAAGAACATCAACGTTTCAATATTTCATCTTTCTGAAAATAATTTGTGTAATAACTATGGACCTTGTTTTAGGTTCAAGCCTCTCATTTTGAGGGATTAATTACAACCATTGTGGGATACATCTTGCTTGCTATGACCCTGATCCTCTGTCATGTATCCTTTTATTTAAAATGCACTGTAAATTATGAGGCATTTTGAGTATATTACAATAGATTGTGTTTAGTTTAATGCATGAGTCAGACAATCCTTAATGGCAGCCTTAAGGGACTCGCAGCTCTGGTCAGATTTCAACGTTCACGACGTCTTCTTGGAGTCTGCTACATTGTTGTTAAGGTATAATTTCTGGAAGCATTCAATTTTATTAATCTTATTTGTATATGGCCCTAAATCACAACAGTAGTCATCTTGGACCTAACCCTAACCCTTGGACTTTTCAAATTTGTGGATTCGTCAGCACAGATCAGAGAATAGACTTTTTTTCACGCAAATATCTCCGGATACATTGTACTTCCAATTGTTTTTCTTTGTTTTGAACAGGTGTCTCTATTGGTGGTTGTTGAAATAGGAGTGTTTCCGCTCATCTGTGGCTGGTGGCTCGACATCTGTTCTCTGGTAAGTCTTTATCTGAGCAATGGCTACTGTTAAAATCCTTATTACAAAAGTGATGGAAGTTTGTTCAAAGGGCAAACTATGAAAATGAAACCAGTTAAGCTTTCTTGGCATGTGGCCCACAACGTCCTCACTTCCTTTAACAGGCTATTATTATTGTCCTATAAGCAGCAAGGGACATTGCCATCATGAGTAGAACCAATTAAGAATGTTGGTATTATTTTTTACCAAAATCGCAAGGAGATATCAATTGATGTTTTTCTGTTTATGCAGGAGATGTTTGACGCTTCGCTCAAAGACAGAGAGTTGAGTTTTAAATCGGCACCTGGCACCACTATGTTTCTCCATTGGCTCGTGGGAATGGTCTATGTATTCTATTTTGCTTCATTTATCCTCCTTCTGAGAGAGGTAGACCCTGATGACTAATCCACCGAATACATTCCATTTATATTGCCTCTAAAATCCTGTAATCCTCCTTTCTGTCATTTAGGTTTTAAGGCCTGGAGTGCTGTGGTTTTTGAGAAATCTCAATGACCCAGATTTTAATCCAGTTCAGGAAATGATTCACTTGCCCATCTACAGACATCTGAGGCGTTTCATTTTGTCTGTGGTTGTATTTGGGTCTATTGTTCTGCTCATGCTATGGCTTCCCATCAGACTGATCAAACTACTGCTGCCTACTTTCCTCCCGTACAATGTCATGCTCTACAGGTAATACCAAATTCTTGAAATATATGAATTAGGGCTGGGTGAATCACATATTTTTATTATTGGCCAATCTCTATTTAAATTTTTTTTTTATACACTATAAAACTTGAGATATTACTCTCGGGATTTTCACACAGCTGTAATTCGAACTGATAATGAATGCAGTATATCCCAACAAATCTATCAATCGGTGTCAGGTATCAGTGATTCTGTGGTCTTCCTCCCTCAGTGATGCTCCAGTCAGTGAGTTGTCGCTGGAGCTCTTGTTGCTTCAGGTGGTGCTGCCCGCTCTGTTGGAGCAGGGTCACACGCGGCAATGGCTCAAAGGCCTGGTCAGAGCGTGGACCGTGAGCGCTGGATATCTGCTGTAGGTGCTCTATTTTCAAACCCTAGAATATTGGCGCTCTACATTATTCATTTGACGTCTTCTCTCAGGGACCTTCATTCATACCTCCTCGGAGAGCAGGAAGACACCGATGCCAACCAGCCCGTCAACAACAATAACAACAATAACCCCGCTGCCCCCGGACACAATAACAACAATAATCCAGGTCCAGCGGTTGGGGAGGGGCTGCATGCGGCCCACCAGGCTATCCTTCAACAGGGAGGACCAGTAGGCTTTCAACCGTACCACCGGCCTCTTCGCTTTCCATTCAGAGTAGGTCTAAATTCTTTAAGAAAAATACAAAACTGATAAAAGCTGTGATACCCAACTTTCAAATCTAAAATAAATGGAACTGTGTAATGTAATCCAACTAGTTCCTCGCTCTCAAATCAAAACAGTAACAGTTTTTTCAGACAGAAAAGTGAAAAAGAGCCCTCACTGAGCCAAGCTTCTTACAATTTTTCCATTTTTGCAGAATGTGACATGTTTTCTAATAAGATGAAGACCGCGTGTTGTGGTCTGATTAGTTCACACGTTTCTACTTTCACAAGACTTTCTGTTGGGTCAAACTACATGCATTAAATATGAAACAAAAAGTTGGGTACCCTAGCTTTAAGGGCAAGTTCACACTTATTGGTCAGGTGGATTCGCTTCACTCCAGAAGCAAATGCATCAGTTCTTACAACGCCACTGTACTAATTCAAAGCAAGTGAGTTAACTGGGGCTAATGAAAGCACTCATCTCCACAAACGGCCTTATGTGCTCCATTGGACCAAGTGTGAATGCACCCTTAGTAAAAGAAATGTAACGTTTTCCTAATGATATTAAAAATGTGTTGACGTTATAGATTGTTTTGCTGATTGCCTTCATGTGCATCACACTGCTGGTGGCTAGTCTCGTCTGCCTGACACTACCAGGTATGGGGTAGACTCTCAAATATTCCTGAAATATATAGTTTCCTTATACACATACTTTATTTTCTAGTGTTCGCCGGTCGTTGGTTAATGTCTTTCTGGACTGGAAGCTCCAAAATCCACGAGCTGTACACTGCAGCCTGTGGCCTTTATGTGTGCTGGCTGTCTATTCGAGGAGTCACTGTGATGCTGGCATGGATGCCTCAGGGACGAATGGTCATTATGCATAAAGTCCAGGAGTGGACATTTATGGTGTGTACAATTCTGTCCAGTCTCGATGTACATTTTGAATCAGCCACATGTAACTGAATTTATACTTTTTGCTATAGATTCTGAAGACCCTGGTTGTGGCCGTGCTGGTTGCGGGAGTGATTCCTTTGCTGCTTGGGCTGCTGTTTGAACTGGTCATCGTTGCTCCTCTGAGAGTCCCATTAGACCAAACGCCTCTTTTCTACCCCTGGCAGGTATTTTTGTCCTGAGAACATTCTGTGACAGTTTTATATACGTACTGTGTCATTCACATTTCTCATCTGATGCAGGACTGGGCTCTTGGAGTTCTTCATGCCAAAATTATTGCTGCAATCACACTAATGGGTCCTCAGTGGTGGTTGAAGACTGTTATTGAGCAGGTACATTGAATAGTACATTAGACCAGATTACTCTTAGCCATATTATGCTGTAGTTTGCAAGGTGTCGTGGAAAATATTCAAAATTAATCTAAAATCCTCTTTTCAGTAATGTTTTGATGAATGCACTTACATTATTGTTCGAATTGTGGTAACTGCTGATTATTTTGGTTTTTGTTTACCTTTGTCCATGTGTTTTTTGGTAGGTTTATGCGAACGGTATCCGCAATATTGATCTCCAGTTTATCATCGGTAAACTGGCTGCTCCTGTCATCTCCGTTCTGCTGCTGTCCTTGTGTGTGCCCTATGTAATCGCTGCGGGAGTGGTACCTGCTGTAGGTGAGTGTTGCGTAAAAAGTATCCCTAAATTAAGTAGTTAATTGTCCCATCTTATTCTGTAGCAGTTTTACAATAATATCTTTTTGTCTCACAGGAGTGACCCCAGAGATGGAGATCCTGATGCAGAGGAGGATATACCCTTTCCTGCTGATGGTGGTTTCACTCATCGGTATCCTCTCCTTCCAGATCCGACAGTTTAAACGGCTTTACGAACATATAAAAAATGACAAGTAAGCATTTCTTTGCATGTTTAGTATATTTTTTTTGTCAATTGATAAAATGACAAACATTTGTGGTGTTTCAGATACCTGGTTGGACAAAGACTTGTAAACTATGAACGAAAGACTGGAAGGCCAAGCTCAGTTCATACCTCTAATCCAGTGACAGATTAGTTTGTTGCACCATGTTCTGGCACGCACCCATTTCATCTTCAGCCTGTGCACCTGTCAATCTTGGTGGATTTCTGACTTGTGCCCATTTGTGTTGGCACATTGAAATGTATTATAATCATGGAAGGCGTCCGCTGTGTCAATAGGTGGACTCAGAAGGGTGTTTTAGACCTTGATTTCAACACTTGTAAAGTCTTTCATGCCTTGCTTTGTAAAGTGCTGCCTGATAATTGTACATGTGTAAATATTTTGAACACAAACATTGTCTTAAAGAAGACATGGATTAATGCAATGATTATTGTACATCTAAAATGTATGTATAATTTATTAAATAAAACTTACAATTTAGCTGTAATATTTGAGAGTTCTTAATTTTTCATGACCAAACTCATGCCATTTGTTGAATTAATAAAAAATGTTTATTTCATACTATTAAAGTAAAGATTTGGTTGTGTTCTGTTCTGTTAATCACAGTAGGCATCTTATCAAGAAAGGAGGTCATGGGATACAGAATTGTATGCCAAATGCTCGACAAAATCCTCAAACTCTGTTTCAGGCTCTTCTCGGGAAGGAATTACTTGCCCAAGAAAACAATTTGAGTAATCACTACACTTTTGCCCTTGTTCCCCATAAAGGAATTCTTATCTTACCAATGAAAACCAATATTTTCAAATCTATTAAAGGATTGTTTTGTATTGCAGATGAAAGAAAATAATGAACGTAACAGTATCAGAGCCCCAATGCAACCTACAACTATACATAAGTGTAACTTGTGTTAGATTAGTGTGCCTTTGTGACGTGTCGCTGGCCACGCCCTGTTCCTCACACAGACCAGAGAAAGATGGCGCCTGCGCACGTCCTGAGATGCTGTCAACGAGGGTTAGCGTGGATACCTGTCATATTTATTGCTCTGGTGGTCTGCTGGTCGTATTATGCGTATGTGGTGCAGCTCTGTATATGTAAGTATCCGTCTTTAGCTCTGTCGAAGCCCGTAGCCCCGGTGTTTTCATCCCGCTTCCCCCAAACAGCAGTCGCTGACCAGCAGGAAGTACATGGACCTGAGCTCAACAATGGTTTCGAGAAAGGAAAATCTCTATCCAGCTAATTTTCTGTCACCTGACTATAATATAAACTAACTTTAGACCGGGAAACTTTTTCTCTTTGGTTTTACAGGCGCGAATGTGTTTGGCCTTTTTAGATAGATGTTGTTTATATCACCTGGCACAACAATACATACGGAAATACCTCCAAAGTGCTGCAGGAGAAAGAATCCTCAAAACCATGAATGAATGATGTGATTCATTTATGTTATCCATTAATACTAAATCTATTTTATTTTGCAGTTACCATCTTAAACATTGGAGAAAAGGGTAAATATGTTGTTGCTTCTATTTCCACTAGTCTATGCATTGCTCTGTAGACATGGTAAAAAGGGAGGAAAAAGTTGGCACAGAAATGTACTGGTGCAGCCTGCTTGGATCAGAACATCTCCTGCTGTTCTGTCTTTCATTCATTCATTCATTCATTCATATACTGTATTATATTCAGATGAATAGACCATGTCTTGACAGTATTATTCTTCATCAATTTTGTTTGCTAATGCCATACTTTGACTGTTTTGGTCCAGTTGTCTACCTGATCTTCTTCCACCTCTCATTCATAATGTTTGTATGGTCTTATTGGAAGACCATCTTCACCAAACCTGCAAACCCATCCAAAGAGGTAGAACTAACAGTCTATCGTTCGTCTTTGATTGTTGCACTTCTATACTGTAACCATTTGTTTCCTGTTACCAGTTCTGCTTGCCCAAGGTGGAGAAAGAGCGTTATGAGAAAGAGGAGCGCCCAGATTCTCAACAGGAGATCTTGTGGCGCGCTGCCTCCATTCTTCCTGTTTACACACGTACAGGAGCAGGAGGTAAGCTCACAGTGTTCAAGAACATAATTAAGTAAATTATCTGTCCTACTGATATCTTAGTGTGTGGAGTTTACATATGTTTTCAATGTTTATTTACTAAATGGTTAATCAATCACTGGTGACCATTGTATAATGCTCTATTTAGTATAGATCTGTGTATATATATTTTTAACCTGAGAATAGATTTCATGTTGATTTTGTTGGTATTGGCCAAAATAAGGCAATAGACAATCTCCTCACTACTCATTAAAATATACTGCATTGTACTTTTTATACAATAAGATTAGTGGCTTCCTCTGTGCATTGCATCCTTGTGAACTCTGCTTTTTTCTGTTTATGCATTTCAGCGATACGTTACTGCGACCGTTGCCAAGTTATCAAACCTGATAGATGTCATCATTGCTCCGCATGCGACATGTACGTTTATTTATTTTACTAATTATATACTCTCAATGGTGCAGTAACAAACCTCATTTGGATTGTCTTTAATTGCTGCTGTTCTTTAGGTGCGTGTTGAAAATGGATCACCATTGTCCCTGGTACTCAAATATACATCTGTATTACCTCTTCCTGAGTGTAAGTTTGTCATTTATCAATTTTTGTTGGTCCCCAGGGTAAACAACTGCGTCGGCTTCTCCAACTACAAGTTCTTCATCCTCTTCTTGGCATACTCGCTGATGTACTGTTTGTTTATTGCTGCCACTGTCCTACAATATTTCATTAAATTTTGGACTGTGAGTATACATTTGCATGCCTAAACTCATACACTGTATAGAATAATGAATGTCTGTGCCCTCTGGCTTCATAACACCAGAATTCTGCAGCTTGAGTGGCATCTCAGACATTTCCCCATGTCTCTCGACACTCATTGTTTTGCTATTCTCTATTGTTTTCCACATATGTAGAAAAAAAAACTATTTAAATGTTGGATAAGTTAAGTTGTATTTAATTGTTCACTTACATAAGAGACCTGGCCTTATCTGATAACAAAAGGAAGTCGCCAAGTGATCATAAAAAAATCCTATTTTGATTCTGATTGTATCTTGCTTAAAACGTCACAATTTTTATTTAGCTTTATTGTTTGGTCATTGTAGCATGGAACCAAGTGGCTCTTGTTTCCCCTCCCTTTTTTATATCTCAATTTTAGTTTTAAAGGAACCGTATCCAAGACCAAAACATGTACAATATAAATGGTTGGTAGTGGTTGGGAGGCCTGAAGCAGGACTTTGGTTGGTCTTGGTTCATGAACTGTGCATTATTAAAAAAAATACGGTTCCTTTGACTTGTTAAATATTAATTTCTTCACAGCTTTCATTCCCCGCTCCATCAAAGTGTATTTCTCCACTCCTTCTTTTCCTCTTTGTCCCTGCCTCATGTGCACCACTTGTTCGCCCGCACCTGTTCAATCCTCCTGTTGCTAACCAGTGTTGTTTCTATTTAAACCAAAGCTTTGTCGGAGGAAAGCGGCTGAGAATTGCCCAAAGGTAAACTCGACGTCCTCTGATCCTGTAGCGTGGCGGCCCATGATTGTGGATGGTTGTCTCACATCACTTGCATGTTACATACTCGTAATCTTCTCACCGCTCTCAAATGTTAATGTTATTCATTTCTCACCTTGTGCTCTCATCTGTTCCCTAGAATGAGCTGCCAGACACGGCGACACATGCCAAATTCCACGTGTTATTTCTTTTTTTCGTGGCTGCCATGTTCTGCATCAGTATTTTGTCCCTCTTCAGCTACCACCTGTGGCTTGTGGGGAAGAACAGATCAACAATAGGTAATTTCTCATCTCAACACAAGAAACAAGCTTGTGTCAATGCTAAAAAGGTCCCTGACAAAATTACGAAAGCAAGCGTAAGCATTTCTACAATTTATGAACCATGAGTGAAAATACATTAATCTTGGTTTTGTTTACTTTCTTGTTTCAGAGGCATTTAGAGCGCCCGTCTTTAGGACCGGCTCCGATAAAAATGGCTTCTCTCTTGGTTTCCGAAAGAACATTGCTCAAGTCTTTGGGGATCAAAAGAAATACTGGCTGCTACCTGTATTCACAAGGTAAGACATGTTCCTGTAATAGATTTGATAAATATGTTTGATCCCAGCCAAGATCTCTGTCTTGTTTGTTTTTAGTCAGGGAGATGGTTTGACGTTCCCTACGCGGCTAGTGAACGCTGATGTAGAGCAAGCCGCAGTCACCATGCACCCAGAGCCCAATAAAATGTAATTGGATTTAGAAAAAGTCACATTTTGTCTGGCACTGCGCATTTCCATTCACTCATGTTTCTTCATCATGTTGCCAGTATCACCGCTGTTCCTGCAAGTCCCCTCAGCGAGTCACAGAACCGACTGTTGACCGATGACCAGCAAACTAACCACGTAGACCAGCTATCCAACAACTCTCCCAAATCAGGTCTGCAACATTTTTGTTATCTAGAAATATTTCAAATCTTTTACTCTGGGCTTGAATGACTTCATACGTGTCTGTATTGACAGCAGAGAGTGAAACCATTACCGTCACTATGGAGAGCGAGTCCTAACCAGGTACACAATGGTTCAGTTCATTACAGTGTTGGGGAATAACTGGAATGACTGTAATTTGAAAACATTACTTTTTCTTTTCAATATTTGATCTAGCAATTTTTTTAAAGCCTGTACCATTTTTTGTTTTTCTTTTCAATCTACTTGCAATACCCTTTAAGAGCAAAATTAAAATCTTTTGCCATTTGTATTAAAACTATCCCAATAATATATCACACTTTGCTAAAACATTCAATCCTGAGCTCAGAAGTTTCCACTGATTTTCTTTTTAACTGCTTAACTTGACGTGGAAAGGGACATACCCATTTATTTAAGCTCCCACGTCTGATTTTTCCTTGATCTTGGGAAGGGTACATAAACATTGTAGCAGAATTGAAGGTCCGGAAGAGTGAAGTGTCTTCCATCAGGAAATGCCACAAGGAGTCTTCCCAGAGCTGGCGGCTCATCCAAACTGAGTAATCGGGGGAGAAGGGCCTTGGTTAGGGAGGTGACCAACAACCCCATGGTCAACCTTCCAGAAGGTCATTCAGAATCCTTGTATCCCCACTTATTTCTGAGGTAGATATGAGCTCAATAATCTTTAGAAAACGTGTAACCCCCCTGACATATTTAAACCGTATCTTTTTAGTCATGTATGCAAGTGTCTTTTATCTTTTAATTTTTTTATTAACAAAAACTTAAGTCCATAATCTATTGCAGCATTTTTACACTATGGTAAAAAAATGTATACCTGTTGTTTGCCAACACTGGAATTATCATCATCAACAATAATTATTAATAATATTTGCGGATGCTTCATTATCTTTTCATCTTTCCCACAGGATGAACTCCTACGTCTGATGATGCCTTAAGTGACCGTTAAACAGTTTTGGCTGTTGCCTCGGTAACAGCCTCCCAGCGCACCCAAAGCCCCGCCTTCACCACAGTAACTATGGGAATCGTCCCTCTTGGCTGTCACCGCCATCTTCTCACTTTCACCATGTTTTTCATGATCCTTATATTTATATGACTTGGGGAATCATGTAAAAGTTAATTTTGTCAAAAGCTGATGCAATGCACTCTTTTGCGTGCGTAGGAACTGTTATATTTTAAAAGCAGTGCATTCACAGGGCTGGTTAAAGTGTGTAATGTTGATTGTTCTTGTTTTTTTACATTTAGTGGTTATTTCAATATGAAGTTTGCTCTACTTAACAGCAACAGGTCTGCCTCTGCAGGCTTTGAGAATACCAATTTTTGGATTGCAATTTGGATTGCAATTTGGATAACGAAGCACAAGATGGCGCTATTGCACTTTGTAGATTACCACTTGCCAACAACACAGCAAATGCTGCTTTAGCCTGCCCAGCATCCACAGAACAGTGGATGTTTGGTGTGTTTTATTTCCTTTTTCACCTCTGTGGTTTTCCATGCTGCTTGTTTATAGAGATGTGCAATTTCCAACATTATTCACTGCTTGTGCTGGACTTCATCCACCCTGTGTGTCTCCACTCTTATTGGGTACATTAGTGTTCACGAGACGCCAAAAAAGGGCTGATCCAAAACTAAAGCCCTGAAGTGTTTACAGTATACTTGCTTTATCTTGCTGCCAAATGTGTCATCAAGCCAAATGGATAACTATTCTGGATCATAGAGTATAGAATATAGATTCTATGGTCTGGATGTGGAATCTACAGGATGTCAGCCCTGTTTCAGTGGGCCGTGATGTTCTTGCAGTTCTGGTGTTGGCCAGCAGGCGATGACAAAGCTTCATCTGTTTCAGGGCGTTGACTGGGCTCTGTTTACCTTTTTGGTTGCTCTTACTTTTTACAACAATGAGATGCATTTTATACATCGTTTTAAAGTTTCTTGATATTGATCACGAGGAAGTTCTACCTACATCTGAAAAGTGTTGTAACTTTGACTGTATATCGTTAATGCAATTCTCCTTAGACGTAAACAAATTGCCAAGACAAACTCAAATTCTTATCGGTTCAAATGACTCGAGTTAAATGAATGCGTCTGAATGACATCGAGCCCGATTCCTGATGTCTGTTTTCCCTCTGATGTCCTCAGCCTTTGACTTTCCCAATGTTGAAGTTTACAAGTCTTTGTATTATGTCGAATGAGACCGTGTTGTTCGCTGTTGTTTAATTGTTGTCACTTGTGCAGAATGTACCTCAACCTGAGACAGCCTGCTTTTGATTTTCTTAATTTCTTTTTTAAAACACATTTTTATAACCAAAATGTATTATAATGTTTTATAATGGCTGTCTTAAGTATTTAAAGTTTGTTTTGTGACAGCTCGCATACAGTATGTGATGGGATGGGTTTTCTTCCGTATCACTTGAACATTAAAATGTATATTGAATCTAGCTACTCATGGGTTTCATACATAAAATCACTTTTTTGCCATGAAAAATAAAATATATGTGGAATGGTATCCAAGTATACTTTAATAAGATAAGATACACTTAATTGATCTCACAATTACTAGTGTCATTTAAACTGATCTGAAACCCAGGAGTAACTAAAAGTCAGCTTGTTGCCTCCTCAGAGTGGGCATTTTGCCTTTGAGTGTAAAGAGTGTGTATTTTGTAAAGTTAAACTGGGCTTTTCCTCATGTTATGAGAGATCAGTTTTATGCCATGAGATTTTTTACCTGATTAATGCATGGCATTCATATTTTTACTACTTCACAGCATTATTTGAAGTTTGCTTAGCTCTGTCACATTAAAATTAAGCCATAGCAACTAAAACAATTGATATTTTTATCTTAAATGCAGTCAAATAAAATATGCCTATATACCCTACATTATTGTTGATACCATGGTATGTTCTTACGCTTAATGTCAGCGGATAATTTTGTTAATGTACTTTTTTTATTTATATCAATGTTTTTTTTGAATAAATTATTTTAAATTTAATTGTTTTGCATTTTCAAAATGCTCACATTGTCGCCAGTGATAGTCTCCAGTGTCATGGTTAAACAAATGATTTACTGCATATAGCCTGCTGTATTGTGGAACAAGTCATGTGGCATAGACCTCTTTATCTTCAGAGATGGGGTAACTATTTCTAATACCTGTTCTGTTTTCATCCTATCTGTAGAATCAATTGGACTACATGTGTTTATTTGAAATTATTTTATCACAATAGCAGGTTTAAATGGTTGGGTTAGATTTGCTGGGTGGGCAGGACACAGGGCCGGTTGATTAGCATTAGGCAAGTTAAACAAATCAGTTTCTGTTCTTCCATTCATCAATTGAATTTAGTACAAATATAATCATCTATAGCTTTTACACAAATTGAAAAATGACTTTGACATGGCTGTAAAGTCAGCCTAGATGTTTCCAATGTTTCAACGTGGTGCAGTCATTCTTCTCTATGGGGCAGTGTCTGCAATGGACTTGTTCTGAGCCAAAGGCATAGACCAGAAATGCCTCACATGACGCTCGCTCTGCACACGCTTCTATGGAGACCGTGGGCATGTGATGTGGCCTCCGCTGCACCTACTGCACATGCCCCCTGCGCATTCACTAATACAGCTCTACATGCTTTTTCTGTTTATTTAAATTAGTTAGTTACTTATCCCTAATATACCTAACTTTTTATTTGATAATCATTGCTTTTTGTTTTTCCAAAAAAAAACTAATAACTTTTAAAGTCGCACACATGTTCATCGTTTTCTTTTGCCCACTTATTTCATATAATTTTCTTTTGCAGTTTGAAAGCTATAGTCACCCCAGCATACATCATACAATCAGACAAAGAAAACAAATAATACTGATTAATAACACTAATAATAGTTTAGATAGTCAAATTACCTACTCTGGATCTCGCCCGGTGGCGCAGTGGTTGGCACTTGTGCTTCACAGCAAGAAGCTCGATTCCACCTACAGGCCTTTCTGTGTGGAGTCTGCATATTCTCTCTGTGCCTACTCCGGTTTCCTCCGGGTGCTCCGGTTTCCCCTACCACTTAAAACATGTACAATAGGTCTGCAATGCATCTCCTGAATGACAACCCCTCTCCCATGTGTGGAGTGAGAGACAAATTGTACACAATTGTAAAGTACTTGTGACTCTGGTCTGTGAAAGCCACTATATACAAATAAAGTACTTACTAATAACAATGATGATGATGACAATGATAATAATAATAATAATAATAATAATAATGTTTTGTGTTGACAGAACCCGTCTCTCGTCAGGCTACACACTACACACGTATATATATTAAGTATTATATTATATATTGTAGACACAGTAATGGATGAATGGGGGCACTGATCACTAATTACACGTGACGCGGCAGAGGGCGGGTCCAGCGCCTATGTCAAGTGCTTGGTGGTCGCCCCGAGTATAAAAACTAGTCTTCCGATGGTTTTTAATTCTCCCCGTGCAAGAGAGTACCACTCCGGAGGCTCCGGTCAGTACCGCCGTCACAATGAACGCATCCAACATCTCTGTGGACCCGCGATGCACACAGCCGCCTCCTTACGCCATCGACGTCCTCCGCGGTAAGTGGCCCAGATGAAGCCCATTAAGTTGTAAATTCTTGAAGATCATTTGGTTTCGCAATAACCTAGAAGTTGCTATCATTTCTTCCATCTAAGCCATGTAGAAGGAATTGCCTATAAGTTTGCGATGTTTCTTTGATAGTTCATATTCAGGCTTGATTATTCTGGCTATACTCCTCTCGCTTTTTTTTTTTTTTGGGACATTGTCAGGTCAAATGATCAGTGAATTTTTGCAAAAGAACGTGTGGGACAGACTGTATGTTCTTGGGATTGCACTGGACACATCATATCTCACCCCCACACAGCTCAGGACTCTGGGTTTGTCCTCATACAGATTGTCATGTTTGGTATCAGAAAATGTACGTCTATGACCAGGTGTCAGCAGAAGCTTGACTGGCCACACGGAAATGACAACGTTGCATATACTAGCACACAAAAACAACAAAATGACATGTTTATTTGCAAAACCATATATTTGAAAAAACAAAGTGAGTAATTCCTCTTGCTAAAATCTGCAGTGTTATTGTTCTTTGCTGTAAATTTGAAAAATTGCTCAAGGGTTGAAACTTTTAGTAGTTTGGTAATGAAATGTATCTGGCTTTTCACAAAATTACTTGGTTAAAGGCAAAGTGTAAACCTTTCTGATATATATTCAGACCTTTGGGGTTTTGCAAAATAACTATTCATTTATTGTTGACCATTAAATAGATTTTTCATTAGAATCATACTTTTTTTTTTTAAAAGGATGCAGCTAGGGGCTAATTGAGTGGCTGAAATGTGAGTGCATGCATCAAAATCAAATCTCTTCTGCATGGAAAAGCTCCTTCCCAATTTCACACCTGTCACAACTGGAATACCTTTTTTACGTAGTGCATTTAACTCCATGCTTCTGTTTTGTGAAGCGAGTTTGGCCACTAGACTGACTGACCGCACTGCTGGTCATTGAACCCAAACTGCAAATAATGACCGTAGTCTTTCTAAATGCAGAAGATTCAAGGAAAAGTACGTTTATTTGTAGATCACCATTCATACGGGATACATTAACTGCGGTTAAGTGAATATTTGCTTTAACCTTTTATTTAACCAGGAAAGCCCCATTGAGATTAAGAAAATACACGAGTAATGATGATAAAATGCATAGCTAAATGAATAGAACTTTCATTTCAGAATAGTTTGTTAGGTTTTGTTTCTTTTTGGCAGGCCATTGCAATCCCATAAGAACCCAAAACTTAAATTTTTGCTTTCTGCTACTTTCAGATCTGTACACTTTTGGGCAATATTTTGATTTGTTTAGATGGCCTTTTCAACAGTTTAAGAGAATCCTTTTGAAGCTGAGGCTCTGTAGTTTTGGCCTCTAGTTTAGAAATGCCAACAATCTCTGAACAGCGAAAGCTCAAACTCTAAAGTCCGCCTTAATTTAAACTTGTAGGGTATATCTGTTTCTGGGATGGGATCTATTTGAATGTAGCATGAGCAAATGTTGGGTTTTGGAGGCACATGTCTCTGGAAATGAGATTTGGGGACTTTCATTAAAGCTAGACTACTACTGCCTGCTCACAGGGCTCTCCAAAAAGGTACAATATTCAAAATGCAGCAGCTCGAGTCCTGACTAGAACCAGGAAGTACGACCACATTAGTCCGGTCCTCAGGTCTCTGCACTGGCTTCCTGTGGCTCAGAGAATAGACTTTAAAACAGCTCTGCTTGTGTACAAGTCTCTCCATGGCCTCGCACCAAAATATATTAGTGACATGTTAGTCCCATATGAACCAGCCCGGACTCTGAGGAGCCCAGGGACTGGACTCCTGTTAGTGCCCAGAGTCAGAACTAAACATGGGGAGGCTGCTTTTCAGATTCATGCTGCTAAAATCTGGAACAATCTTCCTGAAAATGTGAGACGGGCCTCCTCCTCTGACAAAGTTTGAATCTAGGTTAAAACCAGTTTTGTTTATGATTTTAATGCTGTCTTGTTCTGTTCAGCACTTTGAGTTGCCTTGTGCAAGAGTTTGAGTGCTATACAAATAAACTTTCCTTGCCTTAGCTGGTCCATCCTAAATCTGAATTATCTTTCACATTTCCAAGAGTTTGGTTACTTTTCATTACTTGGCTTACAAATTCGAATTATACAAAAATCCAGTTGGACCGTCCTGTACTGAGCGTCTGTGTAGGAGGTTGTCTTTCCTTTTTGAAAGCATTTTATTTCTCCAAATAAGCCAAATTGCTCAAGCTCTTGTGCAATATATAAATGAGCTGTACAAGGTTCCCATCAGCTGAGGATAAATGACTCGTGTTAATGTTATGTTTTATAGTGAACAACAAGTTGGGCTGTTTCCCTGAAGGCTCAGTGACTCGTCATCTCATTGTTTGCAAAAACTGCAAAACCTTTTCATCAGGATGTTGACGTTGCCTTACAAAGTGACCCAAATCATTTCATAATGTATAAGAACACAACATTTAATAAGTAATACATGTGATTTTTTTTTTTATTTTGACATTATACAGGTCTTTGTGTTCTGAATCAAGGGCGAAATCAGGTCTTTAAACATTTTGAAGTAGTTCTAAAGGGAAACTGAGACATTCTGATTTAGTGTAATTCCACACACTGTTTTCAGATCAGTTTGCTTCTATAAAGTTTTTCTGCTTCTGTTAAATCTCCAAATCAGGTTATTCAGAAAAGTGTTCAGCTCTCCCCAATGCAACACTAATTTCAATAATTTCCCACAATGATACAATATTAAAATCAGCCATTCTCTACAGTATTGACCACTCTTTTCTGTCAAGGATTGGATACATCTCAATAAGATAAAGATAAAATACACTTATTCTTAATCCCATATTAATTGTAGATTTCCTTGTTTTTCTTAGGCTTGTCGCTGGTTGAAATCTTTGGCTACGCAGTTCTCACTTTCATGGCCACTCTCGCCATGCTCGTGTATCTGGAGGAGTGTGTTTACATCTACAGGAAGGTGGCACCCCATAAGAAGACCATCATCATCTGGGTGAACGGGGCAGCACCTGTAAGAAACTGCACTAACGTTTATAATAGTCATGGAGAAGTGTTTTTAACTCCTGCCCCTCTGGTCGTCAGGTGATCGGTGCCATGTCCTGCCTCGGCATGTGGATCCCCAAAGCCACCATGTTCACAGACATGACCTCAGCATGGTGCGCTATCACGTTTCTACTTTTATTTTCCTTTTCTCAGCTCAAATGTTGTTTTAGCTTTCTGGAATTGGGAAATAATTTGGATGGTGAAAGATTTTTGTGATTCTTTCAGTGTATGAAGCTGGGGGAGCAGCATTTTTAAGCCACAATCAGAACTATAAACTTGCTCACACTTGCTCACACTTGCTCACACTATGTACTTTTGGCTGCTGTCTTGTATTGAGACAAAGAATCTATATCTGAGGGAGGAGGAAAGTTGGGTAGTCTAGCTTTTAGTGTAAGAGAATCTAAATGTCTTCAATGTTTTAACTGTATGCATAAGAATTGAATTGTTAAATCTGAACTGCATGTCCATTTGTTTTCTTGATTGGGATTAATTGTGCAGCCCTTCTGTTGACCTAATACTTTTTGTTGTTCTCCAGTTATTTTGCCATTGTGGTGTTCAAGTTTCTTACCTTGATGCTGGAAGAAGTTGGTGGCGATGAAGCATTTCTAAAGCGAGCACCAAAACACGATTTAAGAATTAGTACTGGACCCTGCTGCTGCTGCTGTCCCTGTCTGCCCCATGTGGCCATCACAAGGTAAGCATATAGTTGAGGTGCTAGAGAAATTACTTTACTTTAAGCATGCATTATATCATTTAGACATGATGCATAAAGAGCAGAACAAAACGGATTTTCCAGTCGGCATCAAAAGGTTTCAAACATTGTTACAATTTAGATAGAAGCCATCAGAATCTGTTTATTCAAGGACAGGGACTGGCTTGAATTATGTGATATATTGCAGTGAGTCTTTCTCCATAATACAGAATTAAAGTAGTCTCCTTGGAAGAGCTAATGCCACTAGGTTGGCTCTGTGTACTGGCAAACTAGGTTATGGTAAGACTGTCTGGCTTTTGTTGTACTTTTAGCCATACAACCGCAACTAAAGAAACAAGCCACATAAGGATATTAACAATCCAAACAAAGAAATTCATATACAATCAAGACTCCAGGGCAGGCACATAATTGAACTTTTCTGATTTGGAGTACCACTATTACTTTAAATGATGGAAGTTACGGGAAAAACTCTTGGTCATTCAGAGTAAATTTGCCGTACTATTCCACCTAACATCTGGTCTTAAAATGGCCAGGCACAGGGCCAAAGATTTGCTGCTCTGTGTAAAGAGAGATTACATCAAAACTCTGTAACTCACTGCTGTGTGCTCTCGGCCATTCACCTTCAAGGGCAGGGACACTGCCATTGTTTTCTAAGGCTTTCCAAGGCTGTCCATCGCACAAATGTTTAAAACCTGTGTTTTGGAATTGACCAGACAATTTGTATGACATTACTCTGCATTTTTGACAGAATGTGTATATATTCTGGAATTCTAATCAATGCACTGTTGTAAAGTTTGCTTTGTGCAAGGACTGAAATGGTTGTTGTTGCGGCCCACACAAGAACAGAACGTGCATTTACCCTGGTTTTGTGTGATTTGCATTTTTTATGTCAGATTGTTTAGTTCTAAAATGGCATTTTGGGAGTGAAATGTGCCTTGTTTTCGCCCTTACCCAGACTCGGCAAAGGAATCTTAATGAGCTAATTAAGTGTTGTTACTGTTTTAAAACTACTTTGCTTATTCCTCCCCAGGCGATCCCTTTTCCTGCTGAAGCTCGGATCACTTCAGTTTGCAATCATGAAGATTGTTTTTACCATCCTCTCAATTGTGCTCTGGACAAATGGGAACTTTAACCTTGCAGATGTAAGTCCCACTAGTGTTTCACTGGAATTCCTATATGACTCTGTGCCCATAATTATTTATAGTCTGTTGTATTGTGACTAATCTCAAAACATGATTTCAGCTGACCATCAATGGAGCGGCCATATGGATAAACCCTTTTGTGGGTGTATTGACAATCATCGCCCTTTGGCCCGTGGCTATAATTTTCATGCATTTGAAGACTACTCTGAGAACTCTTAAGATTATTCCAAAGTATGCGATGTACCAGGTAAGGCCGCAATGTTTTTTAAATTTGGATGTAAAATGAAAGGACCGCTTGAAGACTTGTGTTTATACTATTTCTGAGTGTTCTTATCGAGATAAGTTAGTACTGTGATAGAGGACTCTATTGTACGCTAAAACTAAATTGTAGCATCATTTAACCACTATTTTGGGTTTGGTCAATTTGTAGTCCTGTTAACTAGCTGTATAGTTATTTAAAACCAATGAACTTGCATGGGGTAAGAAGTACAGAGCAGGAGAACCCTCTGGTGTGGATATTTGTTAAGAGCTATAAATGTTCCCCAGAAAGCTTCATCTGTAGTTCATTGAATAACAATGAAAAGATGATCAGCAACATGTGTGCGTGTCTTGTGTTATGGCTCATAATACTACAGTAGAAGGTACTTTTATTCGTCCCACAATGGGGAAATTTCAGTTTGATACGTATACAGTACACATCAAGGCAAGCGGAGAACATTTCTTCCGCGCTCCTTATAGGCAAAGTGGGTTAAGTGTCTTGCCCAAGGACGCAACGACAGCAGACATCAGTGGGAGTCGGTGGAGGAGAGGGTCTCGTGGTGGGCTTGAACTCGCGTCCTTTGGGCGATAAGGCCAATGCTCTACCAACTGAGCTACTGTTGCCCTAGGGTTAGGGTTTTCATATCCCTTATTATCCTAATATTTAATCAATCTTTTTATTTCTTTACAAAACTTTGTCAGTTTAGAATATTTACCCAACCTTTAAGTTTCTGTATGTGTATTACTTACTCACTAGTAATTAAGTACTAATTTTATTATCCAGGCAACAGTAGTTCAGTTGGTAGAGCATTGGCCTTTGAGCCAGAGGGTCATGGGTTTGAGCCCGACTTTCTCCATCGACTCCCACTGTCTGCTGTCGTTGTATCCTTGGCAAGACGCTTAACCTTTGAGAACACCAGCCACAGTTTACACACTTTACCCCCATTGCCTAGAGTGTCTTGTGTGTGTGTGAATAGTTGGTGGTGGTCGGAGAGGCCGATGGCACATACTGGTTGCCTCGCTTTTGTCAGTGTGCCCCAGGGCAGCTGTGGCTACAGTAGTAGTTTATCACCAGTGTTTTGGAGTGAAAGAATAATGTAAAGCGTCTTTGAGAGTCCAAAATAACGCTATATAAAACGATACATTATAAAGTGCTTGAGTCATTACTTAAACATAGTTTAAAAACACCAATGCTGACAAAGTTTAAGTAGTGAAAGTTGCATTATTATGTGGGTGCCTGATCCTGTTAGACCTCAGAAGCTCAGCATTACATTCGAGTTCCAGTAACTAGAAATTACTCTAACCTGTCTTCCACTATTGATGACTTGAGAAATGTATGCCCTCCTCACATAAACACATGTGTTCTCAGCTCGTGCTGGTCCTGAGTCAGTTGCAGACGGCAATCATCAACATTCTGGCTCTAAATGGAACGATTCCGTGTTCTCCTCCCTTCTCCTCAGCAGTTCACGGCTACAGTAAGTGTCTCTCCTGTTCATTATTTATTCTCTATAAGCTGTTAATGTAGTTTTTTTTTTTTCTCATCTGTGCAGTGATAAGCCAGCAGATGCTGATAGTCGAGATGTTCATAATCACCATGGTAACACGGCTATTGTACAGACGACAGTACGATCCCCTTCCTCTGTATGAGGACGACGTCAATGAACAGGCCACAATCCTGGTGGGATCACACTCTTGTAGCGAGAGTTAGTTTTTAGAGTGAACTGTTCTTTACTGTAAATTAATGGTCTTTAATCCTGAGCATGCCCTGATTTGAGTTTAGATTGCTCAGGAGATTAATCCAGTTAGACCTCATGCCACTTTGAGCAATCATATCGTTTTTGTAAACACACTGCTTTTTTGTTGGGGGGGTTCCACAATTTAATTTTATTTACGCACAATTTGTCTCAATCAGACTTGATCAGAATCTTTTTTCTCTGAATAATTGTCGTGGTTTGAAAACACTAATGCAGTTCACTTTAGTTTGACTTTTTCGTTAAGGCATAGAGCTTTCTGACCACCAGGGGGCGGTTAAGGCATACCAAATGTCGACATGGGTTCATAGTTTGCTGTTCCAACAGTCTATGGTTCTAACGCATGGCTCTAATAAATTCTAACAGCACCACACGCGTTTCATATAATTAAAGTCTTTACTGTTCAGGCACTCTGATAAAATGTCCTTTTATTTAAGGAAATTAAGTACTCTATCAGGATGATACTCTAACTTAATTGTTAAAGTGTAGTTGTCGTCACATGTTGACCGCGTCATGTTTTCTAAACTGGCGGAAGTGGCTGTTTACCAGATCATTCTAAAATTTCAAAATTAGAATTATATTTTTATTTTTTTATGTAAAACCAAATGAAGATTCATTCCTCCTGTAAGCTTTATTATTCCAACCTAAAGTATTTTAATTTTGACTGTATTCTCTGCTGTTGTCTGCAGATTCAGTTAACGCCACTGTTAAAGGGCTCAAGTCCATATGTGTATATACAATAAACATGATTTTTATAAAATGTTTTGTCGTTTAAATACTTTAATGTCAAAGACTAAATGGGGACTGGGGGTTTGAAATGGCAATGTTGGGCTGAAATTGTCATTGACCTGATCCTTGAACTGTTAGTTAGGCAAAAAATTTGCAATTGTAGGAATTGAAATTTTTGGCTTGATTTTTACGATATTTAAGCATAACACTGGTAGTAATTGTACTTTTATATATTAAAATAATGTTAAATTTTATTTTATTTTTTTTGCCTAAATCTTCATATTGTGTACAACACAAAATATTCACGCGACACGCAAAGAGCTTTATTTTGATACAAACCGGATATTGGTCTTTGCCTGATCTTCTGCACCATGGATATGTCAAAATTGGACGCGCATCTCGCAGCTTGAGGAAACTCTGTTGAGGACTTGTGCGTGATGCGTGTGTCTGTACGTGTACGTGTGTGAACCAAACCCACAGCCGTGTTCTGTCTCCGCTGTCCGCGGATGGCACCGCAGCCCCGGCTTATGAGGACCCGATGGAGAGCAGCGGCCCAGTCACACAGACGGGGTAAACATGGATGAATTTGCCAAGCTAGCTTTATAACGCTGTCATACATGGACAATTAAGCTATCAAAATGAGGATCTTCCTGTCTCTCCTCAAGAATACAAACCCAAAAATTGAGTATTATTCCAGATTTTCGCCGTCGCCGCTGTCCATTAAGCAATTTTTGGATTTCGGTAAGTGACTTCTTAACCTTCCCCTCGTTTTCCTCTAAAGACTCCTATAGTTGGCTAATTAAGTTGATTCACTTTTGTTTACCGGACTGCCACAGTTAGCCTTGTCTTGCAGCGCATGCGTACCTGAAACATTATACTTTTGTTTTGATCCGTATGAATGTTGTTTACATGCAGCATCCAGGCAGAGCCCACAGCAGAGCCCCATGCCTCTGTACGGATCGCTGTTGACTATACAAACATGTAAAGTGTGTGTAATGGCGTTGACAGTGGATGGCACAGCTGCACGTAGGCAAAGGAGGACATGCCGACACCAAAGCAGCGGTCAGGTCTAGAGCGCATCCTCTGAACTGGACAGTAAATGTAGTGGATCTATTCTAAGGGGTGCACTTTCATATTATTCCCTCATACACTCCTTCCCTGTAAGTGCATAGTCTGTCTGTCTTTCGCTCCCTCAAGGATTTTCTTAATCCATTTCTGATTAAATAGTCTTACGCAATTGTTTTGCACAAGAGATTGAGAAACGTGCAACTCCCTTTTCCTTGTAATTAACATGTATGTCACTAGGGCAAACGGATCTGTCTACTTGTATACTTAACTGATCCCCCGTAGGAGAAATTCAGGTGGCCAGTAGCTGTAAACTCATTCATCCATCCATTCAAGCAAAACAAATCAATTGATAATATTACTGTTGGCTACTTTTAGAATTAAGATGCGAGAAGGTCACAGCAGCACGGCGCAGATATGAAATTTCTCAAACTTGTGCCTGTCCAGCATCATGGCTCATTCATTCACTGTAGACTGTGTTTTATTAACAGGTTGTGCTGAGTCATTCCCCAAAGCTCAACATATTGTACACTTTTTTTTTTTTTTTTTTTTTTTGCCAGACATCCATCTATCCCAATTCCTGAATGTTTCCCAAAACAAAAGCTGAAGATAAGGTTTTCCTCTATGCCATTTATCTACCCCAATTCAATATTTGGAGAATCATTCAATGGACTTACTGTAACTACAGTATTCATACCAAAACTTAACAGGTTTCAAAGACAATGACGCACACTTTATTTGTAATACCACATTTTAGGGAAGTGTGGTGTGAAATGGTCCATTGTATTAGCCCTATTGAGCTGCTTTCATCTAAAATATAAATTGTTACTTGCCTTTCCTTGACACTGAGTTTATTACATCAATTTACAACTTCCTTTGCTTGCAATAAAAAGTGCAAGAGTTCAATCCTGGCAGCGGTTTGTGTATATTAAAGATTATTACATTAGACAGGACAGGCAGCGCTCTTTGACCCAGGCATTTTAGTATTACCTAAAAGTGGATCTGAATTCCTCAAACATGATTTTCCTCTATACCCTGACATGTTTTAGATGTAATCTCTTCCTTGTCAGATTAAAAAAAGACACATGAGACTACTGTAAATCTTCAAACATCTAAATACCATCTTGGGGTGCATGATTAAATCCTATTTTTCTTGGACTGCAATTTTTCATGTCTCCTCAATCAAAAAAGACTTGAAAGATTTTCTTGAATTTTTTTGTATAGTTTGAATAGAAAATGAAATGAATAATTCCCATTGATTATTTTTTTACAACCAAAAGCACCTTGTGTGACCTTGATCTGTGAAATGTGCTATATCATTTTTTTTTTACATACAATGAAACAAGTGTCTTTAACCTTTTACTGTAAATCATTTTTTTATCAGTGGGAAATAACTTTTTTGCTTGTTCCAACTTCCTTGGCAAATTTGCTGACAATATAATCGTATTCTTAAATACTGCTTAAAGGGTTAAATTGAAAAAGAAAAATGTTTATTTTTGCATATTTAAATGTTATTAATTGTTGGAAGGAAACCAGATAACCTACAAAATAATTGATAGTGGAGCAATATAGACACAACCATGATCAAAACTTAACTTTGAACTGTTTTATTCTCTGATCTGTGTTGGCGATTTCAACAATTGTGTAAAGTCCTCCGAGATAACTACTGTTGTGATTTAGGGCTATACAAGAATACATTTAATTGAATTAAGACCATGCTTCGCATTCTTTCAGCCCCTGGGTCACTGCAAGGTCAAATATGCAAAAATATATATTAAAAGTTGCATAATTCACTTGTTTTTAATTTTAGATAATTTCTTCCGTAGTTTTTATATATTTTTACAACGTATTTTTATCCCTAAACTAGTACTGGAGTTGATTTAAGTACTGGTGTATTGTTTTTCGTAATCGCTTACTCACTATTTTTGACTGTTAAAACGTAACTTGTAAATCGCATGGCCAGCACAATAGAAATCCTGCTTCCCTAGTACTCACCAAATCACCCTCTCCTATCTTTTCATGAATCTTTGACATGACTGTTGCCGTTCCAGGTCGGGACAATGCCTGTGAGAAGACGTCGTACATGTTCTTGCGTAAGGAGCTGCCGGTGCGACTGGCCAACACCATGCGTGAGGTCAACCTGCTGCCCGAAAACCTGCTGAACCAACCCTCTGTGCGGCTGGTGCAGAAATGGTCAGTATATATTTTTATTTTATCATTATTATGCTTTCATCTGATTGGTCAATGTGTTTGTTCTACAGGTACATGCAGAGTTTTGTGGAGCTGCTGGACTACGAGAACAGGAAGCCAGAAAATCCACACGCACTGAATGAGTATGTCGCTCAAGAACAAGACAATTGTAAACCGCTTTGAGACTCAGATTTGCAGTGAAAAGGCGGTAAATAAATAAAGATAAAGAAAGAAATGAAATGGTTATCGCACGCAGGCATTTACACTGAACCCTGTCGCGTTTGTATCACACCTCGACTCTACAGAGGATGGCCCCTGTTTTGTATGATCACATGCTTGATAAGCTGATAGGAAGGGGAATACCTTTGACTGAGCGGTCACCAAGGCATTTCAGTTTACACAGGTCACCCATATTGATTCTGTGCTTTTAAGTAGTTGTCATGATATTTTGTTTGCTGAGATTGAGCTTCGGGTCAATACCTCAATCAATTAAATATATTAATTTTAGAATTGTGTACACATTCAACACAAACCTACAAACTACAAAATAAAATAGAATAAACAAATATAGAGTTTGCAAAGGGGTCGGACAAAGCAAAAGCATAATTGGCTCCAGCCCCTCTCACTCATTCAAAACACAAATTCATGTTTAAGATAATAACTTTGGCTGTTTTTGACTAAAAGTAGAAAAAATTTAAAGAAAGCAACGCAGAGTTATAAATGTATTATCTCCAGGCGTTTTCATACTACAGACCTGGTATTTTAGCCAGAGACCAAATGGTGCTTTTCAGTACGTGTAAGACTGGAACGTGTCCTAATAGTTAAAACAAACTTGCTATCAAAATAAGTCACAGCGCGAGCACCCCGGACCAGAGAAGTTTATCATCCACATGGAGCAATACCTGTGGCGCCCAGTCTGAAAGGAACTGGTGCCTGGGACTTTTTGTCAAAATCTCTGTGCCACATTCCAATACACCTAAAATGTAGAAATACTCCACCATCAGACTTTTCCAACAAGATATAGCTCTGATATTAACATTTTTACTAGTCAATGGAGCTGGATCAGTCTTTTTGGGGCTATAAGTTAATTTCCCGATTCAAAATTCAACAAGGAAGTCATGTTTTTCATTCTGGGAAAATACTGCAAGATCTCAGTTATATCTAAGTTGACTTGTTTTGTAAATGGTGTAATCTAACAGTATTTTTTCCTTCTTTTCTGTGTTTTCTTGAAGCTTTCTGGAGTTGTTGATTGAAATCCGCAACCGTCACAACGATGTGGTCCCCACTATGGCCCAGGGCGTCATAGAGTATAAGGAGAAGTTTGGCTTTGACCTCTTAAGCAGCACAAACGTCCAGTATTTCCTTGACCGTTTTTACACCAATCGCATCTCTTTTCGCATGCTCATCAACCAGCACAGTGAGTCTCAAGGCATTACATAAAAACTAGTTTGTGCTTGTTTGTATACATACGGGCACTTGAGGTTCTTGTATATTTAATGTGGAATTTAAAGCTGTCTGATGATCTTTTTTTTTTTTTTTAAGCCCTCCTGTTTGGGAATGACACCAACCCTGCCCACCCCAAACACATCGGCAGTATAGACCCCACCTGCTGCGTGGCTGAAGTCGTCCGTGGTGAGTTCAGGAACCACATTTGTCTAGTTATTTTCTGGTTTCAAAATCTTTTACTGCCCCTAGTGTTCATGTACTCTGTAGCGTATGAATGAGGGCGTGTTTGTGAGAGCGAATGCTGCTGGACAACGGATGGAAATTGGCCCATGGCTACAACCTGACATGGGTACAGTGTATAATGTTATGTCCCAACCAAATAAACACAAAACGTGGTTCCATCTGCATGAAACGGAGCCAGTTCAGTGTTTTTTGTGTGCATTCAAACTAGGTTTCAAATATACTCTTTTGTTTCACTAAAATTACTCTCCACAAACTATTTCTTAAATGATTATCAGTGCTTTTTGTTAACTGTAATGTCACTGTATCTCGAATTAAAACAAATATTTGCCTTTGTGGTTGAGGATTATTCTTATTTCTTTGAGTTTGTAACCTCGCGGTGAACTCTGCATAGGAATCTAGTTATAAACAAGTTATGTTGGGCTATTTGTGGTATGACACCCAATGTCTGTGCTTTTTGTCACAGATGCTTATGAAACTGCCAAGATGCTGTGTGAGAGATATTACCTGGCAGCCCCTGAACTGAAGATCGAAGAGTTCAACAGTAAGACATATAAATTATAAAGTTTGAACCTTTTGAGTACTTTGAGTATTTAATTTCGCAACGTTCAGTCAAAAAATACAGAAGACAGGACAATATAACAAATATAACAGACAACACGTGGACAAAAGTACAGACAAGACAGGGGAAATAGGGGGGATAGACAGGGGACATAAAAAAGACAAATATGAAGCATATTAGATCTTATGAAAAGAATATGCTATTTGTCCTTCTTAATATTTCAGAAAATCACAGGGACATTATTCATTGATCTTGAAGCAGGTATATCTTCTAACTTGGCCAAGTGAAGTCACTTTTCTTTCTCCCGTATGTTAAATGTGTATCCCACTCTGTGTAAAATGGCAAGTCCATCATTTAGCTGGAAGCAATTGAAAAGCACACCTCCCACTGGGGAAATTGCATAGTGCCCTCTAAGTTTGGTTAAGTTTACATCAAGCCCATGTTATTTATGTGACTGTCCAGTGTCTCAACCTCTTTTACAAATAACAATATCCTGATGTTTTATTTACAGTGAAGGCGCCAGAAAAGTCAATCCAAGTTGTGTATGTGCCCTCGCATCTGTTCCACATGCTTTTTGAGTTGTTTAAGGTGAGTTTTAAATGCATCGCCCAAAAGGACAAACGTCACATGAGATAATTACAATGTAACGTGACATGTAATTGAATGGAGACCCAAGTGGAGTTAATTAGAGACGGGTTGTTGCAGAACTCGATGAGGGCCACAGTGGAGCTGCACGAGAACAGCTCAGAGGGACTTCCACCAGTGAAAGCTAAAGTTACTCTGGGACTAGAAGACTTATCCATAAAGGTCAGTCAAACACAAATTATGCAAAGCTTTGCAAAACTTGTTCCTACTCTTAATCAACATTATATGGACTCAACAAATTCATAAATTAGTATCCACCCACAACAAATATGGCTTATTTATTGTATCAGTTATTCAATAAATAAAATAATATTTAAAAAATAAATGAAATGAATAATTAAATTGTATTTGACTTTCAGATCAGTGACAGAGGAGGAGGCGTTGCTCTGAGAAAAATAGAACGTCTGTTTAACTACATGTACTCTACTGCTCCAGCGCCAAGTCTGGAGCCTGGATCTGTCCCTCTGGTACAAATACACTCAATACTACCCCTGCTTTCAGTTTATATACACTTATGCTTTTACTTTTATGTTATACATTTTTCTATTTAATTTTTCTATTTTTCTTTTCACTAGGCTGGTTTTGGATATGGGTTACCCATTTCAAGGCTGTATGCCCGATACTTCCAAGGGGACCTGAAACTATACTCTATGGAGGGTGTGGGCACTGATGCAGTCATTTATCTGAAGGTAAAGCCGTGTGTGACACTGACCTATATTTTAAAAAACGTTTTTAAACTAAATGTTGTCCTTTAAAACTTTTCTTTTTCATAAACAATTCATGTTGCAAAAAAAGCAATTAATCAGACAACAACTTGCTTATTATTAGTAAAAAAAAATGTAAGTGAGTCACTATTTGACTCTTTGGGCTAAAAGTGGATTGGCTGAGAGAGGCTGTCCTCTCATTTGTCTGTCTGAAAAAGCTGCTCTAAAGATGTGATAGAGGCCAGAAAAGCATGGATGTGAAAACTAGTCATAGAACCATCTGAGCCGGAACTATGGATTTGTATTACTTAGTCCTACTATTGTAGTTTGAAAGTTAGGTACCAGAGTATTTTATTTGTGTCATATTTTCTATCCATATAAAACATGTATTTGCAAATCTAAATGTAAATAATGGAGCCAACACCTTTTTTGCTCTCTTGCACGACTGCTCTTATTAAGACTTAATATTAATATTGCGTTTTTCAGGCTTTGTCCAGCGAATCATTCGAGCGGCTTCCCGTCTTCAACAAATCGGCGTTGCGACATTACAAGACCAGCCCCGAAGCAGACGACTGGAGCAACCCCAGCAAAGAGCCTCGTGACGCCAGCAAACCCAATTACAAAGCTAAAAGATAACTGGCTAGCCAACATCAGCCGCCCTAGACACACTTTGGCAATGGAGATGCCTGCACTCTGCCAAAAGTACATGCAAGATATAGTATGCCCTTAGGTAAAGTTGAATCCCAGTTGAAGTTGAATAAAGTTGGTCCCAGGTAAATAAGATGGTCCATATAGATCTCTTTTCCTTTACCCATCGGCATCAACTTATCATTTAATATCTCCCAAGGTGGACTTCAAAAGGAAACCTCTCTTTGAATTCATTATTTGCTTGCATTTAAAAAATCAGACCTAACTTTATACCTAGATGGTTTTATGTCATATAGTCCGGCCTGCTGCTTGTCTATGGTGGATTTAACTGGTGGTATGTAGAGGTGGTCACATGATTGAATCAGTACAAAGCTCTAACGTTCTAAGGCAGACCATCCTCCAAAGAGAAACAAAAAGAATAATGTCTTGTTTTTACGTTGATTCTGGGTTCATCCTAGTTCTCGCTTTCAAGTAGAAGTTAGTTGAGGTTTAAATCCGAATGGCGTGAGTCCAATAGTAATTTTGTATGACTTGTATGAAAAATCCAGCCGAAAACACAGCCTCCCAAAATCCTGGTGTATTTCTGTTGGCTGCTCATTGGACAGGCCACAAATGCAATATTGCAACCAATATAATACAAGTGATGATAATGTGTTAGGCGTGGTCATGTGTCCTTGTGCTCTGCTTATAGCACTATCACTCTGGTCCTAGGATTTTGTCTTTGGCTCAACACAGACTCTATGAGGATCAAAAGGAAAGAGGTTTTATTTTGTCCTATGGGAGAAACTTTTTATTGAATCACAACTAGGAAAATGCGTGTTTTCTGATGTTTTGTTAACTTCATTTAAGCCATGGAAAGTGTGTGTGTTTTTACAGGTGGGGGATATTTGTGTGTAAAAGTAATAATGCAGGTATTTTTTTTCTTTTTACCTAGACTGATGGCCTTATCTGTACAACATTGGAAGATTAGTTCCATATTTTTAAAGGGACGTGCATTTTTTTTAATGAAATGTTAAACTATTTAACTTATTGAGACTTATTGAGCCTTTTAAGACTATTAATAATAGCTCCAACTAATAACGCAAAATTGCAGCATAATGATTGCTTTCGATCAAATACTTTTTTAACTCTACATCCCTGTTCGTAATTAATGGAAAATACTTCTTCTTTGTAGGGTTCATAACAAAGACGGACCAAATGTTTTCTGAAATGCAGTCCCAGTGCTGTCTGTATTGTAGCTTCTATCACATCAGCACCATGTACTGTATATACACATGCAGTGAGCGTCATACAGAAATCAGAATATATGATCAATACCTGTCTTATGGTCTGTGTGGCACTTCGACTAACAAACTGTTCCCTCAGCTCTATGGCATCATCTGCTGAATGGATTATTGGCACTTAGTTGTAAATGTTTGTCCTATTGTTATTTTTATTTTATTTTATTTGCATTACTTAAAAAAATTATTGAATATATTGCCGTATTTTTAAAAGGGTATTCTTAGTCAATTTTAATGTTTTTAAATTATTCAGTACATTCAGATTGTAATTCCTAAACCATAGCAGGACTTGTAATTGCACTTTACCTCATCCTCATTCAATAACTGTATATTCATTATATGTGTACGTATTTATGAAAAACCAACACAATGTACGGCATTGTAATAGACCAAAAATATAAAAAGTTGACTGAAGTGACCTGTTTCTTTTCTTCGGCTCACACTGAAGGAAAACAAAGTGAAATCTGACTGTGTCTGGTTTGTGACTCCGAGATTTCACCACTGCCATTGCCTTCAACATTTTCTACTCACAAAGAGAGACCAGTGGCCTCATTTATAAAACTATATGCAGAAATGTATGCATGACCAAAACAAAAACATTTTCCCCAAATCACTCATTTCAATGTTGTCTCATAAATCACAAACCTGACATGAAAAGTGTTGGTTGTACGTGAGCATGTTTTAGAAATGAGGCCCCAGAGCTGTTTGTATGCTACATTTATGGTCCCCTGGAACTCTACTAATAATAAAGTGCATTGACTGTAACCCGAACACTAATCAGTAAACCTTCCTTCTCAAGTTGCTGTGTTGGACGTAGCCTATTGATAACTATTGTATTTTAGAGAAACACATTGTTGTGTATATATATCTTTCAGTGAATTTAACATGTATTAACTAGATTCGACAGGCCCCTCCTACTAACCGTCTGTCTCTTTGCGTGATCTTCCCAATGTAGAGGTCACTGTGCAAAGATATGCAATAATGCTCTTATTCAACTCATCGATATACTGTTGTCACTGGTCAATAAAGAAATGTTTTGCTGCACAAAACTGATTTATCTCTGGTCTTGGCACAGTGCTGTTTCATTCCAGCACTAAAGGGAACATGCATCTATAAAGCATCGGTTTTATAGAGAGCTTTTTGGACATTCAAAGACGCTTCACATATTATCCATTCACTCGATACGCGGTGGTGATAAATCATTACTGTAGCCACAGCTGCCCTGGGCACACACTGAAAGAAGCAAGGCAACCATTATGAGCCATTGGCCCCTCCGACCACCACCAACCATTTATGCACACACCATTTCTTAGCAAAGTTGTTTTGCAGACTCAGACACAATAGTTAGACACTTTACAGCCCACTGTGGTACCCAGAACTTAAGTCTCCCATCACAGTACTAACCAGGCCCTGCCCTGCTGGGATCTGGCTTTCACATGCAGATGGCGCCACAGCTATAGATCTTTTTACATGTGGCTTACAAAGAATATTTCAAATATGATATATCCATCCATCCATCCATTTTCTTCCGCTTCATCCGTTGCCGGGTCACGGGGGCAGCAGTCTAAGCAGAGACGCCCAGGCTTCCCTATCCACACACACTTCCTCCAGCTCATCCGAGGGGACCCCAAGGCGTTCCCAGGCCAGCTGAGAGACATAGTCCCTCCAGCGTCTCCTGGGGAGACGCTGGGGCTTCCTCGGGGCCTCCTCCCGGTGGGACGTGCTGCGTACGCTGCACCGATCCGCCTGTCAATCTCACGCTCCATCCTTCCCTCACTCGTGAACAAGATCCCGAGATACTTGAACTCCTCCACTTGAGGAAGGACCACTCGGATTTGGAGGTGCTGATTCTCATCCCAACCGCTTCACACTCGACTGCAAACCGTCCCAGTGCATGTTGCAGGTCCTGGTTCATTGGCGCCAACAGGACAACATCGTCCGCAAACAGCAGAGATGAAATCCTGTGGTCTCCGAACCGGACCCCCTCCGACCCCTGGCTGCGCCTAGAAATTCTGGGCGCAGCCAGAACCCCCCAAAAGACACCCCGGGGAACACGGTCGAACGCCTTCTCCAAATCCACAAAGCACATGTGGACAGGTTGGGTGAACTCCCATGAACCATCGAGTATCCGATGGAGAGTATAGAGCTGGTCCAGTGTTCCACGGCCGGGACGAAAACAACACTGCTCTTCCTGAATTCGAGATTCGACCATCGGCCGTAGCCTCCTCTCCAGTACCTTGGAGTAGACCTTACTGGGGAGGCTGAGGAGTGTGATCCCACGATAATTGGAACACACCCTCCAATCCCCCTTCTTGACCCCGGTCTGCCACTCCATTGGTACCGCCCCCGATCGCCACGCGATGTTGCAGAGACGTGTCTGCTAAGACAGTCCTACAACATCCAGAGACTTTAGATAGTCAGGACGGATCTCATCCACTCCCGGCGCCTTGCCACCATGGAGGCTGCCAACCACCTTGGTGACCTCGGCCAGGGAGATGGAAGTATCCGCCCCAACATCCTCAGCCTCTGCCTCCAGGACAGAGGACGTGGCGGGGGGATTGAGGAGAACCTCAAAGTATTCCTTCCACCGCCCGACAATATCCCCAGTCGCGGTCAGCAGCTCTCCACCCGCACCGTACACGGTGTTGGCAAAGCACTGCTTCCCTCTCCTGAGGCGCCGGACGGTTTGCCAGAATCTCTTTGAGGCCGACCGATAGTCATGCTCCATGGACTCTCATGGAGAGTCTCCTCCCAGTCCCGGGTTTTTGCCTCTGCAACAGCCTGCCTCAGGAGTCCCACGAACCATCATGGCTCGATAGGACTCCTTCTTCAGCCTGACAGCATCCCTTACTGCCGGTGTCCACCACCGGGTTCGGGGGTTGCCGCCGGGACCAGCACCAGAGACCTTGCGACCACAGCTACGAGCCGCCGCATTGGCGATAGAGGAAGAAAACATGGTCCACTCAGACTCAATGTCCCCCTCTTCCGCCGGGACCTGGGAGAAGCTCTCCCGGAGGTGAGAGTTGAAAGTCCGTCTGACAGGGGGCTCAGCGAGACGTTCCCAGCAGACCCTCACTACACGCTTGGGTCTGCCAGGTCTGACCGGCTTCCTCCCCTGCCAGCGGATCCAATTCACGACCAAGTAAATATGATATAGTTTGGTTTTATTTATGTAACAAGCCATTTTCAACAAATCTACAGAATAAAAAAGTCAAACATTCCCAATTTTTTACATAATAGTGCAGATAAATAGTGCGTAGAGGCCTCTACATTGCATTGTAGTTATCTTTTATTGCAGTAGTAGCAGAAAAGTCTATTATGGCGGTGCGGTTGAACAAAGAAATTGAGGGGACAATATCCAGTCTGTTATGAACCAAGAGTTTACCTGAAGAGCTGCAACAATTATGAGCTTTTTCAAGTATTTCAGTTTCCCGGAGAACAGACGCAGGGATCTTTAAACCAGGGTTTACTTGACAGCTGACATCATCTAAGAATGAGAAAACGTCATGGCTTTTCAACAGGATATTTGTACTATTCTATTACTAAGTTACAAAGCAGCTGATAACAATGGCAGGTAAAAACTAAGTGTCTAACAGGAGTGGTTTTCTTATTCCTAGTGCCCACTGGAAAACCTACTGTGTACATTCAACATGGTGTTAGTGAAAAAGTGTTTCATATATACTATTCACAATCACCAGCATCAGGCATTACTGACAATAGTTTAAACTAAGAACTTTACAGGTCAAGACTTTTGATTTCAATTTAATTTAAAATGTGTGTCAGAAATGTTATAAAATCTTCAATAATTTCTATAGTCCAAATGATTACATTTTGGTCACTTATCTTTGGGGCACGTTCACACTCATGGGTCAAACTGGACTCGCTTCACTTCATGAGCAAATGCAACAGTCATTACGTCACAGTTCTGTTTCAAAATTATTTAACGGCCTGGGTTCACTATTAAGCACGGAGTCCACTTCAGTTGGACCAAGTGTGAATGCACCCTCAAAGCTGGGGTACCTAACTTTGAAACCACACAAGAAATGTACAATGCAATCAAATCCATCTTCTTTACTTTAAAAACAGGTATTGTTGGTCTCTTTACCTCAGCTTTTTCACGCTACGCTCTTTCTTACAACTGATAATTTGCTTTCCAACAAGATAAATACAGCATCATGTGGTCTCATTTGTTACTTTTACAAGACTTTTTTCCATTGGGCAAACTAAAAGCCTTATGAATGAGGGGTAAAATTGGGTACTCCAGCTTTAAAATGTGAAAATGAGCTCTTTCATGATTAAAACATTTTACATTCTTAATCCTTCATTATATATTGTCCAGTAAGTTTTTTTCCCTACTGTGCAGACTTAAGCCTTGCACTAACAAAATGCTTTTAGGGGGGGGGAGGATGGTCTGTTGTCTCTTTGTTGTTTCTCCCCACGCAGGCTTCAATGCAGCCAGTTCACTGTACGACTATCGGTACAAAAATCCATCTACTTTTCATCCTCGTCCCCTTCGCTCATGCTGCTTATGGAGGCGGACGCGCCCTTGGGAGACGTGGGGGGTGACGGCCGAGCACTGTGCCAGCGTGTGGGGGGCGACGGGGGAGACGGGGAGCGCAAGGGGGACAGTTCCCGCGGAGGACTGTTGCACGGGGACTCTCTCGGGGACAGGGCGTAGGACAGCATTCGGCCACTGCGTTCCTGGAAAACCTGTTTCTGTGGACGGTGAAGACATGAAGCAAAGGTTATTGACTGATCCACAATAATAACCTTAAAGCTGGGGTACTCATTTTTAAAACCACAGATAATGTAACTATGTAATAACAATACACCCTCAAAAAACTTTGGTTCCATTTCTAGATTTTACATGAATTTGCTTTTTCTTTACATTTTTTGGTCACATTTTTAGATCCACTTTTTCAAAAATAGAGGCTTTTCAGCTCTCAGCCTTTACAAGACTCTTAGATATATTTCTATCTTTCGTCTACAGTATAAGCATCTTATCACAAATACATAGCCAAAGCATAAAACATATTTTTCAATGTTCTCAAAACCCAGCGACATTGGTTAATGAGTTTGTCTTTATGAACCAGTGAATATTATTTTTTTATTATTTGATAGTATGATTATCTAATCCGTTGCTAGATTGATAATCCTGTGACGCCCTTTGAGACGACTGCTGTTGATTTGATCTGCCTTGCAGTATCTTCGGTGTGTTTAAACTTTTCCTACTCTTTAGTCCTAGCCATAATGTCAATTTAAAATTCAGTCCTAGTTTTATTTCCATTTAGTCCGAAAAGGTTGTAGTGTAACCTTAAACGCACCCATAGCTTAGACAACACAGATGGGCACTGCTTTGTGTTGCCAAAACAAACATAACTAATATATTTAGTCTGACTTTCATTCATTTTTTTGCATTCCTCAACACAATTTCTTATCTTTTCTTATTTGTCTATTAACAAACGTATTGACAAGTGAGATCTATAATTCTGTATTGAATACAACTCAAGGCAAGCTGATCTCAGTCCAATGTTCGGCATGTTTTTACTCTGGACTTAAATCACAAAAAATCAAGCAATTCTCAGATGGAACAAAAGAACAAAAGGCCACCCACAAATGGAGGCCAAAGGTAAAGGCTTGTTACAGTTATGAGTGCTTACCCACGTTCCATCAGGCCCAAACAGTTCTAAAAAGTTGCCGATGAATTCCCTGGATTTCTCCTCCCATTTTTGAATGAGGTCTGCACTTTTCTCCTCCACGCGATAAACAAAGTGCTTGCTTTTCTCCTCCACTGTGCGCACTTTTTCTTTCATCCGGTCCACCTGGTTCTGTAGTCTGTACTTCTTTTCCTATCAGGACAAAATGTAGTGAAATGTATCAGGGCCATTTTCTTAGTTTGATTGCATTTGAACTGAAGGACTTACATTGATATAGCTGACGTTGAGCTCTTTGGCGGTGTAGCCACGCTGCAGGTTGCGGCGAGCATAAACATCATAGTCTCTTACAATTCTAGTGATTATATCTGAAGTGGAGATGCCTTCTGTCCGCTGTGTGGGCACAAACATACCTGCAGAGACAACATGCATTCTGAGTTAATACAGACATAAAAAACAAAAGATGAGCCAAGTTAAAGTGATTGAGAGAAAAAAGTGAGAGAAAAGAGCAGGTGGACAACTGTGTGTCGTTAAAGCTCAACTAGGTCCAGCAGTGGTACTTCTGAGTAAATAAGGGCCAAAAATATTGATGTGGAGTATTGCAACGCCTCCCTGGTGAGGCTAAATCAGCCGGCAGGGAGTAAAAAATACACTTCAACTTGGCTAATGCAATAAAGGCTGCGAAAACTAGTATGTTTACATACCATAAGAATACTGAGTACGGTAAAGGAACAGGCTCTTCAACTATATTCTCAAACCTGCCGAGGACCTGGAGCCTGCTCAATAAAACACACCATGTTTCGTACATTGCTACACGTGTATTCACCTGAAACAACAGAAGCTGATGGTTTTTCCCTGTACTCCTAAGTGCATCTGGTGGCTGTATCTCAATAGGAACCGGTTTCTGAGAGTACGTATGAGACAAATAAATACTGAAACTGAATCAATGAAGGATTACTAATTCTGACTTTGATTGAAAAAAATTGAGCCTCACAACTCTTGCTCTTGACAATTCTTATTATACCGTGTCGAGACTGAGCCCAGGATCTGAAGAATCGTTACCAGCGCTAGCTTGGCGAGTGACAATAAAGATTATCAGGAGCAACAGTTGTGCGGCTCAATTTTCTCCAATCCATGCAATACATTTTTTGGTCCTGCACACTTGCCCGGCTTTATTGTTTGGGAGTGGTGTCAAAAGGGTGTTATATGAATATAAGTGATGAACAGATGGAGCAATCCTTACTGACCTGCCTCTTTGATGTGTTTATAGACGTCCTCACTTCCTGCAGAGGAGTATGGGATGTCGTCATGAGCCACGAAATCAATCTGAGAAGACACAACAGGCCATGTAAAGCCCACTTAATACGGCAAAGTATTGATATGGACTGAATGCTTCATGGACACACACCTTATGTTGCTCCAGGAAGTCAGGAGTGAGTGTCCAGGGAGCATCCGGTAAAACCTCATCCACGTAGCGACAGTGTCTCAGGGCTTCGTAGCGTTCAGCCTCTGTCATAACGGTGAAGCCCTTGTATTTGTGGGTCAATTCATCACTGCACACTGCCCAAGACGACCGTGTAAGAGAGTGTAAGAGAGTAAGTTACCAGATTCAATCATGAGACTTGGTTGATGACTGACAACATGAAAGCAATAATTGATTTACCTCCTACTATGAGGTAAGTGTTTGGAAAAAGGTTCTTGGCTTGCATGAGTGCGCGGGCATGTCCGGAGTGGAACAGGTCAAAGATGCCGTCTGCATAAACCCGGACCGGCCTGTCCACTGATAATGCACAACAATGATGCAAACATTTCAAACGCAATTTTTATACCAATGAATAGAAGACCAATCTATATACCACACTAATTTCACTGGGTAACAAAAAAATATTTTTTGAAAATAGTCCAGGGTTTTCCAGCTGAATTAGACTAATTTTGATGCTCTGAGTCCGAAAATGACCTTGGTTTTGCTCAATCAGGTCAGGATTTTTTGCTACAGAAATATTTTTTTTAATAGATTTTGCGTAAAAAACAAATTTCTGCGGATCATCAGCTGAGAAACCCTTGACGTTTTTTCCGTTTTCCTCAATAAATAAAAGTCAACGTATCCAAAGTCATTCAGTTTTTATTTACTCCATCAAATTTGATAAGCAGAATTCATAATAACGTAGACGTACATAATCCGTAAAACTATGGCTGTATCTCAAAAAGTTGACCTGATAGAGCAAAATGCATGTGATATTCGGACTCAGAACACCAAAATTCGTCTAAATCAGTTGAGAAACCCCTGACCATTTTTTGGCTGTCAACATGTATAAGTAATTATCTGAACCGGTATCTGGTTTTGACCCAATAAATAAACAACAATAAGCTGTTAGTTTATTGTTTTAGTATCAGTACTTGCTAAATTTAGTATAAAGGCTTTTTCTGTGTCTCTACTTGCAATGTCTCTCCTGGCGTTAAGCACATTGGGCTAGAGTTATTTTATGAAATGCTCTATACAAATAAATCTTCTTCATCTCATTGTTGAGGTTTGTAACAATGACAAATATCATTCTTTAAACAACAAAAAACTTTTGCAAATCAAAGAGTAAAGTCAAAGTCAGATTTAGATTGATATGAAGGGTGAGTGCAAATTCATTAGATCTTCATAGCAATGAAAGGAAATATACAAGAGACTATTCATTTGAACACCGCAATTATAAAATACCTGGGGTTCCTCTGCGAGCTTGTGAGATTGTGAGCTTCTCATGTGGAGCTTGACAATCACAGCTAGTCTCCTCTGTGAAGATGGCAGGTTCTGTCAACTTCTGAAGAAAAGAACAAAAAAATCATGTAGCCAAACAGAATTAGCAGGATCCATTTACAATGTAGACCACCAGAGTCAAGAGTGTGAAGGCATTGAAGTCCTTATGGCAATGGAACAGTGACATGTTGAGGGGAAAAAGATGAATAGAATGAATCTTGTTTTGCTGCTCTAGAAATGGTTTGGCAAACAGCAACTATTATCATCCAAACTACAGTTTACCTCAAAAGCACAAACATTTGTGTGGCATTGGTTCACTGTGTTGCACCAACAAGTGTTACTCTTATCTGTCTATCTGTGATGTCTCCATGGAGAAAACACACCTCATATTCAAACTAGCCTGAGCTTGTCCTTGTAGTGTTCTAACAATTATTGCGTATATATGACTCAAACTTTCAAAAAAAAAAAGTTAAACTATTTAGACAAAGAAAAATCTGACAGTTTATTTCTATTGTAATACATGATTCTCTAATCGGACGGCTAATACTACATTTGATTGACCAAACAACAAAATATTGACAGCCCTTAGACATTTGCATTGTACAGCTTTTAAGATTAAGAGATCCTTTAATCGTTCCACAGCGAGGAAATTTCACTGTTGCATCACAAGTTATAGAACAGTAGGAATGAGGCGCACACGGCACAAGATAACCGAACAATAGCTATACTAATTAAAATAAAACAAAATCTGTAACTATAGCATCAGATAACATTGTAAAATGCAATGTGCTTATAATATTACTTCTAATATTTTTATTTTAACACCAGAAACACTCTCAAAGAGGTACTTATAATAATGAATTAGATAAGGGACGGTCTGTCAAGAGAACGATGTCATCTATATTTTATAGGACACTGCATTTAGGTTCATGAAGCAGGGGGAACATGGTGTGCCAAAGCTGCCTCTCACCAACCATCATTCAACATTTCTAACCTATTCACAACTTTGCTTATCATGCTTACTAGAGCTCTGGAGCAGATGGCAAGGCTTAAATTTACTGGCAACGAGTCAAGTACAGTGGCCAGCAAGGACATAAGGTTTCAGCACTATGTAAAGCTCATTCTGGCGAAGGCAACGAGAACATCTGGCTTAAGAGAGATTAAACCGAAAGACAGAAACTACTGGTCACCATGCCACTGCTTCATTTATTTAAAAACAATAGACATACTGTATTTCAATGCTGTTTTTCCCCCTTGCAGGCCCACATGAATTCTTCGTTTTTAATCATAGTCTTTTAATATGGCATAGTAGATGACAAGATATTCTCTCTGTAAAATGGCATTGCACTATTTTGGATGCTTGGACTAATGCTACCGGTGCCCACTCAGCATTCTGTGCTTGCCGTACTGGTTATACTATGAGTGATGTGTTTCGTAACGGGGAGCACAGCCTCTTTTGTCTGTCCCTCTCTCCTTGGCAATAACAAACCAAAGGGAATCACAAAACACAAAATGAACAGCCCTACCGTCCGAGGATGGGGACAGGTATGCTCGAGCTCCTCCATTATTCCCAAAAAGTCATGGGATGCGATTGTGATTGCTGTATTTTGTGACTCAGCAGCATCAATGAGACGATGGCTCTCTCCTCTATATCACTGATTCCTTCTCTTTCCTGTATCCACCTACCCTCTGCTCTGGCTGCATCCTCTCATCCTTTACAAAGAGGTCTACAGCAAGATGAGATCTCACTCTGTACACTGCTATCTTGACGTAAAATGTTATGGTCAACTCAATGTTCAAACCATAGCTCAGTTCATAGTTCCCAAAAGCATCAACGTTATATATAAAAGAAAAATATAATGTAACAAGTATAAATAATAATAATAATAACAAAATGATTATCAATACCATGCAATCAATGTTATGTGTACATGTTGGATTTCAGCTTCTTGTTTACTTTTAAAGATATTCTCTTGCAAAAGATAGAAATACACAATTTTCTCTTTATAACCACTTTTGCAATGGTAGTAATTTTTCATCATCCTGAAATCCATGAAACACTAACTCAAAGCAGCCTTTTTGAATTTGACAGACAGGACAACTTGACCAGCCGGGATGCACAATAATAATAGCCAATTGTCATCAATATGGCCCAACTTCTTTTTATCCATATTCTTGCAGCAACGCAAATACAATTCTGAACACAGAGTGAGTGTCTGTTGTACACAAGATCTTTGATTAGTGAGGAGAGGAAATCTGACCAATCAGGCAGCGAGGAAAACGACAACAAAGCAGCGCTGTGACTGGTCAAGCCAAACCACAACACTGCATCTTTTTGAGCGTCATATCCACAAACCTATCCGAAAGGAAAACTATATAGGCAACATCACAACTCACATTAAAGGCTTCCTCATCAAATTTCACATCGATATCGAAAACTAAAGAATTCCTATAAGCCTAGAGAAGTAAAAAAAAATAAAAATAAAAATATGCTCTCTCTTTATATATATATATTCATACCCACAGCACTCAACATAAATATGCTACAAAGAAGATAATAATGACACTTCTATAGTAACTTACCCTGAATGTTTCTTTTCTGCAACAAAAAGATTCAACAGCACAGCAATGATGCGCTCTGTTTCGCCTTTGTTTCACCATGTTTAGTCACTGGAGTCACATTTGGAATCCTCTTCAATCCAATGCCAGCCTGTCTGTACAGTGCACATAGACGTATGCAGCATAAGTCCAGTGATGAGGACAACACGTCTGTTCAAACCACGTCACGTGATTGGTCGCGACAGCATGGGGCACCGTGCACTGAGACAAAGCCAATATGACACTGTATGACAATAACAACCACAACAACATACAAAGAAATTCATAACTTTGGCACAATAAAGAACACTTTCAGAGTCATGTTTCTCTTGAATAAACCTGTATGCACAGAACAGATCCACAGTGTTAAAGGAAGTCCGTTTGGTGCGAGATTGCGCCCTTTATTGTTGCGCGCATTTGCGTCTGTGCCTGGCCCCAATCTGGGACAGGGCTCTATTGTGTCTAATTCATTGTGAAAATAATCTCCGCTTGGGCCCTGGTGTGTGAACCTTTAACGAGGCCAGCGTGGCGGTATTACATAAGCACTGTTGTGTGAAGCATGTGTGTTATGTGGTAAAGTGTAAACATAGGTCTTTTCTCCAGGCTGAGGTTGACTGTCTCTGCATCATGTAAACACGAGAAGAAGTTGCACCGCGCTGCCCTCTAGAGGCCACCACAGCGAGCGCACTTGTTTTGTCAAAGATGTATTTAGGATAAGAACAGAGAAATTATTTTAAATACGAAATGCAGCTGCAGAACCCTCACTTTGTGCTTCAAATAGTGTGTCTGTGTGTTTCAGCACATTGTAAGCAAAATACAGAGAACCCTTTACAGGTTAAAACACAATGGTTTTCAATTATTTGCAATTTCGGATCAGTCTGAAGCTATAGCTATCCATGGGGCTCCACACAACTTTTCCAGTATAGGGTCCGCTTTGTGTCCAAAACATTAAGCTACATTCTGTCTTTGTGATGTTTTATGCAGTTTTTGAGGATTTGCTTTCTTACAGTTTGAACAGCTGTTGTCTCCAGTGTGAATGCTCATATGTGTAGCGTGATTACCCTTTAGAGAAAATGACAAACGAATCAGCTCCAGAATGAAGTTTCATGTGTTTACAGCGATTTCTCTTCCAGATTTAAAAAAAAAAACTGGACACCTGTGGTTTCTCAGGGTCATTTATCCCTGCGGAAAGATGTTCTTGTTTGGTCTCTCTGCAATGTGAAACCTTAAGTGTTTAGTCATAAATATACAAACTGAGCACTTATTTCCTTTCTCCTCCTCTGTGGAGTCTGACAGGTGTGCAGTCTAACAGGTGTGCAGTCCCTGACAATCTGATAGTGGCTATGATCAATATTTAGAGTGGATATCAGAAAATTACAGACATTCAATTTATGTTTGCTCAAAATAGAAAAAAAAAATGTAAGACTTTCTAGACAGTAATCAATTGTATCTCTTGTATCTATTTGATAGGAGGGGTTTAATCTTGGGTTGGATGTTTTATATAACATTTCAAGATTCTAGATTAAAGAATTTATTTGCCATTTGTAGTAAAACCACATAGGAAAAACTGTGCAAGACCCAGTGTGCACCAGACAGCACACACCAGAGCTCTTGCCACGGCACCATGCAATTTTACTATTTATGATTTTACATTATGTGTCTATAGTCAGTGTTATTGATCGCCTGAGTTGCGCCTTGGAAGATAAATAAAGTATTTGCTACTGTGCCACTGAGCCAATATGAATCATTTTGGTAGAAATAAATTATCTGAGGCAAAAGACATAAATTATTGTGTGTCTAACATCTGGTATCTTCTTTACATTTGTGGAATAGACATGAGTTGACTGGAGCAGTTTCTATCTTGTATCTGGACATATTTGCAGTGGTCTCCATTAGCCTGTTTGTCGATGTCGGAGGAGTATGTATGTGAGTCAGTGTGAATCCTTTGTTTTATTTCTAAACTTATCTTTCTTGTTGCAGGAAACAGTGAATACTATACTTGGTGTCAGTTGCAATACATACTGTACCATGTGATGCCCTTCAACAGGTGGGTTCTTAAACTGGACAGCTAAATGGCCTGAATTTTCAAATGTCTTGAAGTTTGATGTTGAGATTTGACATTGTTTTATCTCTGTCCCTTTGATTTGTGGAATGTCTTGAGTTTGCCTCTTCAGATATCCACAGGAGTCGAACTAGTCACTGCTCTGTGGACCTGGACTTGTGGTTATTATTATAGATCCATGGGTCCACGTCATGTCTTCTCCTCTATAAGTCTTTTCCCTTGTACAAAGGTCTCAGACACAAACCCCAGCTAGTTTTTCTTCTTAGTTTAGTTTTCCACAATGTTTTTAGCTTTTTGGCAAGGGAGCGTTTCACCCGAACACATCGCTGATTGGCTAGAGTACTCTTACGTCACTTCCGGCATATGACTTTCCCCGGGAAGAGCTTTTGGCGCGGTCCTGTTGTTGTGTTGACTTTTGTCTGGTGTCCCGCTACATCTGAACGACTCTAAGTGATAAACAGAGAAGGTGAAAGACATGGCCCCTGTCTCAAACCCCGACAAAGAGATGGATATCCCGGACGGCGGTGAGTTTTAGGTTGGACTGAGGGGGTTTCGCTAAGGCGCTAGCACTGCTAATATTACAGTCTATACTGCTACATAAGCTAGCCTTCACTGTCACTATGAAAACATGTTAACACCTGTGGTTAAGACGTCACATGAAACAGAAGCTGACATGACCTTGGTTTTATTATTCAATTTTGCCTGTATTAAACAGGCCTTACGGGATGGCTGCAGAAACGTAACATAATATAATTTACATGTATTTACTAGGAACTATAACTCTCAAGACTTGATATTATTTCACCTTTATTCTCTATTGACACCACATGTCAAGAAAACGTCACGATTGTCTTACATTCCAAATAATTTAACAAAGTGAATCTGACAGATCATGATCATTATAAAGTCTATATTGTTGGGAATTGTCTATGTTCACAATAGTTATTATATGGTTGTAGATTTAAAAAATACTGCTGTAATCATGTATGATACCAGTGATTTTTGGTTCGATTCAGTACTAAGTAATAGAACGTGAACTTGTATCAATTTGGCTCTATAAATGTTTAACCAGTTATGAACTTTCGAATTGCATCGTTGTATGTAGCTAGACGCAATCATTCTTTCCACATCACCTGAGTATTCCAGTTGTATAATCTATGTTGTAGATTAACTTAGTTTATTAACTATTAACATGTTTTGCAGTATAATTTTGTATTATAATTGTCCTTGTTTTGGTTTCACTAATTTGCATTGTTCTCTTTTACAAACCCTTGTATTTTCTCATGGCTTTAGATGGCGGAGGTGATACAGGGGGGCTAGCTAGATCTCGTTCCCGTCGTGAGAAGAAAGAGAAATCTGGGAGGCAGTCTGCTTTGGAGCAACTTAAAAAAGCTAAAAAAGGAGAGAAGATCAAATATGAGGTATACACGTGCGGTCCTGACATTAACATTAGCATACATTATATTTGTAGAATCAATAGAATTAATTAAAACTGTTGACAGGTGGCAGAATTGTCCAATGTTTATGACGTGGTGGATGAAGAAGAGTACTCTAAAATGGTACGAGAAAGACAAGACGAGAACTGGATTGAAAATGATGGTATGTATTCAAAATTGAAGCTACGACATTTTAGCTGCATTCCTACACTTTTAGTTTTTACTTTAGACATCAGGGCATTTGAAAGCTTGTCATGCAAACTTAGTATGTATCTCCATGGAATTTAAAATGATAAGATAAGATAGACATTTATTCATTTCACAGTGAGGAAATTTCAAATGGTTGTACCATTAAGCCACGTTACATTATTCAGGATTTTTGAGTATTACTAAAACTTGTCTATAATATATTATTTTGATTTCAATTTTTTTTTATTGTTTCCAATTTTAATACAAGTTGTTCTTGTATTTTTTTGTGTGGGTCTGAAATGTGAATGTTATGTGCTTTGTCTGTACACTGTTCAATTGTTTGGGTGATTCTTTGTAGCTTGAACGCTGATTATAAAAGTTACGCTGTTCCTGTTAAAGTTTGGTGACCGTTTTCTTTCTCAGATGGTACAGGATATTTTGAAGATGGAAGAGAAGTCTTTGATGATGATTTGCAAGAAGATGCTTTGGAAACTACCAAAGGTACTGTAAATACAAAATCTTTTAATAAGAAGTCGTGTTTTCTTTTGAAACACTGGACAGTCGTTTGTTTTGTTTCTTTAGGAAAAGCAGGCGGTAAAGGAACACAGTCAAAGAACAATATGAAGAAAGCTGCAGTGTCTAAACCAAACACCATCAAAAGCCTCTTCATGAACAGTAATGTGAAGAAGCCAGTTGAGGTTTGCTCTCTACTCTGATTAAGCTTATTCTAAACCTTCAATAAATGTCATATTTTCAAATGTTTCTTGTAGAAAGATGTAGACCTCTCGAAAGATGATCTTTTAGGTGATATTCTTCAAGATCTGAACTCTGAGGTTGGTAAATCATATCTCAATTTTGGTTGTATGGACACATAATGCACAGAATTTCACGTTATGTATTGCAAGTTGTATACCCTAAAATAGTTACTCAGATATAATTTAAAAGATGATATATTTTTTATTTTATTTTTGTCCTTAGAAATCCTCTGCACTGACTCCTCCACCTGTCGTTACCTTGAAGAAAAAGAAGGCTCTTGGATCTCCCATGAATCCATTCTCTGTTAAACCACCAAAGGTAGGTTTTCTAAAACAGGAAATGAGGACTGTTGCTATTTAGTGTAGTATTTCTCGATGTATATATAAAACTCTTCTACAATAACTTTCTGCCATAATAAGAAATAATAATTGAATCATATTTCTAGGAGTCACCTTCAGTGGTAAAAGCCAAAGTGATTCGTCCTCCGCCACTTAACCCGCCCTCCCCACCTCCTGCACCATCACAAACTGTGGAGAAAACCAAAGCTAAATCTGAGCAACCGGAAGAAGAAGGTACAGACTATTGACATGGCACCTTCTGTAAGAGAGATTTGAAACATTATCTTCTAATTTCTCTAGAGAACGTCGCTATGGCATTGGATGAAGTCGACTTTGATGAGCCGATGGATGTCACTAATGACGCAGAGAAAGCTGTAGACAAAGAACCGGAGCCTGAAGTTACTAAAGTCCTTCCTCAAACCACATCAAAGGTCCAGCCTAAAGAAGAGCCTCAAGATCTTGCTCTCATGTGAGTTTGCATTTGCAGAAGTTGTGTGTATTTTGTGGCGTGTTTATCAATCTAAATAATTCATCTTCTAGGAACTTGGGAAGTTCATGGGGGCAAGATGAAGAGGCAGCACCAGCGGAGGTTCAGGTCGACTCGAGCAGACTTCCCCTGGTGGAGGGACCAGAGGGAGAGATGGTGTTCAGGTTCTACTGGTTAGATGCCTTCGAAGACCCGTACAATAAACCAGGTGAGTTCCAATCTAAGTCAATAAGGATTAAAAAGTCTTGAAAAGTGACCCTGTATTTCCCTGCACTTCTTCTTTTTAGGTGTGGTTTACCTGTTTGGAAAAGTATGGATAGAATCTGCAAAATCTTATGTTAGCTGCTGTGTCTCTGTGGAAAATATTGAGCGGACAATGTATTTCCTTCCTCGTGAGTTTGTAAGTGTTACCGAAAAAGCGTCTAAAGCTGGGGTACTTTCAAACCACAGAAAAGGAACTATTTATTATAATCAGTTTAGCCTCTCAAAACTGTTTGGTTCTACCGCTAGTTTTCAGAGGCACGTTTATTTGGCCTCTGTCACATTTTGAAATCAGATTTTTCAGACAGAAAAAATAAACAACAGTTGGTTGTGGTCTGACTTGTTTATAGATTTTTACTTTATCACGACTTTTTTGTTGGGACAGAAAACATGTGTTATCTTTGGAAGAAAAAAGTTTGGTACCCCAGCTTTAACTCAAAGCAATGATTTAGACGCTAATATGTCATTTATTTTCCATTTTTTTAACTTGTAGAGAGTGAATCCTAAAACTGGTGAGGCCTCAGACACACCTGTGGGAATGATGGACGTCTACCAAGAGTTCAATGAGCTTTCAGAAAAGTTCAAAATCATGAAGTTTAAATCCAAGGTCGGTTTTCTATTTCTATCTTGGTCTTGACAAAAAAAGAGTTGTGAAAATGTAAGTTGCGTCTTTGTTTGTTCACAGAAAGTGGAGAAAAACTATGCTTTTGAAATTCCTGATGTGCCCACTCAATCTGAATATCTGGAAGTGCGCTATTCTGTAAGTACATTGAAATAATTTAGACTTTATTGTGTCAAACCTTTTGTCTCAATGTGAAATATGTATATGCTCCTCAAGGCTGAACACCCACCGTTACCCTCAGACCTCAAGGGGGTGACATTTTCTCATATCTTTGGAACCAACACTTCAAGTTTGGAGAATTTCCTTCTGAGCAGAAAGATCAGAGGCCCATGTTGGCTGGATATCAAGTCTCCCCGTATGTATAATGTGTTGTATTCAAACTGCCATTTTTCCATATTTGTTTAGTAATGTATAGTTTGAGCGATCCAAAGTTGACTCAATTGCGATATTAAAGCTGGGGTGCCTTGTTGTTTTGATGTGAACAAATCAGACCACGACATGGTGTCCTCATCTTTTAGAAAACATTGTTAGCTTTTGTGTACTTTTGTGTAAGAAAGAGGCCTGTGAGTTACTTGTGACTGGATTGTCATCTCTTAAATTTTCTGTCTAAAAAAGTTTAGTATTTTTGGCATCTGTCAAATCTTATCGACTTAAACATTCGAATCGAATAACATTATACATGGGTTGAAAGTTAGTTAACCCAACTTAAAGTAATGAAATCAATGAAAACGCTTAAGCCACTGAATGCTTGGGAGTGTGTATATTACTTACACAGACACGAATCAATTTACAAAACTTTGAGTAGATAAATAGAATAGTATTAGCTGTAATTGTCAATTTTCCAAAGTTTTTTCCCCTCAGTAAAGTGAACCCCTTCTGTTGATAGAGCTGATGAGCCAGTCTGCCAGTTGGTGTAAAGTGGAGGCTCTGGCCCTGAGGACGGATCTAATCTCCCTGGTCCGAGACTTGCCTCCTCCTCCAGTCACTGTTATGTCCATCAGCCTCAAAACAGTTCAGAATCCCAAGACTCATCAAAACGAGGTCAGAGCTGCAGAAAAATGACGCAGAAAAACACAAAGCCACGCACAATCAATAACTTATTTTGGCCTCACAGATTGTTTCTCTGGCTGCTCTTATTCACTATTGCTTTCATATGGATAAAGCCCCGCCTCAGCCTCCATTCCAGACACACTTTTGTGGTTAGTAAGCATGTTATTATTGATATATTTCATGTGAAAAAATAATACGTTTTGGTTTTCTCTTACAGTGGTTAGTAAGCCTGCAGACTGTATTTTTCCATATGATTTCAAGGATGCTGTCAAAAAGAAGGTACTCCATAAATGGATTGTAATCATGGATAAAATGAAATAAAAACTGTAGCTTTAACTATATTAACAGTGGTATATCATTGTTTTTTATTCATAAGAATGGAAGAGTGGAAATAGCTGCGACAGAGCGCACACTGCTTGGCTTTTTCTTAGCCAAGATGCACAAAATAGATCCTGATGTTCTAGTGGTAAGTTTTTTTTCATTCATACAGACCTTCTTCAATGACACAACTAGATATCGGGACATGGGGTGGTCAGATGAAGCAGTGTAATAGTATTGTTTTTTTTTTTCATAGGGCCATGATATTTTTGGCTTTGACCTGGAAGTGCTGCTTCAACGAATCAATGTAAACAAGGTGCCGCACTGGTCCAAGATCGGACGACTGAGGAGGACCAACATGCCCAAATTAGGGGTAAGCAAAACTAAATCATTCAATCGTTTGTAATAACATTTTATCCTGACTCCAGCTGTTGTCTTCAGGGTCGCAGTAGTTTTGCTGAGAAGAACGCCACTTGTGGTCGGCTGGTCTGTGATGTGGAGATCTCGGCCAAAGAGCTGATTCGCTGTAAAAGTTACCATCTGACGGAGCTGGTGTCGCATGTGCTAAAGATGGAAAGACCGATTGTCCCACAGGAAAACATCAGGAATCTTTACAGGTTGGTGTTTGATTGATTGTTGTCTCATTCAAGTTGGCTGTATTACATAAAACATAAATAAACAGACATACAATATATCCATATAGTCATATTGTAGTAAGTAAGTAAGCAATCCATTTCATAAGTAGTCCATATTCCTTCCTGTCAGAGTGAAAAACAAAGCTATTTCTCATGTTCAGGTTGTGTTTTTTTTCTTTTAAGAAAATATTTTTTCACAGCGACTCCCCTCACCTGCTGTATCTGTTGGAGTTGACGTGGACTGACGCAAAGCTGATCCTCCAAATCATGTGCGAGCTGAATGTCCTGCCTCTTGCTCTACAGATCACCAATATTGCCGGGAATGTTTTGGTAATTTAAACATAATCCTCCGTTCATTTTATATTATAGTCCATAATTAAACTGGTCGAAATGCAATGATTCATGTTGGCTTTTACAAGAATGGTTTAGAAGGTGTCACATCTTTCTTCCAGTCTCGAACTTTGATGGGAGGCCGATCTGAGAGAAATGAGTTCCTCTTACTTCACGCGTTCAATGAGAAGAATTACATTGTTCCTGACAAACCATCCTTCAAAAAAGCCCAACAAGAACAGGTATATTTTTAATTATTTACTAAATTCTTGTATTGTTAAATGGAATTCTCCCATGGACATTCTCTGTTAAAGGCTGGAGAGGAGGATGTCGATGCTGGAAAAGGCAAGAGGAAAAAGAAGGCTGCTTATGCGGGTGGTCTGGTTTTAGATCCCAAAGTTGGTGAGTCCTAGCATTTTGCCTTTAAAACTTACCCACAAGAAAGTAAGCTAAATAATAAATCCATCTAACTTGCTCCTAGCTCTCAAAACAATTTAATTCTATCAGTAGTTCTCAGTAGTTTTTTTGTATTGCATTTACTTTATTTTATGTCACATCTCAGCTTTTTAGACAGAAAACAAAAAAAGAGTACCAACCTCAAAAGCGTCTAATAGTGACTCCCAGGGATCTTTCTTATAACTTTGCAAAATATGATATGTTTTCTAATTAAATAAAGATAGAATGGAGTGGTTTCATATATTTTCTTAACTTTTTACTAGAAAAAAGTACCCCAGCTTTAATTTGTTCCTATTTTCAAGGTTTCTACGATAAATTCATCCTGCTGCTCGACTTCAACAGTCTGTATCCATCGATTATCCAAGAGTTCAACATTTGCTTTACCACCGTGGAGAGGGAAGCGTACAACAGTCAGAAGAGGAAAAACCAGGTCTGTGTACTGTACATACTATAACACATCTTCAAATCCTTTGCCCACTACATTACTTTATTTGCATTTATTTTTCGCAGGAAGATGAGATGGAGGAGATACCAGAGATCCCTGATTCTAGTCTGGAAATGGGAATTCTTCCAAAAGAAATTAGAAAACTTGTCGAAAGGCGTAAACAGGTCAAACAACTCATGAAACAGCAAGACATCCACCCAGACCAATATCTGCAGGTTCGTATCATACAGCAAATTAGTCTCTTTTTTTTGTCGTCAGTTACAGTCACTAATCAATTTTTTTTTCTTTTTTTTTTTTTAGTATGACATTCGACAAAAGGCGTTAAAGCTGACGGCTAACAGTATGTACGGCTGTCTCGGATTCAGCTACAGCCGCTTCTATGCCAAACCACTTGCTGCTCTCGTCACACACAAGGGCAGAGAGGTCAGTACTGCATGATGTCCACTAGAGAGCAGTGTCACACCAGAAAACACCTCGTACCTTTTTTATAATTGTCTCTTGTCAGTTTCTACAGTTTTTTAATTGAGTCTTACACAACAACACGTCCTTGCCTTTTCTACATGATTATTGCATCAAATGGTGTCAGAGTAAAAGCCTTTTAAGTACATGCGAAATTGTGAAATCAATAACCCTTGGATCAGTATTTTCTCATGCCAAAATGCCACGCATAAAAATCACATTGTTAAGCCTTGATTGTGTGGTGACATCTTTCACTGCACACCAATGGAGCAACGGGGGCATATAATAAATTTGGATGGAGGCATGAGAGGAGCATGACACAAAGGGCTAAATCTGGTTTTGTAACTTGACTCGGCGCACACACTCGCAGCCACTGTGTCGGTTGTAATACTCATGTTCGTTTAATGAGCTCTAACAGTAGACATCCACAGGCCGGGCGTTGGGTTGGCCTCAGGGGAGTCCTTTATTAAGATCGCCTTACACATGCATTGTGCGGCCTAATAGAGGGCAGGGCAGTAACTCAGTGTGCGTGTTTGTTATTCTGTCAGCCCATTTGAGCTTCGAGACATGCTCGTTGTTCAGCTGACACAAGCTACATTGTAAAAGGTGTGTATTTGATTCGCTGATACTGGTGGGAGATTTTTTCCCTCAAGACTTGATGATTGTATCTTTGTCAACAGCCACTGGTGGATGGGTTAATTACATTTACCCTCTTTCTTTCTTGAGTAGACTCGAGAGGTATTGCCAGCAGTAATTATCTTTTCAATCAGTCTTTCATTTCAGGCAGTATTATGGGGCCCATTGTTTAACAGTGAAGGCATGCTACTTTGCCATTTACACAGTGTTGTCACAGTTCAATGTACATATTAATATTTGGATCACTCAAAAGGTGTTTTCCTTGTGAATATAAAGAAACGTCTGTTTTGATTCAACTATTACTTTTATCACATTAACCAACAAGGCTGGAGTTGAGTTGAGGGTCTGTTTCCACAAGATTAGGTCCACAATCATACTTCAATAATGTATTTTTATATTGTGTATATTGAATCATTTCATTTTTTGCAAGTTACAAATCTTTTTTAACAAAATGTTCTTGCGAGGTGTAACTCACCATTGCTTAGTTTTTTTTTTTGTGCCCGTTTCATATCTAAGGGTAAGGATTTGTAATCATCTTCTTCATGCAAGAGCCCTTGTCATCGCCCAAACTAGACATGTTTGTTTACATTAATGTATGTCTTTGCTTTTCACATTGAAACATAATGTTAGAATTAGGTCGATAATGCTTCCGTAAAATTGCATGTGGTGTGAGGTTTTTTACATTTCATTATAATCAGTGGGATTTTGCATGGCGTACTAGTGCATTAAAGGTCACATTAAATCCTAATGGGCATGGCATATATCCCAGAGTCTGCTGAGTCGACAGTGATCTCATTTGTGTAGTATCGGAGACTTGTTTATTTTGTATCTATGATTCCTGATATGAGTCTATTAATACTGCCTGTAGTGAATTAGTGAGCTCTTTCCATTAGCATTGGCCAGACGTTTTCAGAATAGCTATAGTATGAAACTCAAAGACAACTGCATAGAATGGATCTACTTGTATAAATGTGTCTCATTTGCTGTCTTTCTATAAAGTGTAAATTGTGTGAGCCCAAATACAGCCTATAGCAAATGGAGCTGAGCCAATAGTCGTCGTGGTCGTATTTTCCTTCCCCGAACCTCAAAGCCTGCCTGGGATTTAGTAGAGGGGTTTCTGGTGTATTTGTGGCCATCACAGTTTACACCCTGCTCATATTTTAATCGTCACATTTGCACTCCACTTTCATATTATGATTAAGGAGGCTTTTTATTTATATAATTGTAACATATGCCCCCACCACATCTCTGTCCGAAGCGTAAATCCTTCCCCCTCCCTTCGCGGTGGCTCTTTTCATCCCATCAAAAAACACCATCCTTGTGAATGTGCATGTGTTTTGTGTATTTGTTGATTGCGGAGTCTCATATTTCTGTCACTCTGTTTTTAAATTGGGCTAGTCCTCTCCCTCCCCACACCAAGACACTACAGTGGTTTCTCATCCTGGCCCAAGCGTTAGATGTGGTTGAAAGACCCTTGGCTCTTTATCTTGTGGTCACATTTGCTGTGTCAAGTGGGACCCTCGCTCCTGTTTTAAGTACGCCTTGTATCTTGTCTGATTTCATGTGTGCGCAGTACATGTGTGACAGCACAAGTGCTACCAGCCGAACTTTGGCCTTTGTGGGCTGACCATTTGTTGTGGACCTACTCTGTTCTGGTATGTGTGGGTATTAAAGGGATGATGGGCATTAAGGGGAAGGTGAGGGTTTAGGATTACACAAGCCACTGCAGATTGATGTCCCCTCAGCCCTCGGTGTTATTTTAAGGTCTTTTGTATATTAGCCAGATAACAGTTGGATATATGTAATAAAGGCCATTTACATGCATATTTCAGAGAAGTACTGGTGCCACAATGGTTTTATGGCCTCTCAGTGGCTCCCTGGCTAATCCAACTTGTTGACTTCAAACATAGAATAGAATTTATTAGGCACAAATGAATTGTTGCATGCATTTGGTTGGTGTGAAATAGTTGCATTGAAGTATTACTGTTGGCTGCCAGAGCACGTAGCAGTATCCTTGTATAAGCACTCTGGAATGGGAAATGTTAATCAGTCTCTTATTAAAACTATAGGTGAATGTTTCCATGTTGGCGTGAGTGTACTTTCTGCTCTCAGTGATGTGTGTTTTGTCCTAATCGGCTGATGTTAACAACAAAGGCCTGCGGACGCCACTGATTGCTGTGGAACGCAGATTGGTTTCACCTTTTGACCTTTTGCACCAGCAAATCTGACGACCATTAGCAGGTGTGTGTGGAGGATGGAGGGCGACTCCTGAAAACCATCCCGCTGTAATTGAGTCTCTGTCCTTGTGTTTAAAAACAGCCCGACTGGAGTTTGTAGTTGACATTATTGGCCGGCATTTGGACTGAAGGATAGAGGTGAGATTGGATAGCAGATCTGAGGGTGTGGAGAGGGTAAAGTTTGGTTTGGGTAAGACCTCTGAGGCCGCTTGTATGTAAGGTCATGTGTGTCTGTAATGAAATCTAAATAAATAGTGTCTTCGTGTCTGTCAGTATCTTTCATCGTTCTCGCTCTAAGGATCTTCATGTTTAATACTTTCCTGCTAAATAAAGTAAATGGTTGTGAGCTCTTCTGACAGTGTTCCAACTACAGTGTTACTTCATGACCCCACAGTATTTTGTTGTAGACATGTACACATGCAGTGCCCTGTGTGGGGAGATAAAAGCTGCATGTTTCCGTGCTGCCTCCATACTCTACTTAAAGAGATGGCTTTACTCTTGATAGGAGTGGGCTTAACAAATAGTCACATGGGAGCGCTGCAGCTATTTTGGCCTCATGCGCCTGCTGTAGTGGGCGAACAGTGGATGGGACAAGAGTTCAGAATCTAAAGAGACTTTAATAACACTTCTAATGAGGCCATGTGCGGCTGGGCTAATGTCTGGGATTACCATTGGTAATGGATTGATCTGACACATGCGGCCTGCACAGGGAACTAACAAACTGTAAATGAGCCATAATGAATAAATGGTTTTTCTAAAAGAAAGCACTGTATGTACTGCCTCTACCCGGAAATATTGTTTTATTAATTTTAAGTTTGACCAGCATGCTGCCTTTTGAACTGCTAATATTCATCAAATTCTAAGGCCTAAAAGTATGGCATATCTAACATTTCCAAACTCTCTTGCTACACTAGCTATAAGAAAATAAATGTTGATTTCAAATCTAGAGCAGCATAGAAGGATTACTGGCATTGTTGAATTAATGTTTGCATTAAGTCACATGGATTCTGTAGCTCTTCTGAGCGCAGGCATCTGTTGGTGCAGTGTGGTTGTGCAGAAGTGAAAGAAGCATTTGTCTGTGAGTATGTGGTGCAGTACACATGAGAGATCACAGCAGCCGAAGACACTATAAATCTTTTTATGCATCTGTGTGAGTGTGTTAGCCCTGACAGTCCTGTGTCCCTCCACAGGTGCTATTTCAGTCGTCCGACTGTCATCCCAAAATGCTTTTCAGTGGAGTGCTTTTCAAAACAATCGTCACTGTTGGCCTGGCTCTTTTTACAAGGGCCCTCTGCTGCTCTGAGGTTTAACATGCCTCCTCTGATCTGCTGATCAGCACCGGGCTGCATGGTGTATCTGTGAGGGAGTGTTGGATGCCCTTTAGATGAGCAAGCATCTTGCTCATAAGTCTGCTTATCATTCTATCCTTATTGCTTCTTTCCCTTCTATTATCCATTTGTCATTCTGAGAGCAGGCTATTTCAGACCTGTCACTGTAAAAGTGACACCAGGGAGACAAAACATTCATAACGAGGAAGTCTGGGCTGCTGTTTGACTTCCAGGTTTACGGACTGAACTCTGGAGCTGCAGTTCTGTGCCCTTGTCTGTCATCACTGATTAAAGGTGGTCCTCGTAACTTCAGGTGCGAGTTAGGGCTCGTCTCTGTGAAGATTTTGTTCTATTGTCTGGAATGCTTCTCAGTAAGGCTTTACAGCATGTCTCCTTGGAGATGGATTCATTTATGTTTCTTTTAGCATGCCCTGTCAAAAGAACAAACTTGTTTCTTTTAAACCTATTTGTCATTTTAGATTTTAACAAAATATCAAGAAATACAGAAACTTGTCTAAATCTTTACTTTAAAGCTCCTGCATTAGTCTATAAATGTTCTAAGGATTAGTCCTTCCAAAGTTAAAGATACATTTCTAATACAAAATATATTTTAACAAATCTGACCTTAAAGTTTAAGACTGTTTGAACTATTGATATCCTTGTAAATGTGTGACTTACAATTGTTGTAGATTATTTGTATGTGAATTAGACTGCTCCCTGTTGTTCCCGTGGGAATTGCTCAATAACTAATGGGGCTTCTGACGGCCTTTTCAGTTGTTTCCTTGAGCACTAGTGGCATGTGTGGTGGTGAGTTGTGCAGTCATCAAGGAAAAGACATACCCACATGCCTCTGCCCCCCACCGTGGTCTGTTTAGATTGCTCTGTCCGTATAATATGTGCGTATTGGTATGTGTTTAAAGATGAGCACTCACACATTCCTGATTCATGGTCAAACGACTTGTCTTTCACAGTCCATTCTTTAAAGCTGTCCATCCTGCAGCGACTGACAGCAAATGGAAAACCTGTCTAAATGAGTCCGCACATCAATTACATCAACGCATTCGCGCCTCTCTTTGTCGTGTCTCTTTCCTACTGTACATCCCTCCATTCAGCACTCATGTCCTCTTTACCACAGCCATTCTTGATATGCTACAACCAAACTTATACCTCTTTCATATACCATTTTCATACAATATTTCTTACCATATGTCATGCAACCCTAAAACTGCTGTACTGTTATCTAGCTGTGAATCAAAACAATGTTTTAAATGTAAAAAAAGAAAAATTTGGTGTATTTTTTATTAGGCCGAATTTTGTCTGAATTTGTGAACAAATCATCAAATCAGGCCAAAACATGTGATTTTTTTTTTTTTAAGGAATACTAATGATGGAACAAAACAGTTTTGAGATAGTTCTTTCTGGTTTCAAATTTGGTTATGCCAGTCTTAAACAAGATTAATTGAAGAATTCTGGAGAGATGGTAACCTTTAATGCAATGATAGTCTCTTCTCGCCTAGCAGATTAGTTTATTCTAATTTTTGACAGAGGCTTAGCGGCAGAGTTGGTATTCATTCATGTAGTTGGGCCAAGAGGAGTGTGTGATCGTGAATATGTGTCGGCGGTGAGACCTTGACCTTGACTGCAGTCCCTAATGGAGGGAGCCTCTCACTCCCCCTGGTGCTCGCTGGTATGTGGCGGCCCATAAAGCACCACTAAGTTCTACATGGGTTCCAGGGAGTGGACAGCCCCTCCCTGCTCCACCAAAACCCCTCCTCTTCCTCGCGCTCCGAAATAGACGCGTCCTTGTCCCGACATGAAGTTCCGTATATGAGGCGGTGGTTGATTGAGGAGCAGATTGCTGGTGACAAGTCTTTCCCTCCGCTCCCAACACCTGCTCGGGTCCCTCGGGCTCCTAACACCAAGTGGACAACGTTAACAGAATTCTCTTGTTTGTCCGTCAGTCGCTCAGTGGGTGACAAAGGCTATTACAAGTCATTAGGTGTGCGTGTGTTGCCCAGCGCAGAGGTGTGTGGGATGAAAAGGCTCGTGTCACAGCAGGTTCTCATAATTGCCCTCTTAGCCAATTATCCCCTATTTAAAAGAAAGTCACCTGCGCCGCTCCATTTTCACACAAATTCTCACACACCCACTCTAATGTAAAATACAAGGCAAGTGTAATAACTGTTTGTTCTTGACTTTCATTGTTTACTATGCGGTATGTCATTCATGATTTGTGTTGTTTTTCCAGATTCTAATGCACACCAAAGACATGGTTCAGAAGGTATTTAAAAGAAAGTGTTAGTCTTGCAACAAAAGATCAAACATTTATATAGTTTCTGTTTTGCATAGATGAATCTAGAAGTCATCTACGGAGACACAGACTCCATCATGATCAACACAAATAGCAAATCGTTGGAGGAAGTCTTTAAGCTCGGCAACAAGGTCCGTCTCAGCAATATTCTGTCTGTTGATTCCTGTAGAAATGTTGTGCTAAAAAGTGTCCTTTTTACAGGTGAAAGCTGAAGTGAACAAGCTATACAAATTGCTGGAGATCGACATTGATGGTGTCTTTAAATCGCTTTTATTGCTGAAGAAAAAGAAGTATGCAGCTCTTGTGGTGGAGCAGCACGGCGAAGGACGATACACTCTCAAACAGGAGCTAAAAGGCTTGGACATTGTGCGTCGAGACTGGTGTGACCTCGCTAAGGAGTGTGGGAAGTACGTCATCAATCATCAAGTCTACTCTAAATTACCGAGCGGAACATTTGTTTTTATCTAACGCACCGTCTTGTCCAGCTATGTCATCGGCCAGATCTTATCGGACCAAAGCCGAGATGTAATTGTGGAAAACATTCAAAAACAGCTGGTGGAGGTGGGAGAGAAAGTTGTCGCTGGAGATATACCCCCCAGCCAATTTGAGATCAATAAGGTACAGATTTCTCAGTAACTTTTGAAATGCGAGTTTGATAGGTACAAATAATACCAAATGTCAACACTTTCCCAATCTGATTCCAGGCTCTGACTAAAGATCCACAGGACTATCCCGACAAAAAGAGCCTTCCTCACGTCCATGTGGCCCTATGGCTCAACACTCAGGGCGGCCGCAGAGTAAAAGCAGGAGACACAATATCTTATGTCATTTGCAAAGTAAGCTATTAGTGATTTGTAGACGAGCAGCTCATTTGTTCTCATCAGTGTTTACCCTCAGACTCAATGTTGGTCTTCTTACATGATATATTTATATTGTTTATATTGTTTTCAATTGAATTTATTCTGTATAGCCCAAAATCACAACTAAATCACAACTCTAAATATTTAGTGATAGGAACATAGACGTATATATCCATGGTTAAAAAGTGATGGCAAAAATTGGAAGCCACTCTGTAAAGATTTGGTGTTTCTACTAACAGTGAAAAAGGAATTAATTTTCCAATTCAGCCAATCAGATCCTCCACAGATCTGATTGGCTGCTAAATTTGAAGGGATTATTAGGCTTTGATAGCAATCATGAAATGAAAATCCACAAATATGAGGTGTAATGAGGTAAAAACGCCATTGAACAATATTTATTTTTTATAATCTGTGATTCACACAGTCCACACTTCAGCACTGACTGTAGTATCTGGCAACAAGGACAAAAAAGTTTTGTACCAACTTTCTTGCTTCAGATGCACAAGCTCTTGGTTTTCATGTGCACTAATTTCAACTGTGGAAGCAACAAAAGGAAGGAGGGATTTTCTTCATGTTGTACATTTTAATAAATGAGCCGCTACACTGTCCCTCACATGTTGATATTTAGACCCATAAGATTTACTATTGACATACCAATGCATTATCATATTTTCTACTAATGGTGTTGGAAGAAAAGTTGTCAGTGCAGCTTGTTTACCCTGTGTAAAGTATGTGTTTCTTTAATTGATTATTTTATTTGCTTTCTATCCCAGGACGGCTCCACTCTTCCTGCCAGCCAGAGAGCCTACGCCTTGGAGCAGCTTCAGAAACAGGACTCGCTCTCATTGGACACTCAGTATTACCTGGCGCAGCAGGTCCATCCGGTGGTGTCCCGCATCTGTGACCCTATTGAAGGCATTGACAACGTGCTCATAGCCACATGGTTGGGTAAGTGCTTTTGACATGGGACGGGTCAAGCTTTTCATATTAAGGAATATACTCAAATGAATAAAAATCATTTTTTTTAAAAGCATCCAATTCCTTGCTCTCAGTTTGGTTCTATCACTAGTTTTCAAATGCATGTATTTTTGCCGTTGTTACATCTTTAAATCTCTATATCCAATAAGAAATAGATTCATGTTGTGGTCTGATTTGTTCACAAAATGTAAACAACACTTTATGTTGGGACAAACAATGTATTTATGAAACAAAAAACAAAGTTGGGGACTCCAGCTTTAAACTGAACTGAACTTTAGCATTATTTGCAATGCAACTATACAGCTTATTTGGTAGTGATGATACGGTTCATCTATTTTTATATTTATTTGACTATAAAGTTATGTCTGTTTTATAACTTGTTGACAGCTGTGGCAGTTAAACAGAGCAGGACAAGCCTATATATGACAGCCTCCTAACAAATGCATTTTATGAACTTATTGATACAAGTAATCCGTTTGTTGTAATTGTATACAGACGTTTGAAATTACAAGGCTACAGTGCGTTTGTTGTCTCTGGCTCAGGTCTTGACCCGGGACAGTTCAGGGCTCAGCAGCAGCAGCAGCAGAGGGAGGAGGAGGCAGACGGGACTCTGGGCGCCCCGGTGCAGTTAACAGATGAGGAGCGTTACAGAGACTGCGAGAGGTTCACCTTCACCTGCCCTCAGTGCAGCACCGACAACATCTACGACAATGTGTTTGAAGGAGCTGTAAGTGTCATGTTTCACACTATATTACACCAAAACACCAACGACTCAAATAATACTTTCTTGCAGTATAGTTTATTTTTAGCAGAATGATATGGATAATAATATGAAAAGTTGTTTTATTTTACTTTCAATTTGTATAGTGCAGTGTATTGTAATACTTAACTTCGGTCCCCAACAATTACAAAGTTATCACTTTTTGAACGCCTTGAAACATTCCAAATATAATATTACGATGGTTCCCTGTTATGGTATTGCTAAAGCTTCTTTCAAGAAGGTGCACGCTTATGTTTTTACATCATACAAAATGGTTCAAGTAAGGTGATATTTGTATTTTTTGAAGGGAAACCTTGAAGCAGGTTTATTTATTTAGTTTACTTTTTTTTATTGGATTGGGACACGAGTTCTCCCATAAGTCCTTATTCAGCGAATAACGGACCGATACGTGTGGAAGGTTTTCATTTCAACCGAACCTGTGTATACCAGGCACCAGGCTCCACCCATTTCCCCGTCTTAACCTGAAGGAAATTGATGGTGTCTGGTTTGTGAGGGCCACTACCTTAATATCTTGTTGTGAATAAATCCATTTACAACATCCATTGAATAAATTATAAAGCCATATTACCCTTTGCCAGCCTGTAAGAAAGAACCATGTGAGTCACTATTTGACTCCTTAAACCAAGAGCTCAAGGTGGTCCCCTCTAAGATCTCCTTAGAAAAGACCTTCATGTGAAAACTGGTGATAGAACCAAACTGTTATGGTCAGGAACTAGTTACATGGATATTATTAGTTCCATTTTGTGTGCTTTGAATTTTTTTTACCCCAGCTTTAAATACAAATTGGTTAGAGAAAGAAATATTCCTTCTCAGTCATCATCTCATTTCTGCAATTGCTCATATCAGTAAATGTTAAACACCTTGTCCTAATTAATTGAATCATACCGTGCAAATGTGATTCTTCCAATGGCATTTGAGTCAAACTTCCTGTGGAGGATTGAGGGTTTAGTCATCCTCTATATTGTGTCTCGCGCAGTATTTTTAGACAGCTGCCTGGCTCCACCACGGACGCTGTTTTCATTGGCAGAGTTTGGAGCGTGCAACTTGAAAAGCCCTCCTTAACTCCTTGTGCTCTGTAGCCGCGCACCGCACCATTTGTCAGGCCAAGGTCACGCTCGTGTTTGTACGAGCGCGTTATCGGCTTAATGAATAACAGAACACGCAGCCTTTTCTTTTCTGCTAATAAAACTGACAGTGCTGCCCGTGTCTGTGGCAACACTAAAAGCGATTCCATAAAAGAGGATTCCACAATTATGGTGCATTACCTTTATTGTGGCGTTAAAATAGAGGTGTCATTTTTGTTTTCAATAGTTGTGATGAAAGCGCTGCTTGTCGAAATTTTTTTAACGTTATTTCATTTCTGCAGGTAAGCACATTTTAAAGCTGGAGTATCTAACTTTCAAACCTCCAAAAAATAATTGTTATAAAATTAATATAAATATGTCGATCCTTAGTTTTCACATGCATGTACAGTATGTTTTTTACAAGTTTAACGGCATCTTGTCTGCTCTTTCTGATGCATAATAGTGGATTAAAAAACAATGAGTTTGAACACTGCCCTGTCAAACAAAACTTTATTTATTTTCTTAAGTTTAGTACCCCAGCTTTGAAGTCAAATGTATTTTACTCAAATGAAATATACCACGATCAAGTCAGTCCCAAAACTTAACTCATTTTTCGTGTTTCCCCCTCTGCTGTGGTCCATGCAAATAACATAGTATTAGTACGAACATTTAGTGTCAATAGTGCGTCGTCATTAGAAAGACACTAATATTTGTGTTGGCAGTTTTTGCATTGAAATTATTGAGTATAATTTTCTTGACTGTGAAAATGTACAATGGTGTCAACCCTGACTGAAGAAGCAAGAGTGTAGAACATTTAAAACATTTGGAGGAAAAAAAAAAATCTATTGTCTTGACATTTGTGCTAATAGCAGGTTTTGATTCCAGGAGAAAGGCTTGCACAGAAAGTGATAAGACAGTAAGTTAATTAGGGTGGTGAACATGGTCTAACAGCTCAGTGAAAGAGGAGGACAGATGGGCCTTGACTCCAGCACTGACTCTGAGCCAGAGATGGAAGGAGGCGCTGATGGATGACAGTGAACAGACAAAGGAGGAGAGCTGTTTGAAGGGAAGAGAAATAAGTGGGATGAGAGGAGTAACAAGCTGGATAAACCGTCTGAAGTTTGAAGCAATTCTTTTGGTGGGGGATAAAAAACCTGGTCACTGGCAGGGCTGGATATCTTGAAAATCTCGAGTTTGCCGCCAATATGCTGCATACCATGATGTGTAAGGCAAGGCAAGTTTTTGTATAGCACAATTCATACACAAGGCAACTCAAAGTGCTGAACAAAACAAGAGGGTATTAGAATCATAAATAATCACAGTACACTAAAAAGAACGATTAAAATATAAAATCCCTCAGTTGTAAGCACAGCTAAACAGAACCATTTTTAACCTGGATTTAAACATTGTCAGAAAAGTGGCCTGTTTCACATTTTCAGGAAGATTATACCTATGCCTAAAGTGCTTTGCTTATATTTGAGCCAAAATACTACAATATATTTAAATGATTGTCGACTGGCTAAAATCTTTTCAACCACACAGTTCAGTTTGCAATTTAAGACTTTTTTTTTTTTTAAACAAAGCGATCACAAAATAAAAATGTATATTGTATCTAATAAAAAATATTGAAATGTGTCTAAAAATGTATTTGACTTTTTAGCACACACCTGGTGGAGTGACATTTCTAGTGGCCAGTCAACCACTTGCTCGTCTCTGGAGATGTCATTTCTTTTTTCAAAAAATGTATGACATCGAGCATTGCAGGTGCCATTTTTGTTACCATTCAGATCTGTGGGGAATTCAAAGTATTTTAGAAAAGTAATAGTTTTGAGAGCTTTTTTCAGCCAGTTGCTTGATCAGGTATTTCTTTAGTCTAGAAAGAATTCATTTGGTCCACTACAGCATTGAAGCATTGAAATGTACTAAAAAAAACATTGTGCACATTCTAATATAAGTTTGGATTATGACGGTGTTCTCTCAAAGTAGCGTTAGTGGATAAGAAAGAATTTATTCGTCCTTAGCAGATGATTTGCAGCTTATTTTTTCCCTTCAAAACATTTGGGGAGTGTGGAGAAAAATGTTTCTTACATTGCTGTTAAACCTTTATTAAAAAGATTTATCTGAAGGCATTTAAATGTTGTAATGCTTTTGACATTTAAGGAAGCTGTGTGTATTACTTTCACAGCTTTGGGGAAAAAAAACATTCATAGATATTTGTTTGTAGTGATCAGACCAAGAATCTGACTTTACGGCAATTAGATCAACAGGAAAACGTTAGATCGAAGAAATACAAGAAAATGGTCTCTAAATCTGTCACTGTTGAAATAAACACAATGTGAAATGGAGATGTTAATTTGTGTAGCTGCATATCCAGGAGTTGTATTAGTTGATTGACTGAAACTGCAGATTTTTCCAAAAGGGAACGATGTAGGCAAACACAAAATGTGAGCGGCCTGGCGGGGGGGTGTCACATGCACACTCCAGCATCGTTAACTTCTCCGCAGTAACCTTTCTGTGCTGCTGTCACTGCGACAGTTAAATGGAGTTGGAGTTTAAAGGAACAAGTGTTTAAAGCAGTTATATTTAGTCTAATTGTTATGTACTATGGGTGCCTTTTTCTTTTTATTAACTATAAGGCTGCCTGTCAAATGAACAATTACATTTCAGTGGTCATGCTGACCCGGTATTCGTTCTGCTCCTCCAGATGCCTGGTTCTTCAAAGGACTATTATATATAGAAGTCCTCTTAGCTTTATGTGCCTCTCAAAGCCCATTTAAAAAGAACGGCAAAAGAATGAAAAGTGATTCTAACATTTTTAGAAGTTTGGGATTTTGGCACAAAAGGTCATTGAGGCTTGTCCACCAAGGCACATCTTATTTAGATTGTTCATATATGTGTATGCAATGCCTCAGTGGCCCAGATTGGTGAGTGTAACTTTCAGACAAAAATAGATTTGAAAGTTTAAAAAATAGGAAGTTTGAAACGTAATTGTCTTGCTACACAATCATCCTTGTGAGTGTGTAGCAACAACTACACAAAACTGATGTAGTACAAGTAGGAGTGTAATTAAAAAATCGATTAAAAAAAAAAAATATATATGTACATTTTTTTAAATTTGTATCATTACTTAATATATGGCTACATTACGCATCTCCATTCCATTTATCATGAAATAAAGTGTATTTTTTCACTTAACATTTTTCTTTTATTTATGCCAATATGTGCTGTATTTGAATCCAGAGTGGAGAATTATTTAATTACTTACACTTAATAACTATTTTGTGTTTATTCAGATTGCTTTACTAAAAGATTTCTATAACAGTATATTTCTGACCAATATATCGATAATCGTCATATCGTGAGCTTTGTATCGCGTATCGTATCGTGAGGTACCCTGAGGTTCCCACCCCCAAGTACAAGTATGGGCCTCCTGTGGTTTCTGTGGACACATATCCAAGTCCATGAAGAATGTTCCCAAATATAGTTTTAACTTCAAATTTTTTACAGTCACGACTCACATGCCATCTCCACAAATCACATACTGTTAAACACATTCTTAAAATTAAAAGCAGTTTTAGAAGTGTTTTGGACGTAAAACTCTGATGACCACACTTCAATGTTTTTCTTTGATTATGTCTGTGAAGTTATAGAGCAATGGGACTCGACCACATTACAATATTTAGGATGTTCTATGAGAAGTGGTGTCAATAAAAAGTCTGCAATATTGACAATACATCAAAGTATTGTCAATATTGCAGACTTTTTATATACACCGTTATTGTGAACTATTAAGGAAAGTTTGCTAAAAAACTTGAATTGACTGTCTTTCATTCAATTTTAGCATTTGTTAACATAATTATTTGAGAAATTTGGAATAGACGACACGCAATGCCACTCAAAAACTCTTTTCTTTCCAGGGGTTAAAGTTGGAGCCCAGCTTGATGCGCTGCTGTCACGTCCCCTGTGGAAGCCGCCCCATCGACTACGCAGTGAACATCAGCAATAAACTCCTGCTCGACATCCGGCGCCACATAAAAAAATATTATTCCGTGAGTATTCTTCTGTTCTCTTTAGTTATCCCGTTTTGATAATCCATGTTTGCTCTGATGTGTATATTTATGTCTCACAGCTTTTTAAACAGAAGTGTATAAAAGTGAAGAATTCAAATCATGTTTAATTATATTGCCAAAACTAAAATGTTCCTCCTTAAGTTAGTGAAAGGTCTGCTGTTTTTAACACAATAGGAGATACAACAGCTGTAGTAATGGACAAGACTTCTTCAAATTATGTTGGACAAAAGATGATCCAACACTCAGCGGGGCACCAGCCTGACATTTACAACCACAGAGCACTTTAAGCTGCTTCACAAATTTGACACATCATTCATGGCCACAACCAAACCAACTGTAGTCCATGCTATTTCTGTTTTTTATTGCACATTAAAAGATTAATTTATCTTCAGCTTAATTTGTATCATTAAATAAGACCAGAAGGATTACAAGTTTGTAACCGATTTGCCATACATCAATCAATCTTTTATTTATGGAGCGCTTTTCCTACACATGGTAACACATTACCGCATTTACATGCTTCAGGTTTAAGGTTAAAGTGCGCTTTATATTGTGCCCAGAGGGAAATGTGTCTGTGCATTAGACTCATCCCTCAATGACGCTCAGGCAGCCTCGGAGTAGTGGTCACTGCAGTGCAGCACCTGGGATCCAGTGTTCAAACACTGCAACTTTCAAGCGATAAAACAAAAACATGATCATACAACAAGATATTGCACTAAGACCAGCTGAAACCAAAGGGCACTTCTCACCTCTGCACTAAGAGGTGTTGAATCCACCCCAATCCCATGACGTTGTGTCCACAGAGTCGCCTACACTCCACAGGTTGATTCACATGGCCCAAGATGGATCCCCATTTTGATGATATCATATCCATTCACTCTTGTTAAACTTTGATTAGGGGAATCACGGTAACTTGTGTAGGCGGCAACTTGACTGTATCGGTGACCAACGCAGAGCGGTGCAACAGCTGTAGTGAGAGCGATAAGACGGATTTACTACACAGATTTTACCCAGTGCTATTTATATTGTGAATTATATTGTTATCATGATGGCCATTTTGCCATATTGTCCAGCCCTTTTGGCAATCTCTCTTCCTGGACAATGTTCTGTTTTACTGTAGTTTTACTTGCGATTTCTGTGGAATCTATGAAAGAAAGTTGTGTACTGTCACTTTTATATGTATCCTACAGAAACCAACATGTATTATGAAGAACATGAGAGCACTGTACTTTTTTAATATAAGGCTTAGAATACTTTGAAGGGGAAAGTCTATTGTGGTTTCTAACACTTTGGTCTTGAGTGAGTGTCTGCAGAGTGTGTACGCAGGGCTAACTCCCACAGTGCTGAACAGAAATCAATTAGTGCTGTGAATGTGCGGGGAATGAGCCCCCCCTCAGCCTCTTTGTGGTGATGTGTGAAACAGCTGCTACCACTGAATACTTGCACCTCGCGCAGCTACACACACACCCATGCATACACTAAAGCAGGCCAGTGGGCACCAGTGGACACGGCACACACAGCGGGGCAATGGACAGGGGTAATATTGTGTAATTAAGGATTCCTTTCAGGTCGAGGGAGAGTTCAAATAGAGCTGTTTGTCTGGCCAGATAGGCTAAAAGCTGTGCTCTTCTGTATGACGACAGGACTCCAGACATTAATCATTAGTGAAGCTACCTGCCACCCTCTCCCCCTCCTCACACATAACCAATAAAGTGCCTGAGAATGGACAAACACTATCTCATCCTTTTTATTCTGGTGTCTTGTACAGTCTCCCTGTCTTCTTGGGCAAAATGAAAGACTTGCTTGCTTCCTGAAACACCCAGTGCTTCTTTTTTTCTTTTTTTAACCCCTCCCATCTAACCACCGTTGCCATGGCATTTAACAAATTATTGCAATTACCCTCGACATGCGGGTCGCCCCTGGAAACGGGCCGAGGGGCAAGAGAAGAAAGGAGGAGGGAGAGAGGGGTGAATGAAGACCAGAAATGGTGATAATCCTGTTTTGAACAAAAGGTCAAATTGTTGAATAGAGGAGCTTTGATTAGGCGGAGGAGGTACAAAGTGGGAGCATTTGAGCTCTATTCACAGTGTGTGGGTATACAAGCGCCGGTCCCTCCAGAGCTGGAGGAGTTGACTTCTGAGGCTCCAACCTGAAGGCTGATGGATGTGTGGCCTAACAGGTGCTGTAGACTGGGCCAGCAGAAGGTTGTGATCTTCTCATGACCTTGGGTTTGTTCATATGAAGGATTTATGATTACTGTTACATGAATAGACTATATGTCTATACTAAAACTAGCTTTTGGGAAGGGCTGCTTGTTCTACTCCCTGCAGACGGGCGCAAAGCTGTTTTTCCTATACACCGGGCCTTTTGAAAGAATATATTTAGTAAATTATGAACACATTTATCTCGCTTCCCAAAAAAAATGAGTTTTGAATATGTTTCTCAATATCATAAAATAAACGGGGTAGTTTTTGGGGCACTATTACTGGCACAATGCATTCCTTCGTAGTATAACCGTGCACTAGTGGAATCACAGGATGGGTCAAATGCAGAGATTCTTTTAAGTTTTACAAATCAACATTTTTCTTTCTATAGATCCAAAAACGTAGGATAGTTTTGCAATAAGCACCATTTTAAGTACATTTATGCTTAATCGAGGCTCATAGAATTCTAGATGTGCCAAATGAGCACCTGGTCTTAAAATGTTTTACAAACTCCTGTACCACGCAGCGCTCCTTACTTTTGATAACAAAGGATAACTATCCCTTTAACAAAATCCCTTTTTTTGCAACACATATTGTGACAGTAATATTACAAGACTATTGACAATACATTCTAAATCTCTCTGCGTCCTATGATTGTATAATGAGTTCCATTTTGTCAGTTTGTGGTCTCACTTTGGCCATTACCTTTTTGAGGAATTGTTCATCTTCATTGAAACAGTGATGTTATATATTAAGCTTTTCACTGAAGGCGTCAGAGTTATGCAATTACCAAAATTGTTTTCTTTCTAAAATGTCCTTTGGAAAAGCTTTTATTACCCGTTGTGTGTAATAAACCGCCTCAAACAATCATTCTGGTTTAATTAGATGATTTTTCACTTTTCATCTTTGTAATTAATTGTCTTCAATGATTTCCTACTAATTTTGTGCAACACTTATACCACTTTTAATTTGGCTTGGGTCAGACATTGCAGCTATTAGAATAATTTGCCATTGTGTTTGTTGGAGTTTTTTGATGGAGAAAAGCGCTTTAGGTTGATACAGAGATAAGTGTTGCATTTGTGCACAAAGCAGAGGACTGTTTCTCGGTGGTTCCTGGTCGAGCCTCTGTTTGGTTAAATTATGTGGAATTCATTTGACGTCTGCATTCAGTGTGTCAGGTATCCACTGCTATAATTATGCAATTATGAACCTTTATTCCTCCACATCTCACTGTACACCGCCCCCACCTGAGCGCCTGCAAAACGCTCAATTTGACTTTTTTTGTTCTTAAGTCAGTCTTTCTTCCAAGGTTTCTTTTGTTTTTTACTTTTATGCATCTCACATAGGGGTAACCTCACTTAAACTTGTGGCATTTACATGTATTCACCAAAAACCTTTTTTAAATTTGTCTTACCATTAGGACTGGTTATCTTTCAGACTTTGCCGATATGTTGTATATTATAAAGCCATTACTGAGGCGACGATACGATTACATAATAAGATACAGAGTATTTACAAAGCGATTGTTACAATTCCGTTGTAAGATAGACCTTTAGTTCAGTTCCATCATGTTACCAAAACATCGTATTATTGGTGCATCCCATTAACTAAAGATTGACTTTAGCATCATCTTCTCGGCCTCATGCTTCAACATGTACAGCACAAATCCAAGCTAAATGACATGCATTTGTACATGTTTTGAAAGGGGTTAGACACATAAAAACTATCATAAATGTTTCTGTTTGCAATGTGTTGATCTGATTATTACAAAATATCAAAGAATCAAAATAGTTCAAAATATTGGGGGGAAATTGGGTTTTTTTCTCGTATCTACCATATAAAAAATAAATATATCCTTTCTTTTGCTGTGCCAATATATTCTTATGAAACCATTTGTGTTGGGAAAACGTATTGGAATTGAGTCCAATAAGCGCTGTTCAAAATGAGGCTTCTTTCTACTTTGAAGCCACGCACTGTTCAAACACAACTGAGCTTAGTGAAGCGTGACGTTCTTATGTGCGAAATTATATCAAAAGTTAGCAATCTGGTTGAAAATAATGCCACGGTTTATCAACTACATATTCCCTGATCTAGAATTTACATCTGCATCAAATAGCTAATTATCTGTCTTTTTTATTTATAGTTTTAAGCATATTGTCTTTTTAAACTAATGACATAAAATAATTGTCCTGTAAATATGTGACAATGCAGTGTGTTTCAAAGCATGCGATGATACATGATTCATAATGTTGTGTCTAGTCGATGGCGCTGGTCTTGTGTATACGGGGAGTGATGGTGAACCAGCCAGCTTTCCCATAATGGCCTGCTCTGTGTGCATAATTATCCCTGGCGTTGGGAAAGCTGTGAACTGTGGGACTTTCTAATTGATTTGGGAGATGTGTTTAGTTTGTCTTTAATTTGGAGGATATTAGCAGATTGTGTGAGCAGGGGATTAGCACAGACTGTTGTTCAATGCAATATCTGAGATTCTATAAAGCAAGTGTCATCACACAAATGTTTTTTTTTTTTCATTCAACCCTGACCATTTTTGTTGCCAAGTACTTTAGTGTATAACCTGCTTAATGAAATGCACAGAATAAAATGGTTAAACATTAAAGGACGATATGTAATATTTCCATTTTGAATAACATAATGTGTCCCCAGTGATGTTGAATACAATGGAGATGATGATATTTATGTTTATGGTCGTCCAACCAAAGCAAAATGGGTCTCTCATTTGAGTTGCCCGTTTGTTAGGTGAAATGTGGCTGGTCTTTGCTATTTATTGTACGTTTTTTCAACAAAACATACAAACAAAAATAACCACCACATTTTAAAGCAGGTACAGAACATTTCTATCTAAACTGCTGCAGGAAGATTACCACAGTGTGTCGCGTACAGGACGATTCTGGAAACAAAAGTGGGATTGCCATAACTTTATTAGTCCACTAAGAGCGCACATCACGTATAGTCCAGTTCAGTTTCCAGATTGAGTGAAAGGCACACATTATGTTTATTGTTTTGTGGTTATTTATTACATTTAAATATGATTTTGTCTAATTTCTATGATTGTGACCTTTGCAATCAAAAATATTGACTAACCAAATAATCTTACTTTCCTTCTCGGATCTGAATAGTCATCATCTGACTGCAAAACATGTCATTTTAGTTGTTTTTGTCCAAATTAAAAGGACACATTTAAGTGATGCAGAACAAATTGCTGCCATAGGTGTCTCTAATTATTATTGACCTCACAGCGGCTGAATTCTTGAACAATCAAGTGTCTGTGTCACAGCTTAATTACACCATTAGATTCGAAAAATTTAAAATTAAGTTTCATTTAAGTATTAATATCAATTGCATATCCTTTTTACAGAAAACTGTTTTAGACACTTTCAGCTCATGCTAATTCAGGCTGAAAGAAAAATAGCTCATTGTAATTTCTCTGGTAAGCGCTGCGACTTTGATTAGATTTATAATTTATGTTTTCATGATTTTCTTCAAAGTTCATGTTAAATATTCATTTTCAGTTTGATTCTGGCAACATTTAGTATGTCCTTTGTATTTGGCCCAAGACTTTCCCTGTTTTATTCATTTGGATTTATCTTTTCAATTCAATTTTTTAAGGTTTCACTGCTTGTATCCAGTAACGATTCTCACTGAAATGCCATCAATACACTAATATTGCAATTAATCCTCCTCTTTAGAGAAAGGCAGGTGCAGTCTTTTGAGAGTAGTTGGTTGGAGTGATTGACCGGACACAGATGTATTGAAGAAAGAAAAAGAGCCGTGATGTGGTGGACCTTCTGCACTGTCATTAGTTGGGCATTAACCCCCTCCCCTTACACCCCCTTTGATAATGACGGGACATATATGGAGCTGGGAGGGGTGCTCTGCTGAATAATCTTGCAAGATTGAGAGGGTTACACCAAAGCACCTGCCTGGGGTCAGTAACTCACTCCAGGAGGCCCCAAATACTGTCGTTTAGGCTGTCCACTGCTTTGCCTGTCAGACCAATCTCTGTCACACTGTTTAAAGCTGTATATTAAAATGTATAGAAAGCGACATTCAGTCTGTATACTTGAAATCGTTTCTGTAGCCATTTTCCCTGTCACCGCTCTTGATATAAGCTCTAAAAACAGCACATTTTTACACGTGACTGTTTGTTTATGAAGTGTGTGGACAGAACAAAACAACAACATACAGACGCAAGCTTTTTTGTTGTTGCTTTAATACATTTGGTTTAAGAAAGTTTTTAGAGATTTTGTGAACAAATCTGACCACAAAATCTTCATCTCATTAGAAAACGTTTTACCTTTTTACATTCTGCCAAAACTAAATGGATGTGTTGTTGCTTATGCCACTTGAGCTTTTGTTGATGTTGGCTTTTATTTACCACTGTTTTCTTAATGTCTCAGGGCTGGTTGGTGTGCGAAGACCAGGCTTGTCAAAACCGAACCAGGCGCCTCCCCATCGCCTTCTCCAGACACGGACCCATCTGCCCCGCCTGCACACGAGCCACGCTTAGACCAGAGGTAATCCACCACCCAGTGCACTGGACTGGACTGGACTGGACTGGACAGTTTTGCTACATAGGGTTTCTTCAAGATCTTAAAAAGTTTGTGATACATTTTATTATGGGTTAGAGGCAAGATACTTATACTCTGTATGTGTTGTTTTGGTCAGTAGGTCTTTTTGTAATCTAAAACAGTTGTTAAAGTTTAGCAGAAACCCAACATCTTGATTTAGTACAGAATTAGGTCATGTAAACCTTTGTATAATAACTACACTAACACTAACTATAGTAAACTGGAATACATTTTGTTTCTGCTATAAATATGTCCCTGTTACCTTAGGAGAAGTGTTTGAGATAATGTATGGGGGGGGGGGGTTTTCTCCCAAAAACAAAGCAAAACTCAAACACACCAGGACTTGATACCCCCAAATGAAAACACAAAATAATCATCTATATTACTGAGATAAAAAAATAACATGTCAAGAATCATTGTCCCAAGCTTGCCCACAGCATTGTCCCAAGACATGTGTGAGCAGGCCTCAACTTTTTCTTCAGAAACATTAAAAACGTCTTAATGCATTTTGTCCAGGGGATGGTGCTATGGAGCTGGCCTACCATATATAGTGTCATCAGTGTCACATTTCAGTCTATACATTTGCAGCAGTGTTGATAGTGGTGTTTTCTGATTGTCTCTCGACTTGTGCACACCTTTTGGGCACTAAGAGCTGGGTGGTAGTTTAGCCATTAAAAGCATCTGTCCGTCTCATGCCGGTGGCCCACTTACCCACACTTTGTTAGCTTTGACCACTGGATTTAAAAGAAACACTCTCCTTTTCAATTTGACCGTGATGTTTCAATCTACTTTTTGTCCCCTCTGTCCAGCTTCTCGCCATTTCTGTCTCAGTCCTTGCCTTAATTCCCTGTTGTCATTTTTTATCTAACATGTCTCGCGTTGCCTGCCCCATCCCCAGTTGCTTTGCGGTGTCTGGCTCTGTGGCGACAGGTTGTAAACCAGAGAACCAATTTTTGCTGTCACTGTAGCCACTTAGTCGCCCATTGCTGCGTCGGAGGGCCGTGGCACTTTATACTGTGGCTGAATAAAACATTTAACTCTCTCCGATTATTATGCTTTTTTTTTTCTTGGCCCCAAAACCCGCTTCTAACGAGTGCACAACAAACTGTACAAACTCCCACCTCTTGGGCAAATGTATACAGTGCCTTGCGAAAGTATTCACAAGTAAGCCACATTTCAGGCTTCAAACATAAAGATATACATTTTTAATTTTTTGTCATGGACCAACAACTAGTGGGACACAATCGTGAAGTGGAACAAAATTTATTGGATAATTTAAACTTTTTTAACAAATAAAAAACTGAAAAGTGGGGCATGCAATATTATTCGGCCCCTTTACTTTCAGTGCAGCAAACTCACTCCAGAAGTTCAGTGAGGATCTTTGAATGATCCAATGTTGTCCTAAATGACTGATGATGATAAATAGAATGCACCTGTGTGTAATCAAGTCTCCGTATAAATGCACCTGCTCTTTGATAGTCTCAGGGTTCTGTTTAAAGCGCAGAGAGAACCATGAAGACAAACGAACACACCAGGCAGGTCCAAGATACTGTTGTGGAGAAGTTTATATCCGGATTTGGATATAAAAAGATTTCCCAAGCTTTAAACATCTCAAGGAGCACTGTGCAAGCAATTATATTGAAATGGAAGGAGTATCAGACCACTGCAAATCTACCAAGACCCGGCCGTCCCTCCAAACTTTCATCTCAAACAAGGAGAAGACTGATCAGAGATGCAGCCAAGAGGCCCATGATCACTCTGGATGAACTGCAGATAACTACAGCTGAGGTGGGAGAGTCTGTCCATAGGACAACAATCAGTCGAGCACTGCACAAATCTGGCCTTTATGGAAGAGTGGCAAGAAGAAAGCCATTTCTCAAAGATATCCATAAAAAGTCTTGTTTAAAGTTTGCCACAAGCCACCTGGGAGACACACCAAACATGTGGAAGAAGGTGCTCTGGTCAGATAAAACCAAAATCAAACTTTTTGGCCACAATGCAAAACGATATGTTTGGCGTAAAAGCAACACAGCTCATCACCCTGAACACACCATCCCCACTGTCAAACATGGTGGTGGCAGCATCATGCTTTGGGCCTGCTTTTCTTCAGCAGGGACAGGGAAGATGGCTAAAATTGATGGGAAGATGGATGAGTCAAATACAGGACCATTCTGGAAGAAAACCTGTTGGAGTCTGCAAAAGACCTGAGACTGGGACGGAGATTTATCTTCCAACAGGACAATGATCCAAAACATGAAGCCAAATCTACAATGGAATGGTTCACAAATAGACGTATCCAGGTGTTAGAATGGCCAAGTCAAAGTCCAGACCTGAATCCAATCGAGAATCTGTGGAAAGAGCTGAAGACTGCTGTTCACAAACGCTCTCCATCCAACCTCACTGAGCTCGAGCAGTTTTGCAAGGAAGAATGGGCAAGAATTCCAGTCTCTCAATGTGCAAAACTGATAGAGACATACCTTAAGCGACTTGCAGCTGTAATTGCAGCAAAAGGTGGCGCTACAAAGTATTAGCGCAACCGAATAATATTGCACGCCCCACTTCTCAGTTTTTTATTTGTTAAAAAAGTTTAAATTATCCAATAAATTTCGTTCCACTTCACGATTGTGTCCCACTTGTTGTTGATTCTTGAGAAAAAAAAATATTTTTTATATCTTTATGTTTAAAGCCTGAAATGTGGCGAAATGTTGAAAGGTTCAATACTTTCGCAAGGCACTGGAAATCGGTGCCAATTTCACTCCTGTCAGCTCCTGGGATCGGTGAAGGATGAATGGCCGTTCTAATTACGATATTTCTGACCAACAATTATCAATGGTTTGTAATTTTGTTCAGAGTCTAAATAAAAACTTCAAGAGAGGTACATGCAAAACAAAACTTGAATATCAAGCAATTACATATATCAGAAACTGTTTATGGAGTCTGTAGTACTAACGGTTTCCCTCAACAAATAAAAATATCTCTGCACAAAAATGAAATATGGCCGTTTTAATTAAGTTCTGTGTATCTTTTCTCAGAACATTCCTGTAGTCAGACCTGCGCTGTGCCTCACATTTGGACAGATTCAGTTTAAACAAATAATGAAATATGTCTATAGAAAATGATATTTACGTGTTCCATTGACAAATGTTCAAAATATACTTTTTACGCATCTTTATTACGTGTTTTGTTTGTATAAAATGTAAATAGCATACTTGTAGAAATATTCTAATTGTGACCATGAACATTTTGGATTTGATTCGATTAATTGTGCTGTCCTACAGTCATCTATTTTTTTTTTGCCATTTTATTTATTTGTATGTATGTTGTGTATTTGTCAGAATTCATTACAACTTTACGTGGTAGCATGAACTGTTATTTTCCCATGTTGCTGTCGTGAATCCCTTTTACATGGCAGTTTTTTATAACCTAGCCCCAGCAGGGGTAAGGGCCTATTGCTTTCCCACGAGTTATGTCCTCTTTTACTGTAGCTGATGCAAAACAAATCACATTTCTTTAGAGGCAAGAATTATTCAACACTTTGAATTCTATATGAATCAAAGCATATTTAAGACAACGTTTCAACAGGCAAAAATAATCAGTTGCTGGTAGAGCCCTTAAAAAACAAATGTAAACTCCAAGCGATCGCTGACTTGACCTGACCTCTCCTTAAAGCAAACGCGCGTTGATTTGAGGGATCAAGTATGGCGCGATTCAAATGGGGACGTGTCTGAAACGAGCTGATGCGAGGAGATTAATAGCCCAGCAGCCAACATATTAAATTGCTGCCAATTATGCAAAGTACTTAAGAGGCTATTCATGGCTGTTTGAGCTGTGGCTATAGACAACGCTCAACAACTGAGAACAGGGATAAGGCCTTCAAAAGCCCCCAAAGATGAGGTTTGATTACTCTTTTAAATGTGAATGAAATGAAGGTATATGACACGAGTTGACAGCCTTGCAGCCACTTTGTTTGCTGCAGTTTATGTGTTGAATCTCGTTTTCTTCATTTTTGTGCCATCGCTTTGCATTTTCCTTCTCTGTGGGTGCTGTCTTCTTCTCTCAAAATCCTTTTCTACCTCTCCCTTTGGACATGGTTTCACAGGCTGATTTGATCTCCATGTAATGGGAGAGTAATAGGCACTCTGTCTTGATTGGTTGGTAATTTGGGGGAGTTATGCACAGGTGCAATTTGTAATATTTTCAGTAAATTAAATTTCGTTCTCTTCCACCACTCGCACTTTCTTCTCTCTATGCAAGCGCTTAACTCAAATGGGATTTTTTTTTGTGCTTCAGATCTGTGTTCTGACTTTCCTTTTCTTAGCCTTTCATTCAGCCCCTCTCCTCCTGCTCTATTCTTTTATTTTCCTCCAGTCCCTCCTTAGCTCTTACACTGCCTTTTTCTCTCCCTCTCACCCTCCCTCTCTGTCTCTCTCTCCTTTTCTCCCTCGTTTTATTGATGTACGCTCAGGCGCCCATTAGAGCTCCCTTTTTCCCTCTAGTGGAAATTGCAGCATGTTAATTTTCACACAAATTACGGCAATAGCAGGTATCTCTATTTGATACATTATAGCGGGAGCAATCAGAGATAATTGAGTGCCTTTCAGAGGGAGACGGCTGCATTCACTGCCGGCTCAAAGCTGCCCCATTATCGCCTAATCGCTCTTTAAACACTGAATTTTGCCGAACAAAAATTCTTGTCATAATTTTGCTTAAGTGTATTTGGAAATCACAGTCCTTTGAGCGAGGATAATTGAAATCAAATCCCTTTCACTGGAGCTGACATTTCTACATTTCCCCCCAATTGAAATTAATTTCAAAAATTGAGCATGAATATCTTCAAATAGCAGGCAATTATGCCTTTCAATGGGGAGAAATTACCGGTGCTGAATCGTTGGAGGCTTGCGGGCGAGAGCACCAGTTAAATGCCTTTGTTTCCCGCCGTGTTTGCCTAGTAAAGATTTACATATATTGACTCATTATGGTGTCTTGTGAAGCTGATCGGCGTGACTACCACAACCGGCAATAACGCTCATCGCATCTAAAAAGCTCAAGAGTTTTAGAGCCTTGTGGCCTCACAGCTGAGGAAAAATGTATGTTTGTTTCTGTCCCTCCCTTCCTCCCTCCCTCTCTGTCTGCAGCTGCACTTGTGTGAACATTGTAAATCCACTATTTACAACGCATGTTTGTAGCAGAGCTGTGCAAGAGCGGCTATATACAGGTCTTGTCATCTGCCAGGCTTCTGGGCCAACGTAATTATCTAGTTCAGCTTGAACATTTCCATTCACATTGTCCCTTTACCTGGCCAATAAAAGGGGGCAGACATCCCATTGAAGTATATTCTATCAGGAAATCCTGCGTACAAGCTTCATTGTACGAGTCATTTGAGGCAGTTTGTCTGTGATTTAAATCAATTTGTATCATTTAGCCCCTTTCCTTTCATCTATACATGTCGACTATTGTTCGGTCACTTACAGGATGTCTTGTCTTATTCATCCTTATGTTGCTGTTTCTCGGCTTGTAGGAGCTCCTGGACCTGCATGCGTGTCACTGGGAGTTTTCGGGGGAAAGGGAGGGAAAGGGGTACGAGGTGGGGGCTGGGGTGGTTCTGTGCTCCCGGGAGAGAGGCAATTTCACAGCTGGTTTGCTCCTTAGGCAGTCAGGCTGAAAATGCTGCAGATTTGTGGAGCAAATTGAAATGGTGTCAGTGGAGGAACAAAGCGGCGAGCTGAATGACGAGGTGGGCGTGCATGTGTGTGTTTGAGAGCGGCTGAGGTGGGGTTGAGGGGCTCTAAATTCAATAACAACCCTGTAACATTTTAGCCACGCCTTTCTGACACCTGTCAGTCAATCAGCAGGCACCTTAAGGCCCGCCCACAATCAACATTACATTGTAAGAGAGTGAGGTGTGCGCCAATGTCCCGTTTTATTTTCAAGGGGACAGAGTGGTGTGTGATGTTTGCGCCGACCAAGCTTGTTCAACCTTGGCAACCGTAACCGTGGCTCCATTATGGGATGTGCATGGTTTGGTTGTTGACGAGGCAGTGCATCAGCGGTCAACAGCTGTGTGTGCCATGTGGGCAGCAATCGACGTCCATTAAATAGACATTCACACATCACATGGTTTGCATTTAGCTGCATTAGATACTCTTGCCACTTGATTATGCCACAGCAGTAAAAACTGAAATTACAATTACCCACATGTTGGATTGGCAGGTATAATGGGCACACACAGAGGCGCGCACACACATGAATTGTCATGGGATTCTTCCTGGTGGTAATAATAATGCACTCAGCGCACACCTGATGGCAGTGTGGGGTCGGGGCTTAGCGTGCCCTCTCCAGTGTAGCGGGGAAATGACGAGCCAATAACTGCAATTAAACATGCAGTATAATGGCTAATCAAATTGACAGCCTCGACTGTTCGCATGCCTCTCTCACAATGCCTTATCACAACAAACTATTATGAGGGAGGGAGTTTCAGGCCTGATCCCCTTTTGCTTTCTCTCTTCCTATACCCAACCATCCCCATCTGAAGCTTTTGCTTGTTTTTCTTGTTGTTTTATTCCTCCTCCCTTCACTCTCATTCAGTCTGCGCCTCTTGCTGAAGCGAGCTGTTGTGTAGTTTAATTGCAGAGGAGATTTACAAAGCAACCAAATTTGTTTCTTTTGGCATTAATACAAGAAGTAGAAGTGTATTTCTGTGTCCAAAAAGGAAATGCAGACAGTGGCATAGCGATAGGAGCCCTTGCCTCGCAGCCTGGGTTTGGTTCCCCGGCGACTCAGTTCCTTTTTACTGGGAGTTTGCATGTTCTCCCTGTATCTGTGCTTTTTTACTTGTTTCCCTACCACTAAAAACATACATTACAACTATATATGGAAAACTAGTTTTGAGCTAATTCTGTCGTATTTACAGTAGCTGTTCATTAATACTCTACCCCATTCAAGTAAATAAAAAGTATTTCTAATTGCCGCCCCTTTATTTATTGGAATTTTTTGTTACGTATTTATGAAGGTGTTAAATATAAAACTTAATGTGTGCAAAGATGATTGGTGTAAATCACTACCTATGGGCGGCACGGTGGCTGAGTGGATAGCACTCTCGCCTCTCAGCAAGAAGGTCCTGGGTTCAAATCCCGGTTGGACCAGGGCCTTTCTGAGTGGAGTTTGCATGTTCTCCCTGTGTCTGCGTAGGTTTCCTCCGGGTGCTCCGGTTTCCCCTACCACTAAAGATATGTACATTAGGTCTGGCATGTGCCTCCTGTACTGGCACCCCCACTCCCAAAAAATAACAATTGTAAACCGCTTTGAGACTCCGATGTGCAGTGAAAAGGCGGTATATAAATAAAGATTACTACTACTACTACCTCACTGTCCACTGTCATTGTGCTCGGCACCAATCACTGCTCTCCTTTAGCAGTGCTAGCGGCTCCGTTTATGTAGCCGGTTAGCGGCAAACGCTGGTTCTTTATGATTTCTGTAAAAATAAAAGAGCTGTAAATGCAGAAAAACAGCCATAGCGGTCAACAGAAAAAAAATACAGACGGTTTCACAATGAAGCTAGAATGGACCTGTGGAAAATGCTGTAAATTAATTTAGAAGAATCAGAATCCTTTTATTGCCATGTGAGTAACAGGAAGTCACAAACTAGGAAATTGCTTTGGTGTAAATTTCTCCTTTGTGAGATCAATAAAGTATATCTTATCTTATATTTTAATACCGTGCTCATAATGTTTTATATTTTGTGTTTTGTTTACAGTACTCGGAGAAGGCTCTATACAACCAGCTCTGCTTCTACAGATTCATCTTTGACTGGGAACATGCTGTGAATAAAGTACTGCCTGCTGATGATAGAGGTATGGATCTGACCAACTAAAATCTATTTTTCAAAGCTTTCTAAAAAGTTGCACTGTTAAGCAACACTTTTTCTTGATTTCAAATCAAATTATTACAACAGCTATTGAAGTTTGAATTTTGATGCTCTAACAATGCACAAATACACATACAACATGGCATTAGCAATCAATGGCACAACATAAACCCTTTACCCAGGCTGCACTTAAAATATTCAGGCGTGATGTGACGCACACATCCACACAGTAGCAGGTCTGAGCGTTGGATATGGGTGGGGGGGTTAAGGACATTCAGCTCCTCGAGTCGACAGCCCTAATTTAGGAGACGGATTCAATCAACCACACATACAGAATGCAAAATGCTCCAATCACTGCAGAACGACGGAGAGGGCCCTCCACCACTCTGCTGCTACCCCGTCCTCAATGTCCATCGCTGTGGCTCGCTCTGCTCCCTCTCTCCCCTTTCTCTCTCCCTCTGCCTCTCTTAGACAGGCACTCGTTTGGCTGTGTTGATTGAAAACAGGTTTTAGATTTGGGGAAATGATAGGGGGAGTAATGGGCGCGCTGACGAAAGGATAGCCCTTCTCCTATAATGGGACATGGAGCGTATATTTCCCCCCTTGGACTCAAATAGACGCTACTCCAGCTCTCTGGGTGCGCTCAGTAGGCGTCAGCCTCAAGGCTTCTTTACCCATAGTTCTCCCTGATTGATGTCACTTGATTAGAAAGGACTGCTCGGCTGAACGATTTATTTATTTGATTAAATATTTATGTATGTATGTTATTTATGTATGTATGCCTGAATGCTGCCGAGTAGCCAGTGAGAGGCTGGGCTGGAGTGATACAGCAGAGGTAAATATAATGTGTAATCAACAGATGACCACTCAGGAGATGGAGGCACTGGCCGCTGTGGGCCGGGAGGGGTAGCAAGAGTACTAACATGATTATAGCCTCCTTTTTCTGTTGTTTTTTTATTTCTGTCTTTTCCCAGATGTAAGAAATCATCACAAATCAATTCCTGACTCCTTTCTTTATGTTCCCTTTCTTTGTGCTGGGTTTGATCTGCCTTTGCCTTTCCTAGCGCTCTCTCATTTTGTCTTTCACAATACACCACAGTACAATACAATACAGTTCAATCTTGCGGCAGACTCTTAATGTGTTATTGTGCTTACATCTTGTACCATATAGGGCTGGGCACACAGTTGCACAGTTTGTTCTTTGACAAAAATCACTTGATATGTCAATGATTCGTAATTAAAACGTGTGTAGTGCACTGAGCATTTCTTTACTGTTTACCAAATTAAACTTGAAACACATTTTCTATCACAATTTGTTTGAGATTAGATTATGGTGATACATCAGAGTACAGATTATAGATAATATACGGGCAAATCATCATGCCAGTGTATTTTCCTGGAAACTATTGACCTTTTTTGTGCCCAACAGAGACAAGAGTCATTTTTAATGGGCACTTTTTAAAAGCCAGTCAGACCATGCTGTAATCAAGTTTAACTATTTAGCTTTAGTATAGTGTGGAGCTCTCCTATATATCTGTAAGATATGATTTACTTAAACAGAACAAATGGCCAAGGATAAATGTATGTGTATAGACACATGCTGCTATAAAACATAGGTTTAAAGAGCTATCCCTCCATCCTGGTAGAGTAATACCCCATATTACTCCATTACACACCCAGGGGCCACAGTGCTCCGATTACAGGGAAGAGACACACAATCCTTTAGACCCTCCTTCGCTCCGTTGTCTGTTTGTGCTCGGAGTGTGACCGAAGGTCTCCAGGATTATCTTCATATAATACACCTACAAGGATTTATGAGTACTGGCTTAACTTAATACTGTTGTATTTCTGGTCAAGACATTCAAACAGTGTTCAAGTTGGACTACAAGTATCTAATTCCTCTATTGTTATCCTGAACCGCTGTAAGTGCTTCAATGAGCCAGTGTTGTACTGAATGATGGCCTCTCAGTTACCCGTCAGCATGGCTGTGTCCCCAAGGAGAGTCTGAAAAGGCCTTGTGACTTTTGTAGCAACATTTGTTCCCTTACTTTTCATAGTTAATGGAAGCACCATTGTTTCAAGCTCAGAGAGTCTCAATGTACATACTTTCTAAATTTAGACTGCACATTTTGTGAAGTGGGCATGGACAGCAGATGTGTCATTGGTCAATATAGTTGCCTAGCACAGACAAATTAAACAAGGGTCAAAGCTTTACTAAGATGGCTAAAATTCATGGTTTGTATTATGAATTCTCTTTTGAACTGCCATGTCATGATTATTTCATAATCATTGGAAGTTACTGCCCTTTTTCAGCGCCAATGTTTGGCTAAACTCACAAAGGCAGGGGGTCTGGGTGGACCGCTATGGCTGCTGAAGGACAATGCTGAACATCAGGCATGTTGTGCCCATACCAAACACACGAACAGCAGCGACCATCAAGGACTGGAGGCCTGTGTTACTGACATTATGTGTGGGGGGTAATTCAAGAAAAGTTCATAACAGGAAAACTAATACCAACAGTCGTGTCCAACTGTAACAACCAATGTCTACCTCCCTAATCATCCCCTAAATCGGTACATTCATGGCTGGCAGCTACAGATGCTGAGGAGCCTTCACGGGTCAGGGTTCTTTTGGCCGATATGTCAAAAGAATATTTGTCAGGTCGATCACAGCAGACTAATGCAACTTTTGGTTAAACTTAACCTATTCCTTACGTTACTCCGAACTTATCAACTGCTGTTGTAGACTACGTCTTTAAAGAATAGAATGGTTTGTTCGTACCTGACCATCTATATGTGGAGTGTGGAAGTGTCCTCCTGATGAGCTGTAATAAAAAACCAAGCAGCAGAGCTGGAGAGGGCTATGAAGATCATCTCCAGAGCACAGTGCACTTGCTCTTCAATGAAGCTAGCTCCAGAGCAGAGGGAGCAGGCGGCAGTCAACAGTCACAAATATTTGGCTCATGTTGTCAAACTTAAGCTCTGCCAATACAGACAGGGTTGTCTCTTACTCGCTTAGCATAATAGGGCTTTGAATTTAATATTCTTAACTAAGTTATATTAATATTTGTAGCTGTTCTTACATTACTTGTCATTTGTGAAGCAGTGCATGAGCATTGTGTCTTGGGAGAACAGAGCAACAGAAAACAGATGCAGAAGTGATATACAAGATAAAGTCAGATGGTCTTAACCAAAAGACGAACAAAATAACTCCAGAACCACTGACATGCATGGAGATCAAACACTGGATTGAGTGGCACATACAAGCATTTGTTGGTGTATTTTTACTGAGCATCTTCCCCCACAGCCCATGTCCCTTTCATTCTGTCCCCATGCTGCTGGCAGCTCTGACATTTGCATCTCAGATTGACCTGAGCCAAAGAGAACTATCTAAAGACCCAGGTCAGTCCTGGTAGACCTGGTTTAAAGACCCGGGTTAGTCCTGGTAGACCTGGTTTAAAGACCCGGGTTAGTCCTGGTAGACCTGGTTTAAAGACCCGGGTTAGTCCTGGTAGACCTGGTTTAAAGACCCGGGTTAGTCCTGGTAGACCTGGTTTAAAGACCCGGGTTAGTCCTGGTAGGCCTGGTTTAAAGACCCGGGTTAGTCCTGGTAGACCTGGTTTAAAGCCCTAGGTCAGTCCTGGTAGACCTGGTTTAAAGCCCAAAGACCTAGGTCAGTCCTAGTAGACCTGGTTTAAAGCCCAAAGACCTAGGTCAGTCCAGGTAGACCTGGTTTAAAGCCCAAAGACCTGGGTCAGTCCAGGTAGACCTGGTTTAAAGCCCAAAGACCCGGGTCAGTCCAGGTAGACCTGGTTTAAAGCCCAAAGACCTAGGTCAGTCCAGGTAGACCTGGATACTTAATAATTTGCCTCCTTTTTTGCATGACCTTTATACAGTTAAATGTGTATATTCAGAGATCAATGTGGAAACTGACTTTTATCCAAGATTGTCTTCACTTGAGACAATCTTTTGGCCTTTTTCCTTAATTAAATCACAGAAATGTATGTACATCTTGAAGCAAACAAACGTTTTATACCTGTGAGCCACTGTGAGTGTGATTTGATAGGCTTGTGTGCGTATGTGTCTGCATTTGCATGTTCGGTAGGTACACTTGGAACATACATTGCAGTTATGTGGCTGATTGCTGCAACTGAGTAAAACCTGGAGGTAATTTTATCCCTGTGGGAGGTCCCTAATAGATTATCTACACAACCTCTCAGTGTGACGCTGTGAAGAAATACAGAATGCCCGGGGCTAGAATATCTGGTATCAATGACTTTCTATTCATTTGTGTCAGTATTCATATTCCTGTATCTTCATTTGCTTGTTTCTGTTGCTTCTTCTTCTTCCAGCGACACCAGCTCAAAGACTACCCTTCAGTTGAGTGTGGGCAGTGTGATTGCGTGAGCAATAATGTAATTTTGCCGCATTGATAAAATATAAATTGTCCTTGAGCTGCGCTTTTCTAATGATCCATTTACCGTCAGCCTCCCTGCCATCTCGCTGCTCTGTGCATTTGCACCTCTTCATCCCTCCCACTCTGCTTCTTCTTCCCCTTTTCTTTTCCTCCATCTCTCTCCTCTCCATTTTCTACCTTCCCCTCCCACTCGCCGCCAATACAAAGCGGGGTGGCAAAATCTGCGGGTACGATTGTCAAATCAATTATTCATTCTGTGCAATTACACTCACACAAAGAAGTTTCCCTGTGCTCCGAGTGGTGATTAAATTAACTGCTATTCCAGCTGCCCGTCGCCACCAGCCTAATAGAATATTCATGCAGACGGCCGGCGGAATGGCCGATCTCCATTAACTTCATCATGCTCACTTAATTACAGGCTTGTTATTGTATTTACACCTAGTTAGAGCGTGCAGGGCCCCCATCTACTCGTGCCCGGCTTCTGCAAAGTGTGCACGAGTGTGTGACAACACCGAGTTAGAGCTAAGACAACCCCTGATACTCCAGCACATGTGGATGTGTGCGGGTCCA